ACATATACACCAAACTGGTGAGTTTCGATGTTTTGGGCTTTTGGACTTTCCCACACTCTATTTCAGAGATATTTCACTGCCCTAGCTCTCAACTGTTAGTGGATCCTTTTATAAATCTGAGACCATGATATTGACCATGCTTAGAATATATTGCAAGCATCTGATTACTAGATTGTGTCCATTGGAGAATGTAGGCCCCTTATCAGTACACATACCCCCTTTCCCTTAGATAACAATATTATACCATATTTCTAACTGATCCTTGGGATGAGAAGTAGGTATATATGTAGTAAGGATAATATATGAGTAGTCTGGATCATTTATGCAATGGTAAAGTAGGGGAAAACACCAAAAATGTGACAACTGCAATCTTAGAAGTTTTAGCCTGTATAGAAGGATTCTGTAGGTATCCTGATGTACCAACCTGGTGTACATACTCTAAATCTGTCTAGGAATGGTCCCCATATCATTCTGCAGCTGTGTTCCTGTAGGAAAACCTTTCCCAGAGGATGGACCACCAGGAGAGGGTGAGTACACAGCATCACAAGGTTTTGTCTGTGGATGTTAAGGTCATGCTCAAAGGAAGGAGAACTCAAAGGGCTTGACTTCAGCTTGTGTGCTGCACCCCTTACCCAAGTATGTGCCCTTAATTTATGAGAGGCAGGAGGGAAGTCCAACAAAGTCCAGAGGTTTCCGGAGGTCAGACACTAGGGGAGTTCGGCGGAACTCCAAAGGTTCAAGGAAACCCAGAGTAAGACTGCTGTGGACAAGTCTGGAGTAGAAATGGAACAGAGGTAAACTACCCTAAGGTAGAGCTGGAGACACACTGGTCTAGATATAACATATCCTCTGAATGTGTGGCTTTCTCTTGTAAGGCTCATAACTTTGTCAAATCTTGACCATTTTACATGATCAGACCACCGGTAAAATCACCGGATTGAGTGCTATATTACCACAAGCAACCGGTCACATAACTACCGGTCAAAAAATACCGGTCACAATGGTCTAGATATCATATATCCTCTAAATTCATGACTTTCTCTTGTAGGGCTCATGACTTTGTCAAATCTTGACCATTTTACATGATCAGACCACCGGTGGAATCACCGGATTGAGTGCCATGCTACCACAAGCAGCTGGTCACATAACTACCGGTTGAAAAATCCCGGTCACAATACTGTAGATATCATATATCCTCTAAATTCATGACTTTCTCTTGTAGGGCTCATGACTTTGTCAAATCTTGACCATTTTACATGATCAGACCACCGGTAAAATCACCGGATTGAGTGCTATGTTACCACAAGCAACCGGTCACATAACTTACCGGTCAAAAATCTCGGTCACAATGGTCTAGATATCATATATCCTCTGCCAGTGAATTTGTGACTTTTTCTTGTAGCACTCATAACTTTGTCAAATCTCGACCATTTTACATGATCAGACCACCGGTGGAATCACCGGATTGAGTGCTATGCTACCACAAGCAACTGGTCACATAACTTCCGGTTGAAAAATCCTGGTCACAATGGTCTAGATATCATATATCCTCTGCCAGTGAATTTGTGACTTTTTCTTGTAGCACTCATAACTTTGTCAAATATTAACCATTTTACATGATCAGACCACCGGTGAAATCACCGGATTGAGTACTGTTACTAGAAACAACCGGTCACATAAATACCGGTACACAATGGTCTAGACATGATATATCCTCTGAAATTGTCACTTTCTCTTGTTGTAAGGCTCATAACTTTGTCAAATCTTAACCATTTTACATGGTCAGACCACCGGTGGAATCACCGGATTGAGTGCTACATTACCACAAGCAACCGGTCACGTAAATACCGGTCAAAAAATACCGGTTGCAATGGTCTAGATACAATACATCATAATATCCTCTAAATTTATGGCTTTCTCTTGTAGGGCTCATAACTTTGTCAAATCTTAACCATTTTACATGGTCAGACCACCAGTGGAATCACCAGATTGAGTGCTATGTTTTACTATAAACAACCGGTCACATAAATACCGGACACAATGGTCTAGACATGATATATCCTCTGAAATTGTCACTTTCTCTTGTTGTAAGACTCATAACTTTGTCAAATCTTAACCATTTTACATGGTCAGGCCACCGGTGGAATCACCGGACTGAGTGCTATGTCACCACAAGCAACTGGTCACATAACTACCAGTTGAAAAATCCCGGTCACAATGGTCTAGATATGATATATCCTCTGACTTTGTGACTTTCTCTTGTAAGGCTCCTAACTTTGTCAAATCTTAACTATGTTACATGGTCAGACCACCGGTGGAATCACCGGATTGAGTGCTATGTTACCACAAGCAACCGGTCATGTAAATACCGGTCAAAAAATACTGGTTGCAATGGTCTAGATACAATATATCATAATATCCTCTAAATTTATGGCTTTCCCTTGTAGGGCTCATAACTTTGTCAAATCTTAACCATTTTACATGATCAGACCACCGGTGGAATCGCCGGATTGAGTGCTATGTTACCACAAGCAACCGGTTACATAAATACCGGTCATTGTTGCACCCCATAATACCGGCCCACCCGTCTCCATTGCACCCTATCATGCCGGCCCACCCGTCTTCATTGCACCCCATATCACCGGCCCACTCGTCTTCATTGCACCCTATATCACCGGCCCACCCATCTCCATTGCGCCCTATAATGCCGGCCCACCCGTCTTCATTGCACCCCATATCACCGGCCCACTTGTCTTCATTGCACCCCATATCATCGGCCAGCTCGTCTTCATTGCACCCCATATCACCGGCCCACTCGTCTTCATTGCACCCTATATCACCGGCCCACCCATCTCCATTGCGCCCTATAATGCCGGCCCACCCATCTTCATTGCACCCCATATCATCGGCCAGCTCGTCTTCATTGCACCCCATATCACCGGCCGACTCGTCTTCATTGCACCCAATAACACCGGCCGACTCGTCCTCATTGCACCTCCTTTACCGGCCCACCCGTCTCCATTGCACCTGCTATACCGGCCCACCCGTCTCCATTGCACCTGCTATACCGGTCCACTCGTCTTAATTGCACCATATTTACCGGCCCACCCATCTCCATTGCACCTGCTATACCGGCCCACCCGTCTCCATTGCACCTGCTATACCGGCCCACTCGTCTTAATTGCACCATATTTACCAGCCCACCCATCTCCATTGCACCTGCTATACCGGCCCACCCGTCTCCATTGCACCTGCTATACCGGCCCACTCGTCTCAATTGCACCCTATTCTCCGGCCCCCTCGTCTTCATTGCACCTTATGTACCGGCCCACTCGTCTCCATTGCACCTCATTTACCGGCCCACTCGTCTCCATCACACCCCAGTTCCCCGGCCCACTCGTCTATATTGCACTCCATTCCTCCGGCCCACTCATCTATCACACACTGGATTCACTACTACTATTCATAATTTCCTATATAGTACATTGCTATACTACCATCTATACTATATACACCCGGCCCATCCGTTTGCCTTGGACACTCCACCCCCTCGGCCCACTCGTCTAACACGGTACAATTATTGCCATGGGCCGGCACCGGGTGGCCCGTCTCTATTGGTACATTGTCACGCCCGGCTGCCTGTCTGAGACGGGTGAATTCACTGAAGGGGCTCTTTCAATTGAGCACTATGGCGTGGGAATTGGTCAAGATATGGTTGAGATATGAGGCTTCCAAAATGATGACTCATGCGGACAGTTTTTTGACTCAAGTATTTTACAGTGATAATCAGGTATTCTAGTACTTTGTGTGACCTCCCTTGGCTTTAATTACTGCCTCTATCCTTCTAGGCATACTCTTAAAACTATATCTAACTATATAAACCAGAATGTTTCATGTGTCATGATCATAATCACCATTAAAGCCATCTCCTCTGCTCAAAGGGATAATATCCTCTCTTTGTCCTATTCTGGCCTCTCTGCTCATCAAATTTCCTCTAGAACTGGAGTATGCAAGTCTACTGTGGCCAAGTTTATCAAAGAAAGCCACCTGGACATGGAAAACTCTTGTGGAGGATGTCCACCTCTACTAATAAGAGGGTTAACATTCAACATATCACTGCAGGAAAGGCTGATAATGCTGTCCAAGCCACCCATTATATCAATTCCACCATCACCACCACTGTCTCTTCACAAACTGTGAGGGATGTTCTCAAGGCAGTTCATCTCAAGGCAGTAACAAAGAAGAAATGCCTCTTCTCTCTATCAAACATAGGCAGAGAAGACTACCTTTGGCTTGGCCCATCAAAACTGAACTGTAGAGCACTGGAAGCATGTTATATGGTCAGATGAGACCAAAATCGATAGGATTGGGTCAGATGGGAAGGTATAGCTGCAGAGTCTGGCGCAACGTGCAAACGTAACACATTTATATTCCTTCCTCAATCTGTGATCCCTAAGGCCGTGAAGTGGTTTATTAGCGTTTCAGATCAGTAGACGAGACTTGATGAGCTGTCGCAGATGCGCATTATAGTGGTTATCAGGTTGGATCGTAAGAATGATACAACCCATCGGGTGAGTGCTCCTTACTTCTCTTGCCCTGCAGCCACGATATATCAGATGCGTGTTTGAATTGTTGAACTCCCCGTCGCATATAGTGATGTGTGAACAACTGCTTACCACCTCATGCAGAACCCTGCTACTGTGAAGCGTACATTTAGGATTAGGTATCTTGCACATATCTGCTGAGCTTGATTCTTAGCCGCCGCCTCGTGCTTCGTCGATCTTGTCATCAAACAACAACATTAAGCTGATCGTCCTGGATCGCCCAGAAACTATCCGCTCAAAGCATGGGCACATCCTGGGTGAACTGATCACGGACATCTCACAGGCCCTGTCGAGGTGCGAACTGTGATTCAGTACTTTCCGTGACACTTACTGAGTCCTATCGTATCAACGCTGATAAGGAGGTCCGAAGGAAACACCACGAACATCGTGTTTAGCATGCCTTCAACTCAGAATGTGGAAGAAGTCGTGCTCTTCCTCAAGAAACAGCTGCAATGGACACAACAGCGGGAGTTCGAAAAGGTCGACCTGACAGTCCCGCACATTATCGTGGACTAATTCTGTGACAGACCCCAGAGTATAGACAGCCCCTCATCCAATCTATCCACGTCTTGGCAGTCAAGTTTTTCGAAGTGGCTGCAAGTGTTGTTCATGCACTCATGGAATTCCTCGGAGACTCGGATAGGCTCCTCTGCATTTGACGCCGTCGTTTTCGTTTGGTATGTTCTCCTCCCTTCCTAGTTCTCTATATCTTATTCGACTAAGGCACCCACAGCGAAGTGATCGAGAATTTCTCACCCCTTCGGCCATCTATATGCGACAAACTCACCTAAATCCTCAGATCAAATCCGGCAAAGCCTTCCACGGCGTCCTCTGTATCCTGGATGCTTGTCAGACATCGAAACCACATTCCAAGAGACCCGAAACTCAGTGCTTGGCGAGATCCCCATTCTTGCAAGCGAGCAGCGGTTACTTGACGAGGCTGGCGGCGAGGAGGATAAAATGGAGGATAAGAAAGTCGAAGGGAATGGGCGGCCAAAGGTGCTTGCCAACGGGACATGCGCAACGGAGACGGCGCTGGCTCAGCGAGATTGGAGGCTGTCAACCATTGAGAGGTGTGTGACGTGTGCGTCCATCGTGTTCTAAATCCACAGCATCTCGGCTTCCAGTACTCTATGTGCGGAAGCATCATCATGATGCACGGATTTAACATTTTACTTGGTGCACATACTTCCCTGAATGGGCTATGTTATCGATGACAGCTACCCAGATGTGCTTCCGGTCAACCATACGCCTAATACGCCGCAGAATCTCTGTCTTGACTTTGCAGCGCTCGGGGACCTCAAGCTGGTTGAACGACCTGTTGTATATCTCATAGTGCTTCTTGGTTTCCAGAGTAGCAAAGCTACAGTCAAGGTGACAGTCCACAATACTCCCCTGCTCACATGTTGATGTTTTGTAGGTCTCATCAACAGAGACGGCAGTCATATTCGGCAGCATTTTATGGGAAGGCCCTGCCCTCGGTGACTGCTGCGTCATCTTGAACGACGTCCATAGCGATATCATGGATTATATCAAGCCTACGTATTGTAGTGAAATATAGGTACGTCTTTACTTTACTTCCTGCTTTGGCTATCTAGACATTTGATTCCTCTCAAGTTCCGAAGCATGTGGACAGAGTTTGAGTGGGAGAACAGGGAGAATGTATCGACGAACATGTCATATGTCTCCTGGCTGTCATACCGACTTTCCGACTTTCTCGCTAACGCATACGTAGTAACTCTCTTGACTACCTGAAACACTGAGGTCCACCAACGTGTCTTATCGCACACCAGAAGGAGCCATGTCGGGTAACTGCGATTCCCTAAATGCAAACATGCATGCTCGAAGTCTATTCGGTGCGTTGTCTTTCCATATCGTAGCGTCGACGACTACCTTAACTGCGAGGACACAGGCGAAGACGCGTCAGCCAATCTTACCATCGAGAAGACAGGAGCTGAGATCGTTGGTATTCGGAGTAAGACGCAGTGTATTTCTTATGTGAGTTTTTTAAAACTGTGTTTGGGGTTCAGGTCCACTGGATTCAGGGTGGGATTGTAGCTCAGACTGATAGTAGTAAGCACGCTGGTACTGATAGATCATCGAACTTTGCTTCTCAACAGATGTGACAATGCACTATGAGTTTTTTGCGTGTGTACTACTGAATCATAAAAAACCAATCGTATCCACGAAGTACTCTTGCAATTTCTGATTGGAAAATGCCCCAGACAGCATCATGGCGTCAATAAGACATCGTTTGATACATTGTATAGCAGATACATGGGTTGGTACTTGTATGGTCTGCAGCATGCCGCAACCGCACCCGATAATCGCAGCTTGTGTGGTCTTAACGCAGGGACGAAGGAGGATAGGATGACATCTATGTCTGTCAGGACTCAGTTTGGTAGTACTAGTCGGAGTCACTCAAAGTTGTCCCGTCATGAACGGAGTGACGGTCTGTATAACCGTGCGTGAACTAAGTTCTCAAAATGTTAGGAACATGTGAGGAAGGATCAATTATGTTTCCCGTAACATAGGTTCTACATCGCCATGAAGTTCTGCCAGAACAGTATTCAGGACATAAAAGCAAGCCGTCTTCCTACCGTCCTCGTCGAATTTATTTGATCCCATATAATATCCTTACAAACAATGCGTTTCTCCTTCGTCCTCGCCGTCGTTGCTGCTTTGACAGCGTCAATATCTGCCAGCGATGCTGATAGCAGCATTCATTATTGTCCCGAAATTTGCTCCGTGTTAAAGTGCTGCGCTGGCCAGACGTGCCAGAAGTCATGGCAGTTTGATGATGGAGCTGTGGTTGTGAGTATGAGTAGTTTGCGTCCTGGATTTAACCACATGACTCACCGACATGGTAGCTTGTCCCCATATGTGTGGATGCCTGAGCGGCATGTCGTGACAGTGAACTACAGTGAGTCGTATTTCTGCAGTATGGTTGATAGCACGACGCGCGAGTTACTAGTGCTTTGTTGCTGAGTTGATCAATGTGCATGCTTCTGAACGAATTTCATTGTCGCTCGAGCAATGGAGATCTTGGAATAAAGGGAATGTCAAAGAGTTGGATACATACTTACGACGCGGTTTTATAGTCTCGTTGCAAGCTTGAACATAACAGTCCTCGATGACACCACGATTGCTCCCGCCATAGGCGCTGCTTACTAGGTCTCATGGATGCATTTTTGGTGTGCACTGAGCCGTTCCGCTGGGGTCTATCGCGACCAGATTAGATGGTGATGTATATGGAAAGTCGTCGAAATGCGAAATTAGAAACGGCACTTGTAGGTCGGTCATGTCGACGAGAGTTATAAGAGAGGACTCGGATCCAATTGCAGAACTGCTAACTTCGACGTCCTCGAGAGCATCAAGACAGAACGGAGAGAGAAAACGACACCGACGAGGCAGACGTGACCTGGAGTTCCCGTTGTTTTTATTAGGCTACCGTTGTTTTGAAACTGGCCAGTGCTGATGGGAGACCAAACGGGCATCGTGAAAATGCTGTAAACTTGCTGGAGGTTGGACTGAACAAATTAGCATACACTGTAGCTTGCGAAAAAGGATTCAGCATAAGACTATACCTACAGCCCAGTACTTGACATCAGTGAATCTGTCACGCGTTTAATGACATGTGACATGTCGCGCATCCTGTCACACTAATCTGTTCACAATAGTGGTACTCAGGATAAAATTTTGGAGCTCGGCTAAAGCGTCTTGGAAGCTCGCCTACTCTAACAAAACACAGCCATGCGATACACTGCAATTGAAAGTCAGTCCGGCATCGTACGTCGGAGTTCAGAAAGACATGCCTGTCGTTCGTCAACGTGCTCGCCAGTCTGCACGACTTCAAGCCAACTCTCATCTGCGCTCGAGGGGAATGGACCCCCCTCCCCTATCTATCTCAAATACTCAACCTATCCCAAGTGATCCTGGACCCAGGATCACGGTTCAGTGGGGGAAAGAAGATGCTCTCACTGATATCCTCGTTGATCACATCACATCTCACCCTGCTGATAGTCGGATTCTCTTCTATGCTGAGGGCAAAAAAATGCCTATTACTGACGGTGACCAGGCCTCGGGCAAGGACAAGAGCAACATCTATGCTGTTCTTGCCAAACTCATATTCGCAAATCACACCAAATATGGCGCCAGATACCAATGGAACCCCAAGAAATTTTGCGATTCAGTCGCGAACCACATTGTGGGGTATGTAGTCTCCTATTCATACTTACATATGTGCGCTGATAAACTCCTAAAATAGTCTCAAAACTAGGTACAAAAAACTCAAGGCCAGATTAAGTGCCACTGGCGCTGGTGTACTGCCCGGTAACAGGCATGCAAATTTATTGTGTGAGTTCTTCGTTGCTGATTTTTTATCCCCATCTGACAGTACTTTGTAGTTGAAATATGTGCCGAATGGAAGTGGTTTGCGGACCTTGATGCAATCTGGCATTCAAACCCTGCATTCGTGGTGACATTGCACTCATTGAGGCCAGGTGTTGATCACACTGGTCAGATGTACTCACTTGTGCAACCACCACGTGGTACAGCTGCTGCTGGGACCTCAAGGCATTCATGAGGTGCTGCTAGTGTTCAGCCTCAGGCTTCCTACAGTGTGAGCGCTCTGTCCTTCCATGGTGATCCTCCAATTGACCCGCATCTTCTCCAACCTTCACCCGCTCTTCCTGATACTCCTGCTATTCCCACTCCGCCCAATGATATTCCCAATATTCCCAATCCTTCCATTCCTCGTTATGATCCCGCTCCTCAGGTCCACCTTCCTGGCCTCTCTCATACTGATAATGACTTGGACCGAGCTGATCCTTTTGCTTCCCCCCTTGGTGACGCACTGGACCACGTGCAGGATGACAACATGATGCAGGACGATGACGATGGAATGCAGGACAACGACACCGACGACAGAATGCAGGATGACACGATGATCTCCAATAGCCCCCTGAAAGTTGTGGGAAAAAAATGACGAATTTTTGCATCGCCCTCGCCCTCTCCCCCTCCCCCTCCTGACCCACAGCCTTTCTGTGTGCCTGAAAAGGCGCCTACTACCGCCTACCACAGTTGTGCAGCATTCAGTCAGCAGCCCAGCGGTCACAGGGGGTGACACAAACCTGCGTTGATGTCGCGCAGTTTGTCGACCCCTTCGTCCACAACTCATAACATAACCCTGTCATCTTCAACCCCGCAGATGTCGTTATCGGCCCAACTGGATGGCGGCAAAAAGAAGAAAAAAGCTAAGTCTAATATGCAGGATCAGTTTGAAAATTTGACGGAGGAAATTGGGAGCATCCAATCTGACGTCATGTCCCTCCGCGACTCCAAGCATCAGCGGTTCATTGCGAAGCTTAAGGCAAAGAGCGAAAATCAGCGTGAGACCAAGAAATACAACTGGCTTTGTGATACGCGTGCACACGAGGCATCTCAAGCTGTTCTCACCCATCAGTGAGAGCAGGAGAACAGAGCTGCTGAAATTCGCCTTCACGAAGTTGACATTCGAGTGCATGAGGCACATTATGCAGTTCTCGACAAGGAGGTGGAGAATTTGCATCTGTGGATTCAGTACCAGCAACTGATGCAGGGTGGTAGCGGGAGTACCTGAGTCTTGTGTCATCGTTGTCATCATCATCATCATCATTATCGTTTCTTCGTCGTCATCATTGTGCTGTTGTCATCGTCTCGTTGTCTTTGTTGTCTCATTGTCCTGTTGTGATTTTATACATGTTTCATACTTGTTTGTCTGGTTGATCTTACATATGTTACATACATCTTACTTGTACAAGTGTACTACTGGTAGTACTTATTCTCGGTTAATGTGAGGATGGTTCACCCTTCCCTCCTGCTGTGCCTTTGATTGAGGACTGTCAAAGAGCTGATCCATCAGCTTTGCACGAGTAATCTGGCCTGGAGTTCCTTCACATCAGGAAAATGTGGTAAGGCTATATAGCCACCCATAGCGCTATAGACTGCTATACAGACTCCATAGCCCTATAGCTCGTATAGCCAAGTGCCCAATTGTGCAGGCTTACTACACCAGTGTATAGTGCTATATAGCTCTATTAAAGTTGCTATAGCTGGGTGGAACATACCACAACTATTGTAGCTATTATAGCTCAAAACACAAAGCAAAAATTTCTCTTAATAGCTGTTTGTTGCCATGATAGTGTTCTCAAAATTAAAAAAAGCGAAAATTCCAAATTATATTTCAACTACTACAATACATGTATAGAGCTGTGGTGTGCTATTGGGGCTATATAGAGGATGGTCCTCTATATAGAGATATAGTTTTTCCTGATGCATATGACCTGTCACCCACTACATCATTACCATCTGGGCCCTCAACATCTTGAGGAATGAAATCTTGACCCTCTTTACGGGCCCACTTCAGAGTACTCTGGTATGTTCCATCCTGCTTGTGATGATGGGTTTCAAAGTGAATGATCATGTTGTGGAGGACAATACAACACTTGATCCACTGAACGGAAAAATCCAGGTCGGTCTCTTTCTGAATCTTGAACTGCAGCTCTCGGAGAGACTGGAACCGCCCCTTTAAAGCAGCAAACGTGTGTTCAACATGTACACGAATCTAAATAAATTTAAATTGTTTGAAAAACTGCCATAAAAAAAAAACCTTAGATAGGTGATAATTAAAGGTCTTCTGGTCTTTTGTCAACCATCCATTGCATGGTTTCTTGAAAGGGGCGATACACCATGGCTCTAATGGATATGTGCTATCTGCCCAAACCCAGTGACCGTCAGGAAGAAGATCATCATGCTTTTCATAGAGGTGAGTGGATCGAAAGGCAAATGCGTCATGGACACTCCCAGGATGTCCAAGAGAATAATCCACAATCAAGAGATTGTGGGGCATAATAACTGCCTAGAATTAAATTAATTTGTCTGCAAAAAAAAACAAGAAAGAAGAACACATTACTTGACAACCAAGGGAATAATTGGATTTCCTGTCAAAAAAGACCTCCCCGAAATAACCAGGTTTGGTGAAAAGTTTGATGGTTGAGCCATCAATGGCTAGATAACCACCCCTCCATTCCAGACATGTCTTTACCTTGGCAAATTTCTGAGCAAGGTGGGCATCCTCAGAATTATCTTCTGGAAAGGAGATAAACCAATCGTGGTCTTCGAGCAGTGCAACCATCACACAATTAGTGCAATTGACCACAGACCTGACACTCACACCTGCCCATTGAGCAACATCCTCAAGAGTAATGGCATTGCCGTAATGGCCAGCACGATTGGGTAAGATGGCAAGCTGGATGGAGACAGGGAGCTGAGGATTATTGGAGTTGTTCTGAAAGATAGGGTGATCAGAGATATAATCGAGGATATCGTCAAAGATCTCTGGGCTGACACGAAGTTTCTGCTGAAACAACTTGGGGCGATGTTCCTCATGGTGAACTAGCATGTGAAGCTGAGGAGCTCGTGGTGGAGGCTCATCAGGCTTGTGGATTACACGTGCCCTCTGAACCTCGTCATGCAAAGCGGCAATTGTGTGTTGTAGCCTATCATAATGGATGGCAATCTCATCTTCATCACTGGAAGAAGCAGAGGAGCTAGAAAGGCCAGAGAAAGAAGACATTATGGATGGTGGGGTCGGAGAGCTGAAAGACATATTGGTATCTTCATCATTGGTAGAAAGCGAGTCTGTGTCTGACTCAGAGTCGGTATCAGAGTCCAAGTCTGACAAATCATCTAGGAGTTCATTCTGGAATTGTAATTTGGCTAGTGCAAGGGCAGCCTTGTCAACAGCATTGAGGAGATCTTTGTGTGCAGATGTGCGAGACATACTGAGGTGGGATTCGAGGGGATCAAAACTCCTATCCATTTGGTGCATATGTGACATCAAATGTAGCGGAGTTTAAAATGTCGGAAAGTTCCAAAGTTTCATCTCGTGTTGAGCATGTTGGTGTTGTCACTGACCTCACCCTCGAACCTCGATGCTCATCCACAGCACCGAGCAGGACATCACCAAATTTCCAGGTGTCATCCACCCAAGGTAAGTAATTCTTGCGCCTCTTGCAAGTTGCAGCTAACATCTGCCCTTATCTTACAGGAAATCTATTTTAGTTCACATCCCACACACATCCCACCTGACCAGCAGCACGTCATCTTTACCAGCAAGTGGCTCGTCCACCCTCCACCTCGTTACAGCCGGCGATGCGAATGCGAACATCTTGTGCTTTGACGGTGGTGGTACTGGTACAGGCTTGTGTTTTGGTAGACCTGGAGATGACAACGCGGAGATAATGCGAGAGGTACAATCCTCCATACCAGGTAGTGTTGGTGGCGACGTGGTTGAAGCTGGGGATGTTGATGTGGAGTGGCTAGGTGAAGGCGTGTTGGGCGTCATTGGCGGGGTGATGTTTGTGGAGTTGGTAGGAGGGAATGCAGGCTTGGGTGGAGAGGGATAACGGACCATAAGAGGGCGGTAGGGGTCGAGCCTGTTAGAGTCCTCCCCCAGCTGCTCAGCATCCCCCTCCTCCTCACTCTTCCTCACTCCTCCTCTCACTCCTCCTTCCCTCTTCCCCTCGGCACTTATTTTGTTCCCCCGGCGCTCCCTTCTTCTGTCGTCTCTCCCGAACTTTTCTATCCACTAGTTAGTCTCTCATCCGTCTCTTCAAGTCCCCAGAGCATGGAGCTGGGGGACTCCGCTTGCCCTAAACATGAGACCACCCACCTAAGTGTAGATTGATTCATGCTATCATTTGAAATACAAAGTATGTTGGCCGCTACTCTACAACTTTCCCCTATGTATATAGCACGTTTGAAAATCACAAGTATTGTTTGAAAGTCTGACTGTGTGTGCCGAGCATCGGCCGAAGTTTTTGAAGCTGTTTAGCTGCGAGTTGAAAGTGTTTAGCCGGTGTTTAAGCGAAGTTTCAAGAGTTTCAAAAGTTATTTTGAGTACCACTAATATTAGTCTGCTCTGCCGCATGCATTGCTACACTGCAAGCTGCAAATTTGCTGATTTTTGTACGAGAAAACACGCACCCAGGCTGACGTTCGGTGAACTTGCAAAGTTGAACGTTGAAAAAGACTGACAATTGACAACTTTTGCCGTCTTTCTTCGAATTCGTAGTCTGATATATTTTTCTTGTCTGCTACATAGAATACAGTCCTAATTTGCGTCCTCCATACTAATCAATCACTTCCTCAGTCACGTTCATCATCTCTCCTTGCTCATGATCGCAAGTCATTTTGGTATACTTGGTCCACTTCTCTCGAAACTCTTTGCTTGTGGTGTCGAGGCCCATGGAGGAGAACCCGGTCCAGAACGCCAGTCCCAGTGCATATCTATGTTATCTTTCATTCGTTGTGTACATATTCATTCTTCTCCTACCGCAAATATAACTCACCTTCCCCACCAATGCCACTCAAAATGACTTGGTAAGACTTAATCCCCGCTTTCTCCACGTACTGTTCCTGATATCCCTCCAGCACTCCAATAAATACATCCACGGTTGGATATCCTCTACTTCCTCCAAAAATATCCAAAGATGCCAAACTCTTCGAACCCATCATCCTCACCTGCCGAAGCTATCTCAAGCACCGTCATTCCTATGTCCTCATGAACAGTGTGTTTATCGTGTACACTATCTACTGCGAATATGACACCTGTTCATGGCAGGATGATGCTTAACCATGCCCAGTAAGACACAACATATTTTGCAAGTTTGTTTCGGAGCTGTTGACGTGAAGCTTAATGTCCTAGACAGCACTTCTTGCATGCTTCCCAAATGATACCAGGCACAATCCAAAGATCTGGATCTCCCCAAAGCAGCACTACCACCTGAAATATCATCACCAAATATGGATATTCCAATATTCTCGCTATTCCCACATACCTCCCTGGCTCTACTTGCTTCACCATAGCTTTTCCTCTTGCACACTCTTGTATTTAAGTTGTAGCTTAGCATGTATGTACATAAAATGATACAATAGACCGCTTTTTTCATTGTATAAGAGCTTGTACAGTAGTCTACAGTGCTGACTACAATATGTGCATCCCAGGACTAAAACATATTCGCTTTTTTGCCCCTTTAGCAGGGGAGCTATTCTGACTGTATATATCATATATTAGAGTGTTAATTAATATATTATACCGCTTTCCAGGATCCTTGTCTACAATCCAAAGTCACTTCCTGCCTACAATGTACCATATTTTCGCAATTTTGAGGTTTTTCACTACATTCTCACCACATAGACTATACAAGCTATTTATATATCCCTTATGGTACATATATGAAGCCTTCCCAAGGCCATGATCAGGTAGAAATGTGTCAGAGTAATGATATCAATGATATAGGGGCAAACCCCACAATCATACAAATGTCACATTTCAACCCTGTCTAGGGCGAAGATTTCATTAAAATATGTAGAATACATTGTAGACTACTTAAATATGCTATATTAATATATGTTGTGAAGGTAAAGGTGATGTGGAAGTGTTGTGGTCTCAATTTGTTGCATTATTATGGTCTGACCACCCATGCATAGACTGTTGGTGCACAGTACTTTTTCGATGTTTGGACTTTTTGACTTTCCCACGACCTTTTTCTTATCTATTGCATTCCCCTACTGTCAATTATTCATGGATCCTTCTGGTAGTCGAGGACTGTATTACCTGGTATATATTGTATACCCCTTGATAGTCTGATTATAAAATTTCACTATATTCATGTCTGGGAATTCTTATCAGTGAGAATAGGAGATATGTGCTTGATATCATTACTCTGACATATTTCTACCTGATCATGGCCTTGGGAAGGCTTCATATATGTACCATAAGGGATATATAAATAGCTTGTATAGTCTATGTAGTGAGAATGTAATGAAAAACCTCAAAATTGCGAAAATATGGTACATTGTAGGCAGGAAGTGACTTTGGATTGTAGACAAGGATCCTGGAATTGTTATGGTATATCTATATAATGAATATATTCTATATGTTCATAGTAACAGCCTACCTGCCATCCTGGAGGGCCGGAGCTGCAGGAAAAAATTTCTCAGGGGGTGAACCACCAGGAGGATGTAAATACATATAACCCCAGGGGCTGATCCTACTGACCTATGCTCCTGATATATTGTGTATACTAGTGAAGAGATGTTAGAAATAATATTTGCAAGCCTATATACTTAAACACTAAAAAATGCGAAACACTTCTTTTCATAGTGTGTCCTTGAGGAAGACAAGGTTACAGCACTACAAGAAATGGTCCTTGTGTCCTGAGCTTCTAACACCACCAGGAGGATGTAATTACATATGACCCCAGGGGCTGATCCTACTGACCTATACTCTTGATATATTGTATATACTAGTGAATAGATGTTAGAAATAATATTTACCAGTCTATATACCTAAACACTAAAAAATGCAAACTGGTTTATGTTTTTTGAGAGGTATGTATCAATTTAACATATCTACTAACGTCGGACACTTCAGAGGCTCAAACAAGCGGTGTAATATATTCATTAACACTCTAATATATGATATATAGTCAGAATAGCTCCCCTGCTAAAGGGGCAAAAAAGCGAATATGTTTTAGTCCTGGGATGCACATATTGTAGTCAGCACTGTAGACTACTGTACAAGCTCTTATACAATGAAAAAAGCGGTCTATTGTATCATTTTATGTGTGTACATGCCATTCTACTACTTATATACATGAGCAAGCAAGGGGAAAGCTCTGGTGAAGCAGTAGAGCCAGGGAGGTATGTGGGAATGGTGAGATTATTGGAATATCCCAATTTGGTGATTTTTCCGGTGGTAGTGCTATTCTTGGAAGCCTGAGAATCACCAAGGGACTCAGAAGCCATTAAGCTTAATTGTGTAGGATCTGTGGACTACAAACAAACTTGCAAAACCATCACATTGCTAGTCAGTGAGGATTATGCTTAATTTTAACCATATGGCCTGGGCCTGAAAATCGTGGAGCGAGGGCCAGAGACAGAAGCTATTGTGGATGTTCTTGAAACTTGGATCATAAAATATCCAGGCAATATTCTCTTAGAGAAGTGGGTGTATGACACTCTCGAAGCTGCACGAGGTCTCATTCTTTCAGCCGGCAACACTGTGAGTCAGTTTTATCCTATTTTTAATAAAATATTAACATACTAGTATATAGTTGCCAGTCCTTGACACAGAAGTGGATTCTGCGAAGCACAAGCCAGTCAATGTCAATAATCATCAACCCGAGAAAAGAAAGAAGGTTCAGAAACTCGATACAGATATCCTGTCAACCTTTGATGATGACCGGTACCTTACTGCTGATGAAGATGAGCACCTATTATTCCCACATATCCCAGTTAGTAAAGTTGGTTTTATTGACTGATTTTACCAATGGCCCATAAAACATGACAGCACGTGACCTCGCTGACGAATCAGTGACCTGACATGTCCTATGCGTCCTTCAAGTTCGTGCAGATCTGCAGCTCCCGTTCTGTCACCTTCACATTGTGGGACGCACTGCACCAATACCTGCACTTGAGGACTGCTCGTCAGCACCGAAACCACTCACCGATGGAGCTCACTGGGGTCCTAGTGTCGCCGTTTTGTGTTCAACCACCTCATGCTGTTGCAAGGCAATTTCGTCGAACTTCGGTGTGCGCACATGCAGAAAGACGGTGTGATTAGTGTTTTTTTTCTGCCTGTATGTACAGCTGTAGATACATGCACCCCTGCAAACAGAAGTGTTAGAATTTGCTTCATTAGTCTGGTGAAAATGATTGAGTGTGCCCGCCCGCCCCGTCCATGTAAAATTTCGCCGCCGGAGCTCTCAGCCACCTGTAAAATCTTGGGATTTTACAGTAAAATAAAGTGCGGTGGACACTTTACCACTACTTTTCTGTTCTTTTCTTGTAAAATGTGGCGCACAGCGCACCAAAAAATCGCATTTCTGGTTCCCTTCCCTCAAAATTTTGCTCTAGCTGCACCAGACTTTGATGCAAAATAGTTACCGGCGAGAATGTGGGATTATAAGAGAATTTGATGATAATCTGAGGCAAGAATCTCAGGACTTATATCCACCATTCATTTGCCATCGGATATATAAAGTCAAATAATCATGAGTGAAAAGTTGTTGTTTTTCCTTCTGAAATTTTCACGGCAAAAATATCACTATTTCTTCGAGTTTTTTCTTATATATTTTTCACAGTGCAGTCTTTCAACTTTTTTCACTAAGTCCTGCATGGCTGCGCCACTCCATGAAGATAAAAGTCCCACGCCTGAAACCCTAAACCCTGCACACTTGCTCTCGAACCACCACCATCACCACCACCGACTCTGACAACATCAACAATGTTGATGGTGAATTAAGCTTAAGGTAGGTAGTTGACACACTTGATAGTGTCAATTAAACCTGGCATTAATCATGGCTATAGATGGCTTTGAGCCTTGAGGAATCAGGTGAGTTACTCAGCAGAACTGTCTGCTATTTAGTTGGGCTGATCTGGAACCAATTAGCACCGTAGTGACCGATGAACCACCCTCCCATGTGTCTGTAACTGCACCACATTTGATTATCCTACATTTCGAGGCCTGTAATGGGCTCCTTCATCAAACCTCAAGGTTCTCTGGTCATGGCCCTGACATCAGCTCCGGGGCGCCCGAGATGGATCATGTCCAGGGTGAGGGAGGCACAGCTCCAGACAGATCGTGCAGGTCCAGCACATGCATACGAGCCTGTTGGATGACTGTAATTGTCGCAGGAGGTGTATCATGAGGAGATCCATTGCATATATAGGTTACATACAGACAAATAATTGATAGGTTGAAAATTAGCAAGAATCTCTAATTTTTACCAGCGAACTATCGTTCATTAAGGAATCATTCCAACGATAATTCAATGATCTGAAAATCGTCGACTTATCGTCAGAAATTATCTCTATCCATTGATATTTTACCATTGACAAAAGCATGTCAAAGTCTGGTGCTGTGGCCTTACATCCACACTATAATATTTGCTGCTCTTGTCAATCCTAGAGGTATGTACAACCAACCATTTTACTATTTACAGTGTATCTCATGCGCTCAGACCCAGGGGTGCTCCCTAAGAAGGCAATGTGACTGTTGGTTACCTCCGCACTCGACAACTTCTCGCCAAGCCTTCATCATTCAGTGTCCTTGTGACAATTGCCATGGCTCAGGCCCTTTGGGTGGATCTGAGCTAGATCTGTGGTGCACTTATTCTGACTGAACCAGGAGCTTGTGAGTTTTTTTCATTTTCTTCTTTCAAATCCCCCCCTCCCCATGACGCCTGGTTTGGCTGTCTTGCCCCAGGCCAATTGGCGGAGCATTGCATCTCCCTTTCTCCACATTCAGGTCTTAACCTAATGATCTTTGTTAACCCAATGCAAGGATTCTCCCGTGTGTGCTGTTAGTGACTATGAGATGCTCCTATCCAATACCCTCACTGTTCTTTCAGCAGAGGCTGATATGGAGCATTTGAATCAAGCACTGTCATATGGCACGCAGCATATTCCTGTCATTGCTACGTATGTCGTGTACCCTGCTTACACAAATTTCGGAATGGCTGATCCATACAAGTGGAACACCACATACTCCACTACCAAGGCTCCCTCTAAAGTGACTCCCCCTGACACACCATACCGCCAGTCAAGGAGCCTGCTCCCGATTTTGAACCTTTCAACTTCCTCCTCACGCACACTATTTGCCTGGTCACAGCATACTCAGAGTCTGTTGAGGGTCTTCGTACAACCCTCGACTCCCTCGCCACGACAGACTATCCTAACAGCCACAAACTCATTCTGGTCATCGTGGATGGTATAGTCAAGGGTGCTGGGAACACAATGACCATGCCAGAGATCTGTCTGTCGATGATGAAAGACTTTATCATCCAACCCCATGATGTCGAGACGCACTCCTATGTCGCCATTGCAGATGGGCACAAGCGTCACAACATGGCCAAGGTCTATGCCAGTTTCTACGACTATGATGATGCCTCAGTTGAACGGTCGAAGCAGCAGTGCATCCCCATGGTTGTCGTCGCTAAGGTTGGCAACCTGCTTGAAGCTAATGATGCAAAACCTGGAAACAGAGGCAAGCATGACTCACAGATCGTGCTCATGGCGTTCTTGCAGAAAGTCATGTTTGATGAGCGGATGACGACATTTGAGTATGAGTTCTTCAACTGTCTGGCGTGTGACTGGTGTCAGCCCAGATCAGTATGAACTTGTGCTTTGCATTGATGCAGATAGCAAGGTGTTCCTGGATTCGCTAACGTGCATGGTATCATGTATGGTTGTGGATATTGAGATCATGGGGCTGTGTGGAGAGATGAAGATTGCGAACAAGGCGGATAATTTCATGACAATGATGCAGGGTAAGTTTTGTTTATTGGTGTTTTGCAACCCAACCCTAATGTTCGCTGGCAGTCTTCAAATACTACATCTCACACCTTCCGCGTGTTGCTCTCCCAATGTCGTCGCTGGATTAATCTTTCAACTGAGTGAGTTTCTGATGTCAGGCTCAATGTTCGTTACATTCTTCTCAAAACTCCCAAAGAAATCACCTGAAACTGGAATGATCCGCCTCTTCGATCGCATGGACTATTACTCTATCCATGGGCAAGATGCCCACTACGTCACCACACACGTCTTTCGTACTAATTCCGTCCTCAAGTACCTAGGTGCTTGGACACACAATCTGGCACGATATATGCGCTTGGATACTAGTGCATTGCGTGCACTGAATCTCATCTATGCCCCTGGAAGTGCTGTCAGTCATTTGATTATTACTTCAAATTGATGTCTCACCTGCAAACCGTCACCTCGTAGGGAAGTATCAATAAGAATGCAACACTCCTTGGTCTACTCAATAAATGCAAGACTGCTCAGGGCACTAGGCTCCTCAGGACATGGCTCAAGCAACCTTTGATAAATCTGCACGAAATATGTATGCCCATTTTTCTACTCTCCTTCACAGAATTAAAACCTTGGCCTTGCAGGTAAACGGGCAAGACCTCATGGAGACATCGTGGATGACACATCTACATGGAGAATGCTGCAAGTCAGTATGATACCATCTTCCAAGGGTCTCACTCATTTTTGTTCCACAGGACGACTACTTGAAGCTGATGCCTGACCTCCATCGCCTAAGCAAGCGATTCAAGAAATTTATCGCGTCCCTTGAGGATGTTGTGCAAGCATATCAAGTCGTCCTCAAGGTACTTCAGTTCAGTTCTCAGCCATCAGTGATGCTTACTTTACCCACCTAGCTGCCTGGTTTGCTTGTGGCTCTAGAGGGTCTCCAGTACGAGCACGAAGAAGATGTCATGATGGATGATGTGTCACCCAAGGCTCAGCTGACTGAACTGTGGTGATGTGTTGAAGAGTTCAGACCATGCATAGAACATAATGTGTGGGTACAGTCTCTACTCACATCTTTCTGATTTCTTGCTGTCTTATCTCCTTGCTATCCTTGCTATTATTGCTGTATCGTACATATGGCCACTAGTCTTTCTATCTGGCCAGACAGCAACATGTACCCTCCAGTTCAAGAACGAGACTGTCATTTCTTTGTACTTCCCAGACTCACCTATCTGCTATCGGGCACCTGGTTTCACTGGTCCAATCGGGCATTGAATGCATCTGGGAACACTCATCTTGCTGCAGGGACTCTGGTTGATCTCAAGTGGGTCGCATTCTTTGGGGCCGCTATGGTACGTACCATGGATATTGTAAGTTCTTGCTGAGATGATGGAGGAAGCAAGACGGAAGACGGCGTGTCTATCGTGCTGGACTTGGACCCTGCATGGCCAGAATGGAGGTTCTGCCCTGATCTGGACACCACCCCGCGTCAGCCTGCGCAATGTCTTTGATCTGTGGGCAGGGGTCCCCTCATAGCTCGCATTGGGAGTCCAAACTTGATCTGGGTCATGATCCTACAGTGCAGCCCAACACTTCCATGGATGCGCTAATGTGAGGCAGTTCTTCCTAAAAATGGATTGACCTGATTGACCTAATGGACACTGTAGTCTACTCTTTTGCAATGCAACTATTCATCCTCTGATTTGATGTCATTGCTGTCCTCTTCATGGTTGTCCTCTTCGTCCTCTTCCGTCCTGCTCAAAATCTCAGCAACAGCGCGCTCCTTGGCCGCCTCCCTTATCTCTTCTATGACCTCCACTGTTTCCTCATAACTTGTGAGGTACTTATAAACAGTCCTGATGACATCGGCTTGAAATCCTTGCTGGTTTGCAAGTGATTGAATTAATGCCTCGAACCTGACCTGGGCGAAGTGGGCAATGTCGCCCTCATGTATGTTGGTATAAGTGGCAGATGTCCCTGAAGTTGTAGCAGAACTGCTACTAGGATGTTCTCTAGTACAGTCTTTGAAGAACGTCAGTTGGAACATTGTGGCTGTAGTAGTGTGCATGAGGATGATTTCTCAATGTGGTTCATACCACGATGAGTATGAACCGGTGTTGTGTTCAATGCTTTGAAAAGGTGCAGGATGGATGTGTGGATGACAAGCCCCTCAAGTGTTCGAAGTTGAAATAACAGACCCCTATAGCATCGGGTGCGTGACACGCCGCACGCACATCAGGTTGCACTCTCATTCACACTCATTTCATTATTTATTGCACTGGACACACTACTGTATTTTTAACCATGGCTTGGGGGATAACAAAGAAAATCACGTCTGCTGTAAAGAAGTTGGCAAAAGGGAAGGCAACTACTGCATCGGCATCAGCCCTGATGGCACAGCGAGAGGAAGCACGGCAGACATTACTAAAGGCCAAGGGCATGCGGTCGCAGTATGATGGTCATCTGGTGCAGGGCTGCCGGTTCCTTGCAGACATGGTCAAGCAGAAGAAGACTGCTCATACAGATGGTACTCACACCCAGGCCAATGGCGAACTCGTCGACATTGATGCCTATAGCCATGCATTCAACAACACTCCCAACAGATACTCTGCATCCATGCTCGAACTCTTTCTTGTCCAGAAGGGTTTGATGGAGGCGCGAAGTCTCAGCACAATGTGGGGTGTGTTCTCGGCTTTCAATGATCTGTAGAAGAACTCGTGAGTGATCGCACACTCATTTTATGACACAAAATTGGATGATGTACAGCCAAGGGAAGACCTACCAAGGGCCGTACCACTTCAATTCAGCGACCGGGTAGTCACCGGAAACCCAGCTCAGTCTGCGGCCATGCAAGACATGATGGAAGTTTTGAAGAACAATGAGGGAGCAGAAGGTGGCAGCAGGAACCATGCATCTGCCATGACAATTGAGGACATGTGGAAGGTGATGGCATGGTCCTACAAGCAGTGCCCTGACGAGCTGATCAGTCTCATCTATTCCTGAGTTCGGACTGAGTCAGCTCTTGATATGGACAATGTAATTTTAGCCCAGAAGCACCTCGTAATCCGTGCGTTCGCAACCACAGGCTTTATGATTTGGACACGATGCATCCATCAGCGTGGAAGTGCAAAGACTAATTATATTGGCCACCTAATCCCCCACAGAAATGTCAAGCTTACGAAAATCAGACGAAAGGACATTGTTTGGAATTGCCAGGGACGCCCGCCATATGACATCCCTTATGACTTAGTGAGCCTGCTCAACCACAAAGGCTGGCAGCGAAAAGGCGAGACTGATGGTGCCTTAGATGGTAATGTCCTATGTGCCCCCAAAGGCTGAGTCTTGACATGTAGCTTCAAGGTCATGAGTACGAGATCTACCCTCAACAACAGACACCTGAGATCTGCATGTTCACACATCTGCGAGCCTGGGTAAATTTCTTGGAGAAGGTCCTTCTCCGGTGGCCATTGGAGCCTGATGAATTCATCTTCGCGCGAGTGGGTGCAAACAGTGTGGTCTATGCCTCCAACGAGCTGTCGTATGATGGTGTGATGAAGATGCTCGCCTGGATGTGCAAGGAGGTAGGGCTGACAGCTAGGTACACCACCCACTGCTTTCAGCGAGGTGGTGCAAGGTACCAGTTCATGTTCACACCTCTGGGACAGCGCTGGTCACTTGCTACCATTCGGTGGTGGGGTGCGTGGGCCGAAGGCAAAAGTGTGAGTGGAAGTTGTTGTGTGGTGCAGTGAACTGACCAATCCCCCTCGACTTGGACAGGTTGATACTCTGATACGGTACCTTCTGGACGAGCTCACTTGATATGAGAAGAATCACAGGGATGCATTGTGCCCCATCCCTCGGGAAGCTGACAAGAGTTTCAATGGTGACCACATCTTGACAGCACCTGTGACGGCAGCGGAAACACAGGAACTCAAGATGTCATTCAATCACGAGCTGAATCGGCTGTCCGACAAAGTCAAGGAGGTACTAGACAAACTGACCCTTGTTCCGGCGGTGCCCTTGCCATCACCACCACCTTCCCAACTTGCTCGGTGCTCTGTTTCGAACTCTGTCCCCTCCTCATCATCTCCACTATGTGACCAGTCCAACCTAGTACAGCCAACACCGTTTTGTGAGCCTGAGGCCTTGCATGCACCTTCCTCGGGAAGCTGTGTCTCACCATTTATGACACCCGACTCATTTCCTATCGACTCGAATTCTTCTTCTGCAGCCTTGCCTCCCATTGTCCCGACATCAGCTGCATGTCTCCACAACACTCACAGGCATGGTGCCTCAACAAAAAAAGCCACTCCTATTCCTGGCGTCAGGATTCCGGACCTGCCACGTGGACTCAAGGCATGGTGTGCTGCCGTAAAGCAGTGGGAAGACCCCGTGGCATCTATCGGAGGCAAGGCCCTGAAGGATTGGCCAGAGGAGTGGTACACCGGTCCCATGCGCACAATCACTGGCGTGAAGCGGAACATCCGCAAGGTGATTGGCAATGGAGTTCTACCGGTGAGTCACCTTTATGCTCATTGTAGGTTCAAGAGCAGGGCTTGAGACTCAGATCACACTCTCAACAGGCTGCAGCAGGACGAGGGAGTATTTCTGAAGACATACCCTGAGGCAACCCGTGGTGTCAAGCTGCTTTTTGATGCAATCCAGTGCCAACGCAAGGGACGTGGTGAAATCACCGGATGAGCAAGTAAGAATGGCCGCCCAGAAGTCTGAGCATCCTCCCGGTGAGAACAAATATACCGTGGTTTTCCATCTGCACTCGTCCACATACCACCCAGTTGCACATACCTGCAGCAAGATCAGACTCGCTGGCATGACTTTGCTGCATGCTCGTGCACCACACACACTCGCTTACTACTTACTCCTCGTAACTCGATCTGTATCTCTTTTGTGCTCTGTGTTTTGTGGGCATCAGCTTTGTGAAGGATGGGTCATTTGTACAAATCACACCTGCAGTTTCGAAAGCTTCGAATCCATTTTCATTTTTACTGTGTGAACTGAACATGAACGTGCATGCGTCAAGCAGCGGAGCGGAGGATTCGAGACTCCAAACGATGTCGGCAACATCGACAGAAGAGAGAGAGAAGGAAATTTTCTCGAACCAAGAGGGAATCTGGCGGATGCCACGGCGGCACGTGACCGTAAAACCGCGTAAAATTTTCGACAAAAGTGGTACCACGGTTATCACAGAACCACTTAATTAAGCCTGAAAGCATTCCTATGCAGCACCGGCGGTGCACACCAGCAGGTTCTATAGACTTGTACTTAGCTTTTCTACCTTATACATGTAGTATAAAGCACTGGCGGTGTGCCGCTGCCGGTTTATTTAATAACATCACTCAATTTGGCAACTTTGTCACCTCACATAAGCAGTGCAGTGCCGCCACCCTTGTGCTCATCATCTGCAACAGCAAGCTCGAGTACATCATCAAAATAACATATTTTTAATAGCAGCTTTTTGATATTAAACATGCTTCTCATGGACAGAGGTAATGCACATAGTACAGTAACTTATACCTGTATGAGACGGACAGCCAAGGGTGACAATGTACCAATACAGACGGGCCAGCCCATGTGGGCCCATGGCAATAATTGTACCATGATAGACGAGTGGGCCGAGGGTGGTGTGTACCTGATGCAACTGGGTGGGCCGGTGGTATATAGTATAGATGGTAGTATAGTAATGTACTATATAATAGATTATGAATGTCAGTGTGTGATGGAGATGAGTGGGCTGGTAAATGACATGCAATGTAAACGAGTGGGCCAGGGAAATGGGGTATGATGGAGATGAGTGGGCCAAGGAATGGGGTGCAATGGACAAGTGGGCCACATTATATGCAGTACATGCAGGATATACCATCCGGTAAATTGACATGCCATCCGGTAGATGCAGGACACCATCAGGTTTATGGACATATATATCTATTTACCGGATGGTATATTCAAAATCAAGGGGACTTTTACCCTTTTGTTCTACTCGAGATTTCTCTCATCGGCCGGACGATTCCTCTGTTTCAGCCGGATGGATTCCCTTTATGTCAGCCGGACTAATCCTCTTTACATCGGCCGGACAAATACTCTGATTCGGCCGGACGAACCCTCCTTACGTCAGCCGGACTAATCCTCTTTACGTCGGCCGGACTAACTCTCTGATCGGCCGGACAAATCCTCTGATTCAATCGGACGAATTCTGTTAAGGTCGTGCTCAAGGGAGAGGTTACTCAAAGGGCTTCGGCTTCAGCTTGTGCACTGCGCCCCTTACCCAAGTACGTGCCCTTTAATTTCCAGGGGACAGAGGGGAAGTCTGACGGAAGTCCGGGGAGTTCTGGAGGACTTAGTGTTGGTGGAGTTCGGTGGAACTCCGGAAGGTTTATACTGGGACAGAGTGAGGCTACTACGGAAGTCCAGAGTAGAAACTGAACAGAGGTTAGACTACCCTAAGGTAGAGCCAGAGAAGTAGTCCTAAGGTTTAACCCCTAAGACTCGGAGGTGGACAAGAGATGAGACTCAAGTCTGGAGATTTGCAGGAATGAGCAGAACTAAGATGATATTCAAACTGAGGAGTTCCGGAGTATTACAGGGGTTTATATACTGTAGGTAACATGTAAGTAAATCAGTCAGCAAAGGTAAGGGCTATGTACAAAGCATGTGGAAAGTCTATTAGTAAGTGTAGCGGATCAAAGCAGTGAAGTCGGAAATGAAGTAGGAATGGATGGATCAATAAGCATAGCAGAAAGAACATAACCGGTAACTGGAGCAATAGCTAATCTAAAAGGAGTTAGGGGTGAGTGCGGAGATGAAGGTGGAGCGCTGGGCGGAATAGTAAGATGGAGGACGGACTTCAATGAAGTAGATCCGGAATTCCGGATCCGGAGGTACGGGATATGACAGATTTGTTGAGTACAGCATCCAGTGCGATTTCAGCAAACTCAAAATCGCTGTGTGAAATGAAAGGATGCCAAGGCTCTTCGTTAATGGGAAGCTGTTCTTCAGGATGGGCAGTTAATGCCAAATTCATCGAATACTTGATGGAGAGGCTCGCGATCAGCAGAAGGGTGGTATTCTGTTCTGAATTCCAGGGGCTGTTGAGCAGATATTGCAGGCAGAGGTTTGACAGAGCCTAATCGGCTATTAACTATGCAGAAAAATAAATCAGTTAACATAAATAAATCAATACCATGCTGACCTGGGCTGCTGTCAATGGCACCCTCGAAGTTGATGTTGTCCAAAGTTTCGAAATCAAGTGGAGGGTCTGAATCGACTACGATAATTGGTGTTAGATTCAGAGATGCATGGGAACAAAAGTCAAAAGTCAGAAACACACCTGGAGGAACGATCAGTTCCTGATCTCCACTTGTGGAGGGAACATTAATATTGTTGATCGATTGAGACGGCAGGCTGGCACTGGGATGCCTGATACCCATATATGCCTGCCAGCGAGCTATTAGAACCTCTAGTTGTCAGTGAAAATCAAAATCAAGTAGGAGAGAACTCACCTCTCCTTTGATCTTGCTCGTGTTCAAGAGCGAAGGCCTCTTGTTCCTTCTCAATGTCCATGTGCTTCTTGCAGCTGGTTTTATGCTTTTTGAAGCCCTGTATCTTGAAAATTTTGTTGCAGTGTGGGCATTGATGCTGCCATGTCAGAGTTTGTACTGAGTGATTGTACTTTGACCTAGAAGTGCAAGAGGGCCCCATAATGATGTGATGGTACGATTCAAATCAATAAGATTGCGAGCAGCATTATATTATGTATATAAAGTAGAGTTTATCATTACATAGGCATTACTCATGATCACAAGACCTACTATGACAGACTATGACCCTTGAAAGGCACTTTTAAGGTACCTTACAAGTCATGTGACCAATCTTGTAAACCGGCGGCATTATAATGGCCCTTTATCTTTTTCCGACAACTGAGTAACAGAGTAACTGTGATATTGTCAAATTGAGCAAACATATAGGACAAAAACTTTTGAAAAAAAATTATGAAAGTGTGACATCGTGCAACATAGTATTGACAATAGCTTCAGCATGCTCCTTGGGAATCTTAGCAAGCTCCTGCAATTTCATAACCCATTTCTTAGTAAGGTACTGTTTCTGAATTGAAGTACAGATAGAATGAAACACATCTGGATACCCTAGCTCTTCCAGAGCTGCTTCAGTCTTCTTCCCAAATGGGACAAGTGTTGATATGCGAGAGGTTTGCGGTTCAGATATGGAGTAGGTGATGAGTGAGGGAGGAGGCACAAATGATACAGCCCTCTTCACTGAATGAGTTGATGTAGGGGTTACAGGAGGATATTGTTGTGGAGAGTTGAAAACATTGATGTCGTTGTTGTTGTCACTGTCTGAAGTCTTGTAGAATGTGACCGGGGCGTGAAGGGACTTGGCAGGTTTGTTGACATGTAACACAAGTTTTTGGGTCTCCTGCAGGTAAGTTAGATTGGTGCTCTACTTGGATATAATTGCACTCACAGTTCCTGCGCTGCTCGGTTCAACACAAAATGAACGAGAAGGACACAAAATGGAAGGAGGTAAACTGGAAGGATGCGAAATGGAAGGATGCAAGCTGGAAGGATGCGAACTAGATGGCACACTAGCACTGCCCCCACTGTTGTTGTAATCAGTGCAGGCATGCCTGATTTGTACCTGAGTCGGCTCCCATATAACATTGCCATCATACAAAGGCGCATAAGATAAGATATGGGAGGATGAGTTGAGGAGACTTTCTAAAGAACCAGCTGGACAGTCCATGAAAGACAAAGTGCGCAGAGTTTGAAGATACTGGCAAGGGAACTAGAGGCAGGATGGTATCAATCTTTTCCTTGCCCTTGGAAGGAGTTGCTTTGCCTTTTGAAGGTGTTTGTTGAGCGTTTGATTTACCCCACTTGCGACTGCAAGTCTCAGCAAAGGCATGTGCCAATGGAGCACATAGTCGGCAATGAAGGTCTGTGTAATCTGTGCAAGTACTGGGTGGAGCTCTTGATGCTCGGCAAGGACCCTGGGGTTGATGTACACCTCAGCTTTGAGGGATTCTGGTACAACATCTGCATTCGGTGATGTTGCACCTGGATGGTGCAATATGATAGTTGAGCCACCCGTTAACCTGTCGAGAATAGTGCACTATTAACCACATAGTTAGTAGATTGAATGATACAAAGACAAGGAAATGCACAAGATCAAAGATGCAGTTTAAGATGTTGTTGGTGTGAGTGATATGAGAACACCAATTATTCAATCTGTTGTCCTGAGTAGCTTTCTGGACTTTGGAAAACCCTGTACTATAATGCAAGTCAGTAAAAGTGTGAAAGCCGTTGTTGGTCTCCAGGTGCCCGCCATCATTGTGGGATCCATGTGCTTGCAAAGATAAGAGGGCAGACATCCAATGAGGTTCTGATCCAGTGATCCTGGTGAGCTCTTGAGGGCAAGCAATTAGAGTGTTGAGTTCTTTCATGCCATCCACAGTGGGAGGTCTGTTAAACTGAGAGGATTTCCAATCTGTGGGATGCGCCATGGTGAAGTGAATAATGGAGGGAGCAAGGTTGTTACGAAGTTGGCAAAGTCACACATGAGCCGAAACACATGCATCGTATTATGTACAATTGAGTCCATGCAACAAGTTCAAGTTATCAATTATCATGTGCTCAACAACATCACAATGGTGTTCATCAATATACTTCAATTTAGATATTCAGTTTGCATTACTGGTACATTGTACACTAGTTACAAGCAACTTTAAGTTATCAATTATGCACTCAACAGCATCACAACAGTGTTCATCAATATACTGCGTGCACACTGCAACTTTAACTTATCGAAACAGCATCACAACAGCAGTGCATCAACAAACTTCAATTTCGTTATTCAGTCAGCATTACCAAGTACATCATACAGTAGTCGTGAAGCTCATTTACACCAGATACTTATAGTAAACCTGCATTGGATGAGATACAAGAGATACATTCACACTACCAACAATTACACCTATTCTAAGTCTACGCGATGGTGATCAAGTCCCTTGAAGTAAGTATGCACATCTTCCAACTGCCTGAATGCTTCCTCATCTGCGTCACCTTCGCCTATGTCATCCTGATCTTGTGGTAATTGATGTGGAGGAGGCAGTGATGCTACCTCAGTCTGACCTTTGCGAGTGCCGGGTCCCACTGGCCCATTATACCCTGGTAACTCCATGATCCGCTTGATGCGCCACAGGTGACGTGTATTTACTGACCGCAGATGCATCCAGCATCATTGCAGTTCAGCTGCAAAGGGTGGGTTATCAGACTGCAGCCGTACAATTGCTTGAGGGTAATCAATGCCGTCATCCTGGACTTTTGGGGGCAAGCATCCAACTTTGACATTGAGCCTGCAGATTTCTTCATTAGTGTGGTGCTGCTCAATGAATTGGGTGGAGGCATGACAGTAAGATGGGTTTGCACAGCGCTTGGACTGCATCTCACCATTGGTTTCACATAGTAGGTCAAACTCGGCAAGAAATGAGTACTCAACTATTTGTTCCCATTGTAATGCAGGGCGAGGAGGGTTGAGCTGAGCGGCATATTTATTGTAGCAATTAAGTGCATTTAAAATGGCATTGGCATGACTTTTCAGGGCATTGGAGATCTGGGTGCAAAGTTTATAACCTGTAAGCATGAGTGTTAAAGACTACATTTCAAAAGGTATTCGAGCTCTACCTAGACCACCCATTTGTAACTTTGTCAACTCCAGCAGTCGCATGACGACAAGATGTTCGACGTCATCCACTGCCTTGTGGAAAAGACGATGAGTAATGCACAACTGTGCTTTGATGCACTCAGGGTGGTTTACGTCCCATCTCGACGATAGTGCCATTTGATGTTCGCAATCAACTACAACCTCGAGCTTCTGATCACATTTGACCATGGCATGGGTATGATGGCGTTGAATATTCCCAGCATCCATAGAAGAATAATTTGATCGTAGGTCAAGCTTCGCAAACTCCACTCACACTGATTCATATGCAAGCCTGATATAATGTAATGTCGGTACCAGCATAGCCGAAAAACAAATACTAACTGTGCCTCATCATAGTCATTCAATGCCTTGATGTAATCAACTTCGATGGTAGATTCATCCTTCTTGTGTGCGAGCCATTGTAGAAAAAGATGTTCATCACCAATATCAGCCTGAAAATTAATGTCGGTGGTAGGGTTTGATGCAGCAAAGTTCATGAGAAAAATGCTCGTGGTTGATATTGATGTCAGTGCTTGGATGTAATTGTTATAGATGAAGTCAGCTATGTCAATGGTTAACCTAGAGTCGAAGAAACAAAGAGGGACTTACATAGCGCAGCATACCTGTCCATGTCAGCGAGAGAGAAATGTTCATCCAAGGCTTGGTGGCAGTGGAAGTTAGTGGCATTTCGAATCTTGCAAGCAAGTGCATTTGACTCAGAGAAAACATGTTCACATGTCTCAAAGTCTTCTTTGCCAGCACCGACTTTGTGCTTTGAATGATGCTTGAGTTGGCAAAGATGATTGTGCGCATGCCTGTGAAAAGCGGGCACAACGTCCTGCAGGTTAAGTCTCTTCACATCATCTGCAAGCGAGCTGTGAAGGAGAATCTTCTCGAATGCACATTTGATGTCATAACCAAAAAGGATGTTGCTGCCAAAAATGTCCATCAGCTTCTTCACGCTAGCGATTGGGTATTTCATCCTGCCAACAAGTAAGTGTTATATAGAAAAAGCTCGAATTAAAATACGTACAGTTCACCACTTCAGACCATGTCACATATCATAAGCAAAAACCCGTGTTGACAGACAAAGACAAAAATTCCGGACTGCTTGAATATAGCAAACATTTTTTTGCATGACTCGGGAGCCGGATTGCGCCAATGGTCCATGCAGACACTGGGTGCACATACTACAGTGACCTAACTCCGTATTATACAAGTGAACTGACGTACACAATATCCCGTATAAGACGGGCCAGCGGACCATGGGCCGATGTTATGAATATCCTTGAAGATGATGGATGGGCTGGGAGTGATATTATTCCCGATGGAGGTGGGTGGGCCCATGTCAGGAATAAGTAAGGTAGATGAGTGGGCCAATGTACATGAGTATTATATAGACGGATGGGCCGAGGTAGTTGGATATTACAGTGGCTCAAAAAACTGTCCGCATGTTTTCACATTTTTCACTATCTATGATATTTTATGAGAATGTACAAACACATCAAGGACATGCTGGTACCATATTGGAGTACTACTTCAGGGCTTCCAATTGAGCCCTATGGCGTGGGAATCAGCCGAGATATGGTGGACATATGAGGCTTACAAAATGATGACTCATGCGGACAGTTTTTTGACTCAAATATTTTACAGTGATAATCAGGTATTCTAGTACATTGTATGACCTCCCTTGGCTTTAATTACTGCCTCTATCCTTCTAGGCATACTCTTAAAACTATATCTAACTATATAAACCAGAATGTCTTATGTGTCATAGTCATAATCACTATGAAAGCCATCTCCTCTGCTCGAAGGGATAATATCCTCTCTTTGTCCTATGCTGGCCTCTCTGCTCATCAAATTTTCTCTAGAACTGAAGTATGCAAGTCTACTGTGGCCAAGTGTATCAAAGAAAGCCATCTGGACAAGGAAAACTCTTGTGGAGGACGTCCACCTCTGCTAATAAGAGGGCTATCATCCAACATATCACTACAGGAAAGGCTAATGATGCCGTCCAAGCCACCCATTATATCAATTCCACCATCACCACCACTGTCTCTTCACAAACTGTGAGGAATGTTCTCAAGGCAGTTCATCTCAAGGCAGTAACAAAGAAGAAATGCCTCTTCTCTCTATCAAACATAGACAGAGAAGACTACCTTTGGCTTGGCCCATCAAAACTGGACTGTAGAGGACTGGAAGCATGTTATATGGTCAGATGAGACCAAAATCGATAGGATTGGGTCAGATGGGAAGGTATATGTGTGGAAAAAGAAGAGGGATTTTCTAACAGACAGAGAGGTTAGTGAGACTGTCAAATTTGGAGAAGGTTCTCTAATTGTATGGGGCTGTATGGGATGGAATGGTGTGGATATACTTGCTGAAGTTGAGGGGAGGATGGATGCTGAGCAGTATGTGGACATTCTAAATGACCACTTGCTGTCTAGCATAGCTGAATTAGGGATTGATGAAAAAGACATCATTTCCCAACAGGATAATGATCCCCAGCACACATCTAGAAGAGCCAGACAATGGTTTAAAGAACATAATATCAATGTTCTTGACTGACCAGCACAGTCCCCTGATGTCAATGTCATTGAACATCTCTGGGGAACACTCAAGAAGAAGCTTCAAGCCTATGAAACCCCCCCTAAAGTAGTATAGGAGCTATGGGAGAGAGTAGCAGTGGAATGAGCAAGGATTACAGCAGAATATTTCCAGAAATTGATTGAGAGTATGCCTAGAAGGATAGAAGCAGTAATTAAAGCCAAGGGAGGTCACACAATGTACTAGAATACCTGATTATCACTGTAAAATATTTGAGTCAAAAAACTGTCCGCATGAGTCATCATTTTGTAAGCCTCATATGTCCACCATATCTTGGCCGATTCCCACGCCATATGGCTCGATTGGAAGCCCTGAAGTAGTACTCCAATATGGTACCAGCATGTCCTTGATGTGTTTGTACATTCTCACACAATATCATAGACAGTGAAAAATGCGAAAACATGTGGACAGTTTTTTGAGCCACTGTATGTAGATGCATATACCAAGGTAGATGGGTATCACTTAGACGGGTAGGGCCAAGGGTAATTGTTATCATATACACGGGTGGGCCCAGACACATATCATGTTGATGGGTGGGCTGAGCCGAGGGTGTTGTATGATATACACGGGTGGGCCCAGATGTATATGATGTTGACAAGTGGGCTGAGGTTGTTATATGATATAGACAGGTGGGACTATCAAGTGCCGTGCCAAGCTCCGAACTACCGAAATTTGAATGAACCAAGCATCATGTACCGAGTTCCGGGACCCGGGTCTCAACACTGGAATATTTGATATCTAGCACCCTTCCAATTATCTGGTATTTCATTGACATACTAACATTGTAATGAATGATAATCCATCTTAGAAAGCTGAGTTTCAACTACCGAAATTTGACTGAACCAAGCATCATGTACCGAGTTCTGGGACCCGGGTCTCAACACTGGAATATTTGATATCTAGCACCCTTCCAATGATCTGGTATTTCATTGACATACTAACATTGCAATGAATGATAATCCATCTTTGAAAGCTGAGTTCCAACTACCGAAATTTGAATGAACCGAGCATCATGTACCGAGTTCTGGGACCTGGGTCTTGACACTCAAATATTTGATATCTAGCCCCCTTCCAATTGTCTGGTATTTCATTGACATTAGTATAGCAATGAAATGATAATCCATCTTTGAAAGCTAAAATCAAGGTTCCCTATCTGATCCACCCTATCTCCACCACCTTTAAAGTCTGTGGACATCTGGCATTGACCATCTGATTTCCCAAGATCAACACCATGAATGTGTCTTCCACCTCCGATATTGAAATAACCTTCTGGTGCACTTGGGCCTTGACTGTCACTCATGAGGCATGTGAATATACCAAACAGAAATTCATTGCCAAGAAAACAGGAGGAGACCCAGTCATACCTTCTCCTAAGCTAGACACCAATCTGGTGATGGCTTGCGATCAATTGGTGGATTGCCTCATAAAGGCATATAACAATCCCAGTGGGTCTTCCCACAGATTTGGACAATCCATTTGATCATTCAAATTGCTTCACAGTTCGGATGCAGATTGATATTGCGAGATACAGCAAAATGATCTCCCCGAAGGACACTGGACATAATGAAGAAAGAGAGGCGAAGTTGCTTGAGAGGTGTCCTCCTGGCCATGAAGGTACAAAGTTGGTTGACATACCCGCCACAGTTCTCGATGCTACCGGCGCCATCATTGTGTGGTACCTCCTGGATGCCCTGACGGAAACCACCCAGGTGGGTAATATATTTTGTTACTCAATGGATATGGAATATGAAATGGGAACTCCAGAAGGAAATTCTGGCAGCCTCCGATTTGCTCAGTCCAAGCCTTGCAAAAAGTGTAAAGGTTGATGGGAGTTGGCGAACTAATCAGTATTGGTTCAAACCAAGCTCAGAAAATGATGGCATATCTCCTGGATGCATCAATCTATCTCCGGCTTGGTTTCAACAGGGGCACAAGGTGGGATCTCATGAGATGGTGATTTCCGATAGTTACACTGACCAATCCAGTAGAATCTGTCAGACCCGGCGGTATCTGCCTCATTGAAGGGACCATTCTCTGAGAATATTCTCAAAGCCATTGCCAGGCCGGCAGCCATCGCATCAGCCGCACTCAGGGTGATGCATCCTGAGCAGTACTGGGCAGGGATACGAGCCTTTTTAAGCCTCGGACAATCAGCTAAAGCAAGAATCTTCCAAGGATGTCAGAGACCCTCCAGTACTGGGCATCCGTGTTTAATACCCTCACCGTCATTTCCAATTGGCAAACCCCCAATCATCGAGACCACATATCCATTCCTGAATGCTTTGATATTCTCACCACTGTGGGTAATTATTTGAATGCTTGCATGAGTATGCCAAGTCTTCAGCTGGAGTTCATGTACGAGCCTGGCTGTATTATCGCATTTTCAGGAAGGATTGTAAGACATGGGGTTCATGAAGTAGAAGGGGATCGAATTGCTTGGGCATGGTACATGAGGGATTCTGTTCATATTTATGCCGGGGTTCCCTCATGTGGATGGGCTAGGATGGATCGCATACATACTCCATCCTGGCAAGGATAGAACAGGCAAATAGCTTAGTACCCATGTGATAGTACCTACTGTCAAATACCCATTACCAATGTTTGAGTGCCAATAATCAAGCATCAAACAGACAAATGTTCGACATTTGATAGCCAGAACTCGGTACTCCACTCCCGGAACTCGGCACTCCATTCCTGGAACTCGGCATTCGGCACTAAACACCCGGATGTCGGTAATTGGTATACAGTGTTTGGTACTCGGCACCCTGAGCTCAGCATTCGGTACTCAGTATGGTGATTGGTCCAATTTACAAAATGTGGATTCTGGGTTTCAGTACTCGGCACTCGGTACCCGATACCCGGAGGTCAATACTCGGCATTTGGTATTCGGTGTTCAGTACTCGACACCTGGACCTTGATACCTGGAACTCAATACTCGTTACTCGGAAGTCAACACTTGATCCCCGGAAGTCGAAACTCGATACCCTGAGGTTGATACTCGGCATTCGGTATTCAGTATTTGGTATTCGGCGTTCAGTACTTGATACCCGGAACTCGGTACTCGATACCCGGAGGTCAATACTCAGCATTCAGTATTCGGTGTTCAGTACTCGACACCCAGACCTCGATACACAGAACTCAATACTCGATACCCAGAACTCAATGCTCGATACTCAATACTCAGTATTTGGTATTTGGTACTCCATGGTATTTGGTACTCCATGCTCGGTACCTGGAACTTGATACCTGGAACTAGATACCTGGAACTCGACATTGAGTCAACTTATTATTCATGCTCTCCAAAGTTAAAGATCTGTACAACATACATCTAAGGGTATAAACCTTTGATACACTAACATTTAATAAGGATCATCCCCTCTGGCTCTCTTCAACCAGGCTAGGGTGTCAGTGTACATATCAATCTCCACTATCTTATCATGGATGCCCTCCTGATGGTCCTGAATCAACGACACCAGGTGTTCCCTAATCCACTTCAGTCCCACCAGTGATGGAGCTGGGGTGCTGTCCAGCTGCTCTGGAAGGATGAGACCATTGTCCTCAACACCACTCTAGATTGGATTAGTGATCTATCAAGGAAGTTGGGTATAATGCTTACTAGCCAATGCTGGTAGTGAAAGTGACAGGAATATATTACCTGATCCCATTGCCATGGTTCGTTAAGGATTGTAGTGTCCCCCATCCACCATGGAGTATCATAGGAAGATACCATCCGGGAGGGTTGTCCATGATCTCAGACCAGACAAAACTTGGATAGGTGGGATGAAAAGATGTGGTCTGGAACCGTGTTCCATGTGAGCTGAGGAAACAAGTGAAGAATATGAGTGATCGGGGGTGGCATAACCGAAATTATGTTCCTTGCAGCTGAGTACTGCAGAATCGGTGTCACAAAAGTCTGTTTGCAATCTCAGCATATTCCCAACCACAGTCATCTGTCTGATGGCTTACAATGATCACCCATTGGATACCAGCTTTAAAGTAGATTATCCGAGCCGAAGGAACATCGTTCTCAGCAGCCTCCGTCTGATATTGACTGATACAGGCTTGAACGCGCAATGCAGCCATTGCCAATGTAACTGCAATATTTGCAAGACTCATTGTGGGGGGTTTATATTCATTGCCGGAATCCTCAGTGGCAGAAGTGGATGCAGGAGGTGAATTTAATTCAGACATGGGCAATGCAGGAGTAGGACGCTACCAAAGATAATGACAGTTTTTTCAGATGGGAGCCACTGATGGATTGATAAGGAATTCAAACTCTGACATGGGCTGACCCGGCCCCTGGCTGAGACTCAATTGTTGGGATCGAATCATATATCAGCAGAAAATATTCATAATTCATTCATCTTGGGCATCTATTAACATGCTCTGCAGGTCTTGAAACGCTGCCTGAGCATCCTGTGCCAGTGATGAATACATTTGGGATTGCCTTCCGGAGTAGCAAGCATGACCCAGAAGGCGTTTCACCAATGATTCCCTCATCTGGTCGCCCCATTGCGTTGATTTCCACAAGAAGAAATTACATGTCCAATCCATCTCCAATTCCACCAATATCAGTTCTTCCTTCCATTGATCCCGTAGTGCCTTTGCCCAAAGCCAATGAACGTGGTAAACTTCACGCGGGTCCGGTCAGATCACAGGCATTTGTCAAGCAAGCCGGAACTCACATTTCTCATTCTACGAGTGATTCGGACCCCCCAAATCTACTTCAATATCCCAGAACCAAGCGAGAGACTCATTTCACTGACCTCAGACATTAAGATCGCCGACGGCCGTGCTGACCTTGAGCTGCTCCTGAAGCAGGGGTTTATATTTTTGTAGCTGGTCTTGGCCCGGCTCAAGTTTTATCATTTGCTTCCTGGTCTTGGTATATATGCTGGCATGGAGGGACACCGCCTGGTGCACTGACGTCACCTGGGACCAAGCTCGGGTTTTCAATGCTTGAGATTTGGCTTGCCTAACTGTTGTTTGGAAGAGTATTGCCTTGTTGCACAAGTGAATTCAGAGGTTGTGAAGGGCATCATTGGCCTGTCCTTCACAAAGCAACAACTCCAGCGGAATCAGATCCTCTGCCATACAACATTTGCATCAATCTACCCCGAGGTTTGATGGCAATGGGATGACAGTGAGCTCGGGGGAGTTTGTCCATGTATCAGATGTCCCGATGAAATCCTCCAGGTCATCATCAAGATCATCGAGAATGTCTATATTCAAATCATCAGGATCATTTTCTGCATCATATCCCTCTCCCAGATGCATCAGAGCAGTCTGAGTGAATGCATCTATGTGGCCTTGTAGACGATTGCATTGCTGGGAAATGTCTAATCTCTGAGTCTTGGTAGTTCTTTTTCCTATTCTTTGGACCTCAATGAGCAATGCAATTTGAGCCTCTTCAATTGCCAGGCCCATTGATATCCATGTTGCCACAGATCTGCGAGAAGGTGCTGCATGATGGGCATTACCCTCCTGCAGCAGTCTAAGCTCTATCTCCTTTTTGCTCAGTGCTGGGTTCAAAATGAATTCAGACTTCGATCGAGACAGAGTGATCTTACCCTTCTCAATATTAATCTCATATATATCCATCACAGCTGGATCTTGGATTCTGTTGGACTGAGCGATCCTCTCACTTGCTAACCAGTCTGTCTTTAAGTTGGCTGGTGCGGCTTTGTCGAGTCTGTCAAAAGCCTTTCCACTTTTGGCAATGCCATTCTTCGCCTGCTTGTATTTCTGGCAAAGGGTCCTCTTCATGCAGATCATCTTGCAAAAGTTGGAATCGTTCATCTGGAAAGCAAGACATTCCTTCCAATGCAGGGAAGACATTCCCTGAGCAGCAGGAGAAATCAGGTTGAGACATGCCCATAGGGTCTCCATTATCTCTCCATCAATGCAACCAATGCCTTCAATGAAATTTGATACATATCTGACATACCAGCTATCCTGATGTCCATGGATATGCCACAGCCCGATTCTGGGAATGACGGTCAATTCTGGAACCATTGTCAGAAATTGGTTTTGATCCACCCGAACATGCAAGTGCTTGTTGTATTGACAGTTGATGTCATAGAAGGTGACAGCCCTTGTAATCCCATCCATGTTGTGCTGGGCAGCCTCACAAAGTGCGTAGTCCATGTTCATTTGTCTGCAAATGATGCATGGTCAACTTGGGAATGTTGAACGGCATGTCTGGCTTGCCTTTCACCTTTCTGAAAATCTATCATTGAGTGAGGAACAAAGCAACTGTGTCAGGCACAGGCTACTCCCCCGATACTGGTGGACTCCAGCTTGTGCCAAGCTGCATTTGCTTGATTAACAGCCCAATGATTGTTGCAGCTTGATTTTTCCAGTGTCAGCAGCCTCTTCAAGATGCTTTTGATACCTTTCCTTTCTCACCATAAATCCCAACCCATCGGAGAGCCAAACTTCATCATATAGCTTGATGGGATGCAGGTGTTCGGCTTTGAAATTTCCATCCATCACAAATGACCAGCTGTATTTCCAGCTTGGAGTTTTTAATATCGCTGATGTAGATTTGGTAATGAATGGGACTCACTCATCAAGTGATTCATCCCCTGACAAGGATATGTTAATCCCAGGCTGAGGACATGCCAGGCAAAATAATGCAAGATCTCTGGCATTCGGGTTGTCAGAACGATGGCCAAAGCCATGCCATTTCATAGACTTTAACTGCCTCCACTGTCGAGCGACTCTCATAAGCTCTCTGTATCGGTCCTTGCAAAGTGCTTTGTCAATATAATGTGCTTCAGATGATGTAGATATGGGATTACCAGAACAAGGTGTGGAAACACGCTTGAGGTCATTTGCTGAAGCTTGCTGTAATAGTTCATTGCTGAGGTGCTGCATTCGAGGTTGTCCAACAGAAAATCATCTAGCACTCTGAAGGTGAACACGGTCTTCAGCTTGTTAAATGATGCAGGGAAAAAGCCATGTCAAAACATTTGAATGTCTGGACTCATGGCATTGGGACAGTCACAACATCGAACCTGGAGGTGATGGACTCCTGACTTGTCAACAATGACCATTGTATTTTCCTTGGGCTGGAACTTGGGTCCCGACACAGAAGGTAGATCTTCAGGTTCAAAGTGGTCTTCTTGTTCATCTTCGTCAAACAAATCCCACCTATCCATGACTACCGGACATTGCTTGCCATCATGACCAAGGTATATGATGAGTCCAACATGAGCCAGACAACTTTTCTCGAAGAATTGACCATTCCATTGACTGATCCAGTGGAAAGGATTGCAATGATATTGACTCCAGGCAACAGCCTGTGCAATAGAGTGGCTCCCCAAGACAATCTTGACATTTATAGACCCCATCCTGATTGCAGATGATGCATCTCCTATCTTCTGGTGGAGCTTCTCGATCCAGGAGGTGATGGAGATATGATTCCTACCTTGGCAGCCATTGCCTGAGGTAGTCATTCTGACTCTGTATTTTTTAATACTTAGCTATCATTTGAACGACATTCCAACATTTTACATGAACTTGCCATTGTTTTTGGGAGTTGCAAGGGCTCAAATGCCCCTTGGTCTTGCTCATACAGTGGCTCAAAAAACTGTCCGCATGTTTGTGCTATTTTCACCATTTACATTATTGTATATGAATGGACAGGTAAACCAAGGATATGCCAGTGGGGTACTCTGTAGTACTCCTTTGGGGCATGAATGTGAGCCCTTGCCTGTGGGAATCCATGGTAATGTGGTGGCACTATAGGCCTTACAAAATGATGACTCATGTGGACAGTTTTTTGACCCTAGATTAAAATTATATAAATCATTAGTTATGACACCATAAAGTCATGCCACTATCAAATAAATTATAAAGTGGTGTCATTATGACATTATTAAACTTATCTCTAAGTATATAATGAAGTGTGTCCCACATATCATAGTCATAATCACCATGAAAACCATCTCCTCTGCTCAAAGGGATAATATCCTTTCTCTGTCTACTGCTGGCCTCTCTACTCGTCAAATAGCCTCTAGAACTGGTGTATGCAAGTCTACTGTAGCTAAGCTCATCAAAGAATGTCACCCAGACAAGGAAAACTCCAGTGGAGGTCGTCCATCCAAACTCACCTCTACTGATAGGAGGGTCATTATCCAACATATTACCACAGGAAAGGCTGATAATGCTGTCCAAGTCACTCATCATATCAATTCCATCATCCCTACTCCAGTTTCTTCACAAACAGTGAGGAATGTCCTCAAGGAAGCCAATCTTAGGGCTATAACAAAGAAGAAAAAGCCTCTTCTTTCCATCACTCATAGGAAGAGAAGACTAGCCTTTGCCCTAGCCCATCAAAACTGGACTGTAGAGGACTGGAAGCGGGTCATATGGTCAGATGAGACCAAAATCAATAGAATTGGGTCAGATGGGAAGGTATATGTGTGGAAAAAGAAGGGGGGCCCTCTTACAGATAGAGAGATCAATGGAACTCTCAAGTTTGGAGGAGGTTCTCTAATGGTATGGGGATGTATGGGGTGGAATGGTGTGGGAATGCTTGCAGAAGTTGAGGGGAGGATGGATGCTGAGCAGTATGTGGACATCCTCAACCACCACTTGCTGCCTAGCATGGCAGAATCAGGAATTGATGAAGAAGACATTATTTTCCAACAGGATAATGATCCCAAGCATACATCCAGAAGAGCCAGAGAATGGTTTGAAGAGCACAATATTCACCTCCTTGACTGGCCAGCACAATCCCCTGATGTTAATGTCATTGAACATCTCTGGGGAGTACTCAAGAAGAAGCTTTTAGCCTATGAACACCCTCCTAAAGGAGTATGGGAGTTATGGGAGAGAGTCACAGTGGAGTGGGGAAAGATTACAGCAGAGGATTGTCAGAAGTTGATTGAAAGTATGCCTAGAAGAATAGAGGCAGTAATTAAGGCCAAGGGAAGTCACACAAAATACTAGAACACCTAATTATCTGTGTAAAATACTTGGGTCAAAAAACTGTCCACATGAGTCATCATTTTGTAAGGCCTATAGCGCCACCGCATTACCATGGATTCCCACGGGCAAGGGCTCAAATTCATGCCCCAAAGGAGTACTACAGAGTACCCCACTGGCATATCCTTGGTTTACCTGTCCATTCATATACAATAATGTAAATGGTGAAAATAGCACAAACATGTGGACAGTTTTTTGAGCCACTGTAAGTATTGTCAGGAAAGTCTTCCCAAGGAGGTGGGGCCTGAACAGGTTCAAGTGTTGGTGATTCCAGGGGAGAGTTAGGCATGGACCTGTAGGCATGTTGTCTCGTGCTGGCAAGTGGGACCTTGACCCATGTCTTCCTACCTTTGCTGCCCCTTGCTTCTACCCTGTGGGATTTCTGCAATGGGGTGCAATGACCTATCTTCATTTTATTTTTCAATGTTGCAAGGAAAGCATTAGCTCAGGAAGGTCAAACGAATTGTCATTCCATCATCGTATTATGCAGTTTGGTTGGCTCATTACCAATTCATTTCCATGAATGGCATTGCATCTGTTATAGGTAGATTAACCAACTGTTAGGCTTTGCTCAAAGTTGAACTCACGACCATTATTACTTCCACTTTGCTTATCCTCAGCCCATTCTGCAATCTTATTCACCATGGAAAGATCAGGTCATTCCACTCAGTTGAATTCTGGAAGACAGAGAACACATCAACCACAGTCACAGAAGCTCACGGAAAATGAAATTTCAGAGCTGAAGAACTACCTTCCTGAGTGGACTTCTGCATAAAGGAGCGAGAAATAGGGAGTTTTCAATGCCATAGCTTGAGTGGCCAGGTTATTTGCTCCTAAGGTCAACCAAGGACGATGGAAAAAGAGGAAGCAGGTGATACATCCTTGTGGTGTTGAAAAACTCGATTTTTCATGTCTGATTCTTCCATTGCCTCTTAGATGTATAAGACTTGGTTGTTCAACAACAACAAAAAGAAGGAAAGGAAGGACATGATTAAGTATGGGAGGAAATGGGCGCCTGGGCAGGTGATCTACCAGCAGAACTGAGAGGAAGTGCTAAAGAGGATTGAGGATGAGTTTGGGGCAAAGCCAGGAGGTCAAAACATGTTCAAGCATTATTAAGCTGTGGTGAAGAAGGTCATGGCCGAATTGTCCGAGGATGAGTTGGAGAAGGTGAAAGAAACCACTGAAGAATGGTCCAACAACTTTCCTCCTCCTTAGATACAGGCGCAAGTCACCCATAAGAAGGGACCTGTATATATGCAGCACTTTTTGAACAAGATGTGGAGACAATGCGGGATGAGAGTGTTTGTGTTGTCGGCTTGGAAGAATGAACACGGAGAGGTGCTGTTTGGGATTTCAGTGAATTTTATCTGTCATTGCAGATATTTGGTCTCAACTTATTTCACATAGGCATGATGATAATGAGGCATTATGGGATGGGGACAGCTTCATGAAGATGAAGGACTGGGAGGACATAGAGCTGGTTTGGCAGGAGTACATGCAGGAACAGTTCGGTGAGTGTTCCCACTGTGGAGACGAGAATGATTTCATTGATTGTTGGGATGATAGGTGCCGAGGCATGGGATGGAGGATGACAGGTGAAGGGAGGGTGAAAAAGAATGAAGAAACCAGTGTTCAATCTGGAAATGAATGGGGATGGGATGCCGTTGCTTCTGGACATCACAGAAACAAAACTTGAGGAGAAGAAGGCCATAGTGAAGGCTTTTCTTACAAAGCACTATCGTGCCATGGAGTGCCATCATACAAAGTCAGGATGACTTTGTGGCCAGAAAGTATCTTCTGGTGGATGTAGACTTGAAGGAGCCTTCCAAGTTGCAAAATTGGGATACCACCACCTTGCTCAATTTCTGTTGGCAGGAGACAGGTGAAGGTCCAATGTTCCTGTTCAAAGCATGGAGGAACAAAGAAGGCAACATGGTAGATTCCATTGTATCTGAGAAATCACCTCCTCATTGGAAGCATAAGAGGGTGATGATCTGGAGACCTCGGGATTCATCAACCGAATGCAAGAGTGATGCCGAGGGCAATACTCATCCAGACGATGAAGCTGATGTTGATTCAGCTGATGGTAGATCCCCGCAAAGGAGATCCAGAAGAGCTGTGGGTCCCGCATCAGCACGTGAAGGAACCGTAGTCCCACGTTCAATTTCCAAGCCTTGCCTGGTCAAGCCTGCAAAATCTGGTGCCCTCCTGACATCACAAATGGGTGACCTCCTGGCTGGCTTAAATGCTGGAGACACTGGCAATGTTGAAAATGAAGTTCCACTGCCAGCCCCGAAGAGTATCCGGGGGAAGAATGATGTGAATGAGGCACCGGTGAGAACAACTCAGAGTAAGTCAGTGCAACAACCATCTGACAGAGTTACTAGAGCAAGGGGCAAAAAGTAATGTACTTGTACCATTGTCTCATATGTCCCTATCAATGTTATTCAATCGGTATTCAATTTACATGTGATGTTAATATGTTGTCAAAGATTCGGTGGTTTATAAAGTAATTTGAACAAATCACCAAGTACCAGAGTTCTGGGTATCGATTACCAAGGTCCGGGCATCGAGCACCAAAACACAAAACTAAATTACAACTTTTCATAAATTGAAACAAGTACCAAGTACCAAGTACCGAGTTCCAGGCATCGAGTACCAAGTGCCTGAGTTCCGAGTTCCAGGTAACAAATACCGAGTTCTGGGAATCAAGTACCAAGTGCCGAAACCCAGCACTTGGCAATCGGTACTTGGTGATTTGTTCAATTTATTTACATGTGATATGACTATGTTATTGAAGATTTGGTACTTTACTGAGTTGGTACTTTACATGTGATGGTATCAAAATTCAGAAGTTTAGTTTTGGTTTTGTTCTTCACACTGACAAATCATGGAATCTACCACCTTGAGCATTTCAATGCTTGCCTGTTCAGCTCTTCTCAGCCTCTGTAGCTCAGCATCTGCGCTCTGGAGCTTGTCAGATGTATCCACCCAAGACATTCAAAATGGTTGCTCAGCCTTGATGAGTAGTGGTATGGAAGGCACTGGAAGACCTCCATTCTCTTGTTTGTAGCTGCTGAGTCTATCTTGAAGGGATTGCACTGAAATGAAAATAAGAAAAATGATAGATATAGTAGTATACCAGATACTCACATCTGGAGTGTTCAAATGACCCTATTGGCCGGAAATCACGAACCATTGCATACAAATCTTCATTGGTGACCTCCGGATGTGCCAGATCATGTTCGGTGGGTCTCTCATTTGCTCGTGAGATAAATTAAGTGTCGATCGAAAAATGTGTTGAATTTACTTACATGACATGTGTCATATCCTGTACCTCCAGATCTGGAATTCCAGATCTACTTCATTAAAGTCCGATCCTCCGTCTTACTATTCCACCCGGCACTCTGCCTTCATCTCCGCACTCACCCCTAACTCCTTTTAGATTAGCTAGTACTCCGGTTACCAGTTATGTCCTATTCCGCTATGCTTACTGATCTGTCCATTCTTACTTCATTTCCAACTTGACTGCTTTGATCTGTTATACTTAGTAATAGACTTTCCACATGCTTTGTACATAGCTCTTACCTTTGCTGACTGATTTACTTACATGATACCTGCAGTATATAAACCCCTGTAATACTCCGGAACTCCTCAGTTTGAATATCATCTTAGTTCTGCTCATTCCTGCAATCTCCGGACTTGAGTCTCACCTCTTGTCCACCTCTGAGTCTTAGGGGTTAAACCTTAGGACTAATTCTCTGGCTCTACCGTAGGGTAGTCTAACCTCTGTTCTGCTTCTACTCCGGACTTCCGTAGTAGCCTTACTCCATCCCCATATAGTCTTCCGGAGTTCCACCGAACTCCACCGACTTTTGTCCTCCGGAACTCCCCGGACTTCCATCGGACTTCCCCTCTGTCCCCTGGAAATTAAAGGGCACATACTCAGGTAAGGGGCACAGTGCACGAGCTGAAGCTGAAGCCCTTTGAGTAACCTCTCCCTTGAGCACGACCTTAACAACATGGAAACTTCAGATGCAACCAGAGACTCACTACATGCATAGACAGACCCCAGCTCATCATCACAATCAATCAGATCCTCATCAGGCCCAAGGTACAAGTCTGGGTCGATGTACTGAACTGGTTGATCAGATTGAGCTGGAGGTAATTGATCTGTAAGAGTTTAGTGAACATGCATGATAATATTCAAGTGATAAATGTACCCAGGATTGCAGCCAACACATATGGACCACTGGATGACACAGAATCATCTTCTATGTCATCATTCGGCCCAAGGTATAAATCATCTAAGGCATGTAAGATAAATACATAGATAAGGCATAGTACAAATAGATCTTACCTGTTGATGTCTGGGACTGTGTTGAATCATCTACATCCATTGAATAATACTCGGTTGCCGGAGGATCGTTAAATCTGACTGTTGGATGTGAATTCATGTTGTTTGAGGGACGGATGTACTGATAATTGATTGTGTACTTGAAGTTCAACTGAAGTCCAGCAACTTCCGAAAGTTGAACCATTGCCAAACAAAGCCAAACAAATCAACTAAGTTTTACATGGTCGTTCAACTGCCTGTTTTCTCTCTGAAACTTCATCATTTTCACATCTGATTCAAATATTTACAAATATTTCTCATCATTCAACATGTCCACTGCAGCTGAAACCTCTTTTGCCAAACTTAAGGCAATCACTAGGCAGATTGTTGACATTGTCTGCGAAGCTCAGCAGCTCCCACCCTGCAACAGCCACCTTGCTCTGAAAACACAAGTCACTGAACTGGTGGTATGTGGTTTTTCCTTTTTTTCTTTTTGTTTTCTCTAATGTCCGGGCAGGCTAAGGCCGTCCAGGACCATGAGGATGCACCTTGCATTCCAGGCATAGTCTTGTCCTGCTTCAAGGAGTTACTTCACATTCGGCACATGTCCCCCCAGGTTTGGTCCAACTGGCACAGCATCAGTCATGATGATCCTCGCCTCCAGAAGCACAGCTGGCGCCACAAGGTCTTTGCTTGGGAGGCTTTAGGCGACCGGAAGTTCGATCTTTCCCTCAAGGCCCCCAAATCCCTTGACACTGTCGCCATTGACCTTCCCTCCCCACCTGTCGTCGCTGGCAGCATTGCCGGCCCATCCTCCGGCACTATCACCGAGTCCTGGGAGAAGTGTAAGGATAAGGGTAAGGGTAAGGTGTTAGATGCTGACCTGGAACCTGAGGCGGATGGGAGTAGGAAGAGGAAATCACCCCTGATTTTGGGACTCTCCTCCTAACTGCTGAAATCTGTGATGAAGAGTCACAAGAGGGCAAAGTCAGCTCACATTGTGAAGTCGTCCAAGTTTGTGGAGTTCGAGGATGAAGATGAAGACAAGGTATGTCATTCCATTTTTTTCGTTCTCACTCATTATTTTGCAGCTGGCTGCCCAAGGAGGGCCAGTTGTCTTCCTTCATCGTCTCACCTCAGTCTCGCCCCAGGTCCCCAAGAAGGCACCTTTTGGCCCTGTGAAGGTATTCTAATTTATGCCTGCATCACTCCCCGTCATCTGTACCTTCATCAGGTAATTGCCGGAAGACGTCTGAAGGTCATCGAGCACATGGACTTGACGTCCAACACCCCCGTGGTCACCCCAGTGGTGGCTCAGGTAATTGCTGGAAGACATCTGGAGGTTGTCGAGCACATGGACTTGACATCCAACACCCCCATGGTCACCCTGGTGGTGGCGCCAACTATCATCGATACAGATGACATTCTCATTCCTGGACCCATGAGTACTTTGAAAATTCATTGGGCGTCCTTCAACTAACTGAACAAACAGAACAACCCATGCTGGGCTTGCAACAACATGGAGTTGCCCTGCATGACCTGTTTCAACAAGAGGACTGGGAATGGCCTTCTCTCCTGTGTTTTCTGCAACACAAAGAAGGTAAAGTGCTTTTCTGTCACCCTCAGAAGTCCATCAAAACGGTCGTGGGGTAAGGCAACCACCTGGAAGGCCAGGTCTCAGACACCTTCCAAAGGTCCGTCCACCTCCCAACCAAAGGCCTGGACCTGCAGCCAATCTTGTGGCACAGCTGGAACTACCAGTGCCAGTGCTGCTGGATCTGCCAGTGCATCTGCTGTGACCACGCCTAAGATGTGCAGTCGCAGCAAGACAATAACTGCTGTCAAGGCACCTGCCCCACCACCTACACCCTCACCTGCACCAGCTCGTAAGTCTTTCAAATTTATCATCATCATCTTATCTTATTCTTTTGTAGCAATTGTGTCTTCGAGTGCCCATGTGCCTCATGCAGCTCTCGATGTCCCCATGCCGGACCTCCATTCCATGGCAATGACTATTTGCGATAGTGCCGGACGCATCAACGCTCTCAAGGATCATGTTGCCGAGCAGGGGAGACTTATTGATACCCTCACCAGGCTCCATGAGAGCCTTCAATGCGGAACCATGGAACACCATCCCTCATTTCCCCTTCCCATTACTCCGGCAATTGCAACGTCTTTGTTGCTTGATCAATCTGTCACTGGAACAACATCACCCTCCAAATCTGCACTCCCTCCTCTCATTGATCTTTCGATGGCAGGGATGGAGCCCACACCCTCGACAATTGAGGATCCCTCTGCCATCAAGGGTCTCATATTTGAGCTGAGCCAAGTTCAACTAGCCCTGGACCCATCACCTACTCCCCCAACTGCCGGAGACATTGTGGTGCTGGATGATCCATGCAACCTTTTCCTGGAATACAATTCTGCTGATGACATGGATGTTGAGGTCAAGGTTGAAGTTGAAGGTGGTGATGAGGGTCATCTGGGTGAGGTTGAAATGTCTACATAATTTGGTAGTGTTAGATTTCTGTAAATGTTGTTGAAATGCATTGTACCTCCGGCATACCCAAAGAATGAAATCATCGAGTTCTGGGTAACATCTATCGACATCCAGGTAACTAATATCGAGTTCCAGGTATTTCGTAAATTGAACAAATCACCAAGTACCGAGTACTGAGTTCCGGGCATTGAGCACCAAAACATGAAACTAAAATAAAACATTTCATAAATTGAACAAATCACCAAGTACTGAGTGCTGAGTGCCGGGTTTCGGCACTTGGTACTTGATGCCTGGAACTCGGTGCCTGGAACTCAGTACTTGGTCCTTGGTTATTTGTTCAATTTATGAAATACCCGGAACTCAATTGATGTTACCCGGAACTTGGTACTTGGTACTAGGTACTTGGTGATTCATCTAATTTATGAAATGTTGTATTCAGGGCTTCGTGTTTCTCATTTCAGTGGTTGATGATAGGTGTATGCACTCATACAGTGGGTATGTACTGGTGCCTACATCAGCACACTGATTAGTATGTTATCCAACTATCTCAGCCCACTGGTGTTTATAACACTCATTCTTCTGTGCCCACCTGTTAAGGTCGTGCTCAAGGGAAAGACTACTCAAAGGGCTTCGGCTTCAGCTCGTGCGCTGTGCCCCTTACCTGAGTACGTGCCCTTAATTTCCAGTGGGCAGAGGGGAAGTCTGATGGAAGTCTGGGGGAGTTTCGGAGGACAAACATCGGTAGAGTTTGGCGGAACTCCGGAAGACTATGTGGGAACGGAGTAAGGCTACTATGGAAGTCTGGAGTAGAAATAGAACAGAGGTTAGACTACCCTAAGGTAGAGGTGGAGAATTAGTCCTAAGGTTTAACCCCTAAGACTTGGAGGTGGACAAGAGATGAGACTCAAGTCTGGAGATTGTAGGAATGAGCAGAACTAAGATGATATTCAAACTGAGGAGTTCCGGAGTATTACAGGGGTTTATATACTGTAGGTATCATGTAAGTAAATAAGTCAGTAAAGGTAAAGGCTATGTATGAAGCATATGGAAAGTCTATTAGTAAGTGTAACAGATCAAAGCAGTGAAGTCAGAAATGAAGTAAGAATGGACAGATCAGTAAGCATAGCGGAAAGGACCTAACTGGTAACCAGAGCAATAGCTATTCTAAAAGGAGATAGGGGTGAGTCCAGAGATGAGAGTGGAGTGCTGGGCAAAATAACAGGACAGAGGACTGGACTTTAGTGGCGGGGTTCCGGAATTCCGGATCTGGAGGTATGGGATATGACACCACCCATGTGAATGATATCAACCATCTCGGCCCACCCGTCTATATAATATACTACTACCTCGGCCCATACGTCTATATAATATACTACCACCTTGGCCCATACATCTATATGATACGTATCTGGGCCCACCCATATATGTGATATCCAACTACCTCAGCCCACCTGTCTATATAATATCTAATAAATCGCTCTCTTGGCCTACCCGTTTATATGATAACAATTACCTCAGCCCACCCATCTACATAATATGCCCCCTAAGTTGGCCCCCTACCTCGGCCCACCCGTCTATGTAATATACCCTATGTCGGCCCACCCATCTACACAATATACTACTACCTCGGCCCACCCATCTATATGATATATAATAAACTGCTCCTCCGGCCCACCCGTCTAGATAATAATACCACTACATCAGCCCACCTGTATTCATCGGTAATAATATCCCTCCTGGCCCATCCATTAACATCGAGGATATCTTCATCATCGGCCCATGGTCCGCTCGCCCGTGTTATATGGGATATTATGCACATCAGTTGCCTCATATAATACAGAGTTTGTTACTGAAGGGGCTCCACCTGTCGTATAACAGCGGGTGGTCTCGCCAATCACTTTAAGGACAAGGTCTGTAAGATCATGTCCTGGGGACCTGACAGCACTGTAATAGCCACCATTCCCCAAGTTGAAGGGCTATACAGTGTCACCGTGCATTCTAAGCACTATGCCAACCTAGCTGTAGTCAAGCTCACCATTCATGACCTACACAAGACCCTTGGTCATATCTCGCAGGCGGCTGTCAAGCATGCCATTGACAAGGGACTTGTCCACAGCCTAGAGCTTGATGCCTCCTTGAAGGATGAATTCTGTGATGCATGTGTAAAAGCGAAGTCAGTGCATCACTCATTTCAAAAGGAATCCAAGAGACGAGCAGAGACTTATGGTGAAGTTATCCATAGTGACCTCTGGGGACCGGTGCAGACAGTCAGTCTGGCAGGGTCAAGCTACTATATGAGCTTTACCAATGATTACTTGAGGGAGATGGCCATAATTTTCTTGAAACAGAAGAGCAAAGCCCTGGATGCGTTTTGCCAATATGAAGCCAACCTCACAATGCAACATGATGGTCGCTGAATCAAGATGCTTCGGTCTGATAGGGGTGGCAAGTACTTGAGTGCAGAATTCTATGCGCACCTCAAGGATCGCGGCATAGCTCATGAGCTGACCATGCATGACTCTCCTCAGCAGAATGGAGTGGTGGAGAGGCTCAATCGCACTCTGATCAAACATGCCCGCACGATGTTGATTGCACGGGACCTACCCAAGTTTCTGTGGGTGGAGGCGATTAGCTATGCAGTATGGCTGAAAAATCGCTTACCGTCTAGCGCCATCCCATGTCATACCCCATTCAAGCTAGTCAATAACCGCATCCCAGATCTATTGCAGGCCCGAGAATTTGGCTGTCCTGTCTTTGTACACCTGGAGCATACGGGGAAGCTTGAGGTGCATGCAGAGGAAGCACTCTTTGTTGGTATAGATGCTGAAAGCAAGGGTTATCGAGTCTATTGACTGTTGAGGCGGAAGGTGTCAGTTGAGAGGAATGTGATGTTTGCACTGTCTGGGGTTATAGTAGACGAAGTTGCCCAGAACGAGGGGGAGTCATTATCTGTTAGCGCTAACCAACCCGCTCAGAATAGTACCAGTGCACCTAGCGTTCCGGTCACTCCATCACTCCAACCTCCCACTACCCCAATCAGACCGTCCCACCAACTCCAAACGCCACCTGCACCGAGAACTACTCAAGTCCAACCCCCACCAGGGTACTATGCGACGCTGAACAAAGGAGAAAGAGCAAGTCTAGCAGCCGAATCTGTATTTGACCCGTCAGAGTCAGATCTAGCAGATGAAGAGGCAATCACTCACTGGCAGCAGTATGCTCTGGCTGTCATATACCGGATCCGAGTACCCCCAGTACCACCTATAAGCATCCCTACTGCTGGTCTGACCCCCTGTTTCCCCATCCGCTCCATTCCTCCTTCTCCGACAATGCACAAAGTGCATCTCAGCAGGATTAGCCCTGCTACCTCCACCCGACCCCGTTCCGCTCTTCCAACACTACCCCTATGTCCTCCGACATCATACCCCTTCCATCCGACCCTATCTGGGGTTCTGCTCCTCTGCCCTATTGGTCTGCCTGACCCTACTCCTACTCCCTCCGCTTTTCTGACCCGCTTGGTTCCGCTTGTCTTGTCCCACCCAACTATTAGTCCGTTCGACCGCCTCACCGGTTCACTCCTAGACTAGGAACCACTCAACTGGTCCTATCCCCATTTAGTATCATAGTTCTGCTTTTTGGATCACCGGTAATCCCTATACTCTAGCGATTCTGGTCCATCGCGTACATACTGTTCCCTGAGCCTTATTCGTGTATGTCTCAGTCATCCTATTGTAATCCTGTACACTCAGCACATAGCCTTCTGCTATGCTATGCTCATCAACTTAGAGTATATAAACATATGTACATTTGTCTGTAGATACTCACTCTGAATATTACCTTTTCTAAGCCCTGCTCTTCTGTCCTTTGACTTAGGCTTAACACGAGTCAAACTCCTGTTTGCCGACCTAGGGGATTGACTCCCTAGGTCGGTCACTTCCCTGCTCCTCTGCTTTTCTGTTCCTCCACTTCTCCATCCCTCTGCTCCTCCATGCCTCCACTCCTCCATGCCTCCACTTCCCCATTCCCCCATTCCCCCATTCCCCCATTCCCCCGTTCTTCCAACTCCCTGCGCGTCAGCTGCCTTTCCTGCACATCGGAACTGATCCCTGCACTCTTGCACATCCGTCCCCTCCATTCCGCTCTGCTTCAGACTTCATCCAAGCAGTCCCTTCTACTCCGCTTCTACTGTTGGTTCCGACCACAGTAGTCTCCTGCCTCCCTCCTGTCGGGCAGAACAACCGAGAGGTCCTATACCTGCAACTACTGATCGAAGAGTTGTATGAGTCTGTTAGGTACCGTGCCGGCTCAAGAAGCGGAGGGGTCGGGGCTTGGCTTCAGCTCTTGCACTGCGCCCTTAGCCAAGTACGTGCCCCAAATTTGGAGTGGGTCTGACGATAGGACGAGTAGACTGCTTAGGTCTGCTTTGAGGGTCAGGAGGTAAGTGCTACTAGCGGTGGGCCGACTAGGAGCGGAGTGGAGAAGGCGGAGGATAGTGTGGAGGGTGGATAGGAGCAGGGGGAATACTTGATAGGGGCAGAGAAGTAAGGAGAAGACTTAGAGCATTGCTCTAAGTTGGAGTGGAGAGTCGGAGGTGACAACAAGATAAAACTTGTGTCTGGAGGAGGCAAGGTCCTACTGAGAATTCTCACAAGTAGAAACTGCAAGAAGACAAGTAATATTAAGACTGGGGAAAATATCTAAGCACAGGATATGTTATATACTTCTAAGTATGAGGCAGTGATCAGGATAACTATGTTGTAAAGCAATGTACCAAGGATATAATTTGTAAGTACTTACACAGGCGAAGACATAAGTCGGAGCGGATATCAATATGTACGCATCAGATCAGTGATTGAGTGGTAAGAGGAATTACTGGTGATCCGGAAGTAAGGGTCTATGTACTGAAGGGGAAAGTATATATCTAAAAGGGGAAAGAGGTTCCAGTTGAGTGGAGATGTTCTAGAAGGTGACCGGTCGGGCAGTCAAGCGGAAGTGTAGGGGCGGATGCGAATTGTGATTGGATGGAGCGGAGGTGGTCGGAAAGTGGAGTGGATATTAATATGGGAGCAGTCAGATCAGGTATATGACAGAGTCACCCCCTCTTCCTACCCCAGTATACTGCGACAACCAGGCCGCCATAGCGCTCACATCTAACAACAAGTTTCAATCCCATACCAAGTGTTACGTGTAACCTCTTGGATGAGATCCGGCGACGCTAAACCCGCAAGGGGTGTTCGAAGCGTGGCTTTCGGCACTAGCCCAGCAAGGAGCTTGCCTGCGCTAAGTCTGAGTAAGGGTTTGAGACCCTTACTTGCGTAGAGTCGATTGGAGTTTCTCGAGGATGCGATCCAAGAGACGGAGTTCAACTCAAGAGTATTGACTCAAGGGAAGATGGTTCTTTGTACAGAGGGGATTCTCTTTGGCAAGAGAAGTTCAGTCCCAACAACAAGATCAGATGAGAACCGAGTAGATTCAAGTTGAGAATCTATCTACTGTACAGATGAGATATATATATATGTAAGGGTAGTATACCGGGGGAACGGTAAGGGTACAGGGTAAGCGGAGGCAATACCAAGTTAGCGGTAAGGGTCATGGGTTGTGTGAGTCATAAGTTAAAAGGGGTAAGAAGTACTGGTTGAGCGGTAAGGGCAAAGGGCATGGGGAATCCCCATTAATGAGAGAACCGAAACAAGGGGAAGGGCATAGGGTGCGGTAGAAGCCGTAAGGAAGAGATGAAAGTAGAATAGTCATAACCATGGTTCAGGTCTAGACGAGTCCGAAGAATGAAATGATGCGTAACGCTCATGTTACTGTAACACCAAACATATTGATCTTCAATACCACTTCATCCGCGCTCACATCAAGAACAGCATGTTTGCACTAACCTACTGCCCCACTGATGACAATATTGCAGACACTTTTACCAAAACTCTACCACGCCCACAACTTCACAAGTTATGCAGGCTAATGAGCTTGGATTGCACTCGAGGGGGAGTGTTGGATTCAGGAATGAACGAGCAAGAGATAGTGAAGTGAGACAGTACGAGCGCAACCCGAGAATGCAGAGAACGACACATAGACGTTGGCCGAGAATACTAATATTGAACTGTCTATTCCTAAGCTACTGTATATTTATTTATTGCTAAACTACTTACTATAAACCTACGAGTTTTTGTTAGAACATCTCGGTCCTTTACTCAAGACTGAGATGTGAGTACCTAGTTTTCCTGTCTATGTAAATCGAGTTAACATACCCATAGATTATATTCTTATCAGGTACTATACTAGTTACATTGAGTCCTTTACTTGAGACTGAGATATTATATTCTTATCAGCTCCTCCTGTTTGTGTTTGCTTGGCTCAAATAACTACACTAAGAGCCTGTTCAGCAACCAACATTTGAACAAAATTTTACCAACTTGAAAATTGTCAGTGGCACGAGTGTGACTGAGATGTAAGCTGAGCTTGAAAGCCCTTGGTAAGATTGACCGTTGTAGGACGCGGATCGGCGCCGACATGGTACTTCCTCACTCTGCCATTCTATGGCAACATACGCTCGACCCCCCCGCTCTATCCGACTCCTTGCCGATCATGGTCCCACTCATATGCGTTCAAGCCGCTCGCGCAAGCAAATCGGCCGATGAAGAATCAACGCGTATCATCGGTCGGTTGCGCGCATATTTTGCCCCTCTAGCTCACAGGTACTCAGGCGAACCCCATATCCATCCATCCTTGTTCACTGGTGCGTAGTATATTCCTCTTTGGTTTATTTGACAAAATACAGTACCGTTACCTCTCAAACTCCCCTGTTACGTCACCTTAAGCGGCTCGGACCGGCTTACTCTCAAATATCCCCATACATGTCACGGATGATCGACCGCATGTCCCGCGTATATCTCTAGTGAACCGCGAGGTAGCCCGGGCATCCCAAGTGACGATTATCTCCATTACTTACCTAGTAGTCGATTTTGTACTTAAGGAGTGCCCGCCCATTGTTGCAATGCAGTTAATTCTCACTCAGAAGCCGTGTCCTTTGTGTTCCGTTCCTTTCCAATCTCATTCCCGTGTCTGTCTGCACGTTCTCTTTGGAACCTCTGTTCTTTATCAAACTACCTCGGTCGGCCGCACTCACTTGCACACCGCATAGCGGTCAGTAGCAATCATAGTTGATTGGCTTCACGGGTGACTGTTCACGCTGAACATATATTGGATCGGCCGCCCTCTGACTTGTTGTCGCACCCCTCATATTTTATACTGAGGCAGCAATTCGGTTTGCTTTGTTCTGCTTCCCCCGGGTCAAACTGAACATTACAGGCTCACTACTCGAATCGGCCGTTATCGTGCTGAGGTCGTAGTAGAATTTGCTCCTTACACCGTTATCGATAACATACTAGCCATGGATCCAGTATTCAGGCAGCTGTTGACTAACCCTCTTATTCAACAGAGACCTCTCATATCCCAGCTAACTCAACCACTAGCAGTACAGACTCACCCCAACCAGACTCGTTTACCACAAGCTGCAGTTCGCCGAGCCCCTTCAGTAACAAACTCCATATTATACAAGGCAACTGACATGCATAATATCCCATATAACACGGGCCAGCGGACCATGGGCTGATGATGAAGATATCCTTGATGTTAACGGATGGACCGGGAGGGATATTATTACCAATGAATACGGGTGGGCCCATCTAGGTAATATGTAGAGTAGGATGGACATGTATATTATAGACAGGTGGGCTGAAGAGAGATTTATATTATATAGACGGGTGGGCCAATGTAGTGACATTATTATCTAGACAGGTGGGCTGAAGGAGCAGTTTATTATATATCATATAGATGGGTGGGCCGGAGGAGCAGTTTATTATATATGATATAGACGGGTGGGCCGAGGTAGTAGTATATTATATAGACAGGTGGGCCGGAGGAGCAGTTTATTATATATCATATAGACGGGTGGGCCGATGTAGGGTATATTACATAGATGGGTAGGCCAAGGTAGTAGTATATTGTGTAGACGGGTGGGTCGACTTAGGGGTATATCATGTAGACAGGTGGGCCGAGGTAATTGTTATCATATAAACGGGTGGGCCAAGAGAGCGATTTATTAGATATTATATAGACAGGTGGGCTGAGGTAGTTGGATATCACATATACAGGTGGGCCCAGATACGTATCATATAGACGTATGGGCCGAGGTGGTAGTATATTATATAGACATATGGGCCGAGGTGGTAGTATATTATATAGACATATGGGCCGAGGTAGTAGTATATTATATAGACAGGTGGGCCGAGATGGTTGATATCATATACACAGGTGGGCCCAGAAGAATGAGTGTTATAAACATCAGTGGGCTGAGATAGTTGGATAACATACTAATCAGTGTGCTGATGTAGGCACCAGTACATACCCACTGTATGAGTGCATACACCTATCATCAACCACCGAAATGAGAAACACAAAACCCTGAATACAACATTTTGTAAATTAGACAAATCACCAAGTACCTAATACTGAGTACTGAGTTCCAGGTATTTTGTAAATTGGACAAATCACCAAGTACTGAGTACCGAGTTCTGGGTATCGAGTGCCAAGTACCGAGTTCCGAGTACCAGGCATCGAGTACCGAGTTCCAGGCATTGAGTGCCAAGTACCGAGTTCTGAGTACCGGGCATCGAGTACCGAGTTCCAGGCATTGAGTGCCAAGTACCGAGTTCTGAGGTCCGGGCATCGAGTTCTGAGTTCCAGGCATCGAGTGCCAAGTACCGAGTTCCGGGTACCAAGTTCCAGGCATCGAGCACCGAAACACAAAACTAAAATACAACATTTTGTAAATTGAACAAATCACCAAGTACCGAGTTCCGAGTTCCGAGTTCCGAGTTCCGAGTTCCGAGTTCCGAGTTCCGAGTTCTGAGTTCCGAGTTCTGGTGCTCGATGCCCAGAACTCAGAACTCGATGCCCGGAACTTGGAACTCGGTACTTGGCACTTGATGCCCGGAACTCAGAACTCGATGCCCAGAACTTGGAACTTGATGCCCGGAACTCGGAACTCGATGCCCAGAACTTGGAACTTGATGCCCGGAACTCGGAACTCAGTACTTTGGCACTCGATGCCTGGAACTCGGTACTTGATGCCCAGTACTCAGAACTCGGTACTTGGCACTCAATGCCTGGAACTCGGTACTCGGTACTTGGTGATTTGTCCAATTTATGAAATACCCGGAACTCGATATCAGTTACCCAGATGTCAATGGATGTTACCCAGACGTCAGTATTAGTTACCCGGAACTCAATGATTTCATTCTTTGGGTATGCTAGAGGTACAATGCATTTCAACAACATTTACAGAAATCTAACTACCAAATTATGTAGACATGTCAACCTCGCCCAGATGACCCTCATCACCACCTTCAACTTCAACCTTCACCTCAACATCCATCTCATCAGCAGAATTGTATTCTGGGACAAGGTTGTGTGGATCATCCAGCACCAAAATGGCTCCAGCAGTTGGGGGAGTAGGTGATGGGTCCAGGGCTGGTTGAACTTGGCTCGGCTCAAATGAAAGACCCTTGATGGCAGAGGGATCCTCAATTTTCGAGGGTGTGGGCTCCATCACTGTGTCATATACCTGATCCGACCGCCCTAATATCAATATCCGCTCCACTTTCCGACCCCCTCCACTCCATTCATCCTCCGCTCCACCCGATCATCATTTGTATCCGCTCCGCTCGACCACTCAACCGGTCCCCTTCCATAACATCTCCATTCAACTGGACCTCTTTCCCCTTTTAGATATATGCTTTCCTTTTTGGTACTTAGACCATTACTTCCGGATCACCGGTAATTCCTATTACCACTCAATCACTGATCCGACGCGTACATATTGATATCCGCCCTGACTTATGTCTTTCCTATGTAAAGTACTTACAAATGATATCCTTGGTACATAGCTTTACTACATAGTTATCCTGGTCACTGCCTCATACATAGAAGTATATAACATATCATGTACTTAGATATTTTTCCTTAGTCTTAATATTACTTGTCTTCTCGCAGTTATATCCTGTGAGAATTCTCAGTAGGACCTTGCCTCCTCTGGACACAAGTCTCAACTTGTTGTCACCTCCGACCCTCCAACCCTCCGCTCCGACTTAGAGCCGTGCTCTAAGTCTTTCCCTTATTACCTCACCCCTTCTCCTATCCTCTGCATCATTCCCCGCCTTCTCCGCTCCGCTCCTAGTGGGTCTGCCGCTAGCAGCTCTTACTCCCCGACCCCCAAAGCGGACCCAAGCAGTCCACTTGTCCTACTGTCGGACAACGTCAGACCCGCTCCAAATTCAGGGCACATACTTGGCTAAGGGCGCAGCGCAAGAGCTGAAGCCAAGCCCCGACCCCTCTGCCTCTTGAGCCAGCACAGTACCTAACACACTGCCATTGAAAGATTGATGAGAGGAGGGAGTGCGGATTGGGAGGGTGACGTTGTTCCAGCGACGGATTGATCAAGCAACAAAGACGTTGCAATTGCCGGAGTAGTGGGCAGGGGAAATGAGGGATGGGGTTCCATGGTTCCGCATTGAAGGCTCTCATGGAGCCTTGTGAGGGTATTGATACGTCTGCCCTGCTCGGCAACAAGATCCTTGAGAGCGTTGATGCGTCCGGCACTATCGCAAATAGTCATTGCCATGGAATGGAGGTCCGGCATGGGGACATCAAGAGCCCCACGAGGCACGCAGGCACTCGAAGACGCAATTGCTACAAAGCAATATGATAAGATGATGATGATAAATTTGAAAGACTTACTGAGCTGGTGCAGGTGAGGGTGTAGGTGGTGGGGCAGGTGCCTTGACAGCAGTTATTGTCTTGCTGCAACCGTGCGTCTTAGGCATGGTCGCAGCAGACCCACTGGCAGTTCTGGTAGCACCGGCACTGGTAGCTCCAGCTACACCACGAGATTGGCTGCAGGCCCGGGCCTTTGGTTGGGAGGTGGACGGACCTTTGGAAGGTGTCTGGGACCTGGCCTTCCGGGTGGTCGACTTACCCCACGACCGTTTCGGTGGACTTCTGAGGGTGACAGAATAACACTTTACCTTCTTTGTGTTGCAGAAAACACAGGAGAGAAGGCCTTTCCCAGTCCTCTTGTCGAACCGGGTCGTGCAGGGCAACTCCACATTGTTGCAAGCCCAGCATGGGTTGTTCTGTTTGTTCAGTTAGTTGAAGGATGCCCAATGAATTTTCAAAGTACTCATGGGTCCGGGAATGAGAATGTCATCTGTATTGATGACAGTTGGCGCCACATCCGGGGTGACCGCGGGGGTATTGGACACCAAGTCCGAGTGCTCAACAACCTCCAGAGGGCTTCCAGCAGGGCCATTGATGACAGTTGGTGCCACCACTGGGGTGACCATGGGGGTGTTGGACGTCGAGTCCGTCTGCCCGGCGACGTCCGCATGCCTTCTGGCAATTACCTGATGACGGTATGGATGACCAGGAGTGATGCGGGCATAAATTAGACATACATTCACAGGGCCAAAAGGTCTCTTCTTGGGGATCTGGGGTGAGACTGAGGTGAGACTATGAACTAAGATGACCGGCCCTCCTTGCGCAGCCGGCTGCAAAATAATGAGTGACAACGAAAACAACAAACGGAATGACATACCTTGTCCACATGTTCATCCTCGGACTCCACAAACTCAGCTGACTTCACAACCCGAGCTGACTTTGCCCTCTTGCGACTCTTCATCGCGGATTTTGGCGGTTGGGAGAAGGGTCCTGAAATCAGGGGTGATTTCCTCTTCCTACTCCCGTCCACCTCATGTTCCAGGTCAGCATCTAACACATTACCCTTACCCTTATCCTTATGCTTCTCCCGGGACTCGTTGATAGTACTGAACAATGGGCTGGCAATGCTGCCAGCGATGACAGGTGGGGAGGGAAGGTCGACCACGACAGTGTCAGGGGATTTGGGGGCATCAACGGGAAGATCAAATGTCTGGTCACCTAAAGCCTCCCATGCGGAGACCTTGTGGCGCCAGCTGTGCCTCTGGAGGCAACAATCATTATGGCTGATGCTGTGCCAGTCGGGCGAATCCTGGGGGGACACCTGCCGAATGCAAAGTAACTCCTTGGAGCAGGACAAGACTATGCCCAGAATGCAAGGTGCATCCTCATGGTCCCGGACGGCCTTAGCCTGCCCAGACATTAGAGGAAATGAAAAGAAAAAAAGGAAAAACCACATACCACCTGTTCAGTGACTTGTGCTTTCAGAGCCAAGTGGCTGTTGCCGGGTGGGAGCAGCTGAGCCATGCAGACAATGTCAACAATCTGCCTAGTGATTGCCTTAAGTTCGGCAAAAGAGGTTTCAGCTGCAGTGGACATGTTGAATGATGAGAAAGATGTGTAAATCTTTGAATCAGATGTGAAAATGATGAAGTTTCAGAGGGAAAACAGGCAGTTGAACGGCCATGTAAAACTTTGTTGATTTGTTTGGCTTTGTTTGGCAATGGTTCAACTTTCGGAAGTTGCTGGACTTCAGTTGAACTTTAAGTACACAATCAATTATCAGTACTTCCGTCCCTCACAAGATGAATTCACATCCAACAGTCAGATTTAATGATCCTCCGGCAACCGAGTATTATTCAATGGACGTAGATGATTCAACACAGTCCCGGACATCAACAGGTAAGATCTATTTGTACTATGCCTTATTTATGTTTTTAGCTTATATGCCTTAGATGATTTATACCTTGGGCCAGATGACGACATAGAAGATGATTCCGTGTCTTCCAGTGGTCCAGGCGTGTTGGCTGCAATCCCCGGTACATTTATCACTTGTATATTACCATGCATGCTCACTAAACTTGTACTGATCAATTACCTCCGGCTCAATACGATCAACCAGTTCAGTACATCAACCCGGACTTGTACCTTGGGCCTGATGAGGATCTGATTGATTGTGATGATGAGCCGGGGTCTATCTATGCAAGGTGTGAGTCTCTGGTCGCATCTGAAGTTTCAATGTCATGTAAGTAAATTCAACACATTTTTCAATCGAAACTGAATTTATCTTGCAAGCAAATGAGAGACCCGCCGAATGCAATCCAGCACATCTGGAGCTCACAAATGAAGATTTGTTTGCGATGGTTCTTGAGTTCTGGCCAATAGGGTCATTCAAACACTCCAGATGTGAGTATCTGGCATACTAATATATCTATCATTTTCTTATCTTCATTTCAGTGCAATCCCTTCAAGATAGACTCAGCAGCTACAAACAAGATAATGGAGGTCTTCCAGCCCCTTCCATACCACTACTCATTCGTGGCCGAGCGACCATTTTGAATTGCTTGGGCGGATACATCTGACAAGCTCCGGAGGGCTGATGCTGAGCTACAGAGGCTGAGAAGAGCTGAACAGGCAAGCATCGAAATGCTCAAGGTGGTAGATTCCATGATTCATCAGTGTGAAGAACAAAACCAAAACTAAACTTCTGAATTTTTGATACCATCACATGTAAAGTACCAACTCAGTAAAATACCAAATCTTTGATAACATAGTCACATCACATGTAAATTACTGGAACACGGAGGTGTTACATTACTGCCATGTAGAATAAGTAATCTATCAAGAGTTCTGGGTATCAAGTTCCAGGCATAGAGTACCCAACACCGAATATCGAGTTCTGGGTATCGAGGTCTGGGCATTGAGTTCCGAGTTCTGAGATCCGAGATCTGGGTAACAAATACCAAGTTCCGTGAATCAAGTACCTGCCCAGACCTCGATGCCTGGACATTGGTAATCGATACCCGGAACTCGGTATTTGGACCTGGAACTTGGTATTTGTTACCCGGAACTCAGTACATGGTGATTTGTTCAAATTACTCAGTGAACCACAGAATCTTTGACCACATTAACATCACATGTAAATTGAATACCGATTGAATAACATTGATAGTGACATATGAGACAATGGTACATGTATGTTACTTTTTGCCCCTTGCTCTAGTAACTCTGTCAGATGGTTGTTGCACTGACTTACTCCGAGTTGTTCTCGCCGGTGCCTCAATTGCATCTTTGGAACTTCATGTTCAACATTGCCAGGGCCCTCAGCCTCACTCTCAGATTCCGTTGATGAATCCCAAGGTCTCCAGATCATCACCCTCTTACGCTTCAGATGAGGAGGTGATTTCTCGGATACAACTGAATCTACCATGTCGCCTTCTTTGTTCCTCTGTGCCTTGAACAGGAATGTCAGACCTTCACCCATCTTCTGCCGAGCATACCAGAAATTGAGCAAGGCAGTGGTATCCCAATTTTGCAACTTGGAAGGCTCCTTCAAGTTTACATCCGCCGGACAGCACGACGGCCTTGTCAATCCCAGAACAGATCCCTGTACCCTCCATTAAACAGATTCTCTTAGGAAGTTGCGAAGCCAGACTCACTATAGTGCTTTGTAAGAAAAACCCTCACTATGGCCTTCTTCTCCTCAAGTTTTGTTTCTGTGATGTCCGGAAGCAATGGCATCCCATCCCCGTCCATTTCCAGATTGAACACTGGTTTCTTCATTCTTTTTTGCCCTCCCTTCACCTGTTGCCCTCCATCCCGTGCCTCACCACCTATGATCCTGATGATCAATGAAATCATTCTCATCTTCACAGTGGGAACACTCACCAAACTGTTCCTGCGCATACTCCTGCCAAACCAGCTCTATGTCCTCCCAGTCCTTCGTCTTCATGAAGCTGTCCCCATCCCCTAATGCCTTGTTGTCATCGTGCCTGTGTGAAATAAGTTGAGACCAAATATTTGCAATGACAGATAAAATTCACTGACATCCCGAACAGCACCTCTCCGTGTTCATTCTTCCAAGCCGACAACACAAACACTCTCATCCCGCATTGTCTCCACATCTCATTCGAAAAGTGCTCCATATATACAGGTCCCTTCTTATGGGCGACTTGCGCCTGTATCTAAGGAGGAGGAAAGTTGTTGGACCATTCTTCAGCGGTTTCTTTCACCTTCTCCAACTCATCCTCGGACAAATCGGCCATGACTTTCTTCACCACAGCTTGATAATGCTTGAACATGTCTCAACCTCCTGGCTTTGCCCCGAACTCGTCCTCGATCCTCTTTAGCACTTCCTCTCTGTTCTGCTGATAGATCACCTGCCCAGGCGCCCATTTCCTCCCATACTTAATCATGTCCTTCCTTTCCTTCTTTTTGTTGTTGTTGAACAACCAAGTTTTATACATCTAAGAGGCAGAGGAAGAATCAGACATGAAAAATCGAGTTTTTCAACACAACAAGGATGTATCACCTGCTTCCTCTTTTTCCATTGTCCTTGGTTGACCTTAGGAGCAAATAACCTGGCCACTCAAGCTATGGCATTGAAAACTCCCCATTTCTCGCTCCTTTATGCAGAAGTCCACTCAGGAAGGTAGTTCTTCAGCTCTGAAATTTCATTTTCCGTGAGCTTCTGTGACTGTGGTTGATGTGTTCTCTGTCTTCCAGAATTCAACTGAGTGGAATGACCTGATCTTTCCATGGTGAATAAGATTGCAGAATGGGCTGAGGATAAGCAAAGTGGAAGTAATAATGGTCGTGAGTTCAACTTTGAGCAAAGCCTAACAGTTGGTTAATCTACCTATAACGGATGCAATGCCATTCATGGAAATGAATTGGTAATGAGCCAACCAAACTGCATAATACAATGATGGAATGACAATTCGTTTGACCTTCCTGAGCTAATGCTTTCCTTGCAACATTGAAAAATAAAATGAAGATAGGTCATTGCACCCCATTGCAGAAATCCCACAGGGTAGAAGCAAGGGGCAGCAAAGGTAGGAAGACATGGGTCAAGGTCCCACTTGCCAGCACGAGACAACATGCCTACAGGTCCATACCTAACTCTCCCCTGGAATCACCAACACTTGAACCTGTTCAGGCCCCACCTCCTTGGGAAGACTTTCCTGACAATACTTATGAGCAAGACCAAGGGGCATTTGAGCCCTTGCAACTCCCAAAAACAATGGCAAGTTCATGTAAAATGTTGGAATGTCGTTCAAATGATAGCTAAGTATTAAAAAATGCAGAGTCAGAATGACTACCTCAGGCAATGGCTGCCAAGGCAGGAATCATATCTCCATCACCTCCTGGATCGAGAAGCTCCACCAGAAGATAGGAGATGCGTCATCTGCAATCAGGATGGGGTCTTCAAATGTCAAGATTGTCTTGGGGAGCCACTCTATTGCCCAGGCTGTTGCCAGAGTCAACATCATTGCAATCCTTTCCACTGGATCAGTCAATGGAATGGTCAATTCTTCGAGCAAAGTTGTCTGGCTCATGTTGGACTCATCATACACCTCAGTCATGATGGCAAGCAATGTCCGGTAGTCACGGATAGGTGGGATTTGTTTGACGAAGATGAACAAGAAGACCACTTTGAACCTGAAGATCTACCTTCTGTGTTGGGACCCGAGTTCCAGCCCAAGGAAAATACAATGGTCATTTTTGACAAGTCAGGAGTCCATTGCCTCGAGGTTCGATGCTGTGATTGTCCCGATGCCATGAGTCCAGACATTCAAATGTTTTGACATGGCTTTTTCCCTGCATCATTTAACAAGCTGAAGACCGTGTTCACCTTCAGAGTGCTAGATGATTTTCTGTTGGACAACCTCAAATGCAGCACCTCAGCGATGAACTTTTACAGCAAGCTTCAGCGAATGACCTCAAGCATGTTTCCACACCTTGTTCCAGTAATACCATATCTACATCATCTGAAGCACATCTTATTGACAAAGCACATTGCAAGGACCAATACAGAGAGCTTATGAGAGTCGCTTGACAGTGGAGGCAGTTAAAGTCTATGAAATGGCATGGCTTCGGGCATAGTTCCAAGAACCCGAATGCCGGAGATCTCGCATTATTCTGCCCAGCATGTCCTCAGCCCGGGATTAACATATCCTTGTCAGGGGATGAATCACTTGATGAGTGAGTCCCATTCATTACCGAATCTACATCAGCGATATTAAAAACTCCAAGCTGGAAATACAGCTGGTCATTTGTGATGGATGGAAATTTCAAAGCCGAACACCTGCATCCCATCAAGCCATATGATGAAGTTTGGCTCTCCGATGGGTTGGGATTTATGGTGAGAAAGGAAAGGTATCAAAAGCATCTTGAAGAGGCTGCTGACACTGGAAAAATCAAGCTGCAACAATCATTGGGCTGTTAATCAAGCAAATGCAGCTTGGCACAAGCTGGAGTCCACCAGTATCGGGGGAGTAGCCTGTGCCTGACACAGTTGCTTTGTTCCTCACTCAATGATAGATTTTCAGAAAGGTGAAAGGCAAGCCAGACATGCCGTTCAACATTCCCAAGTTGACCATGCATCATTTGCAGACAAATGAACATGGACTACGCACTTTGTGAGGCTACCCAGCACAACATGGATGGGATTACAAGGGCTGTCACCTTCTATGACATCAACTGTCAATACAACAAGCACTTGCATGTTCGGGTGGATCAAAACCAATTTCTGACAATGGTTCCAGAATTGACCGTCATTCCCGGAATCGGGCTGTGGCACATCCATGGACATCAGGATAGCTGCTATGTCAGATATGCATCAAATTTCATTGAAGGCATTGGTCGCATTGATGGAGAGATCATGGAGACCCTATGGGCACATCTCAACCTGATTTCTCCTGCTGCTCAGGGAATGTCTTCCCCACATCGGAAGGAATGTCTTGATTTCCAGATGAATGATTCCAACTTTTGCAAGATGATCTGCATGAAGAGGACCCTTTGCCAGAAATACAAGCAGGCAAAGAATGGCATTGCTGAAAGTGGAAAGGCTTTTGACAGACTCGACGAAGCCGCACTGGCCAACTTAAAGACAGACTGGTTAGCAAGTGAGAGGATCACTCAGTCTAACAGATCACAAGATCCAGCTGCGATGGATATATGAGATTAATATCAAGAAGGGTGAGATCACTCTGTCTCAATTGAGGTCTGAATTCATTTTGAACCCAGCACTGAGCAAAAAGGAGATAGAGCTGAGACTGCTGCAGGAGGGTAATGCCCATCATGCAGCACCTTCTCGCAGATCTGTGGCAACATGGATATCAATGGGCCTGGCAATTGAAGAGGCTCAAATTGCATTGCACATCGAGGTCCGAAGAATAGGAAAAAGAACTACCAAGACTCAGAGATTAGACATCGCCTGGTAATGTGATTTTCTACAAGGCCAGATAGATGCATTCACTCAGACTGCTCTGATGCATCTGGGAGAGGGATATGATGCAGATGACGACCCTGATGATTTGAATATAGACATTCTTGATGATCTCGATGATGACCCGGAGGATTTCATCAGGACATCCGATACATGGACAAACTCCCCCGAGCTCACTGTCATCCCATTGCCATCAAACCTTGGGGTAGATTGATGCAAATGTTGTATGGCAGAGGATCTGATTCTGCTGGAGTTGTTGCTTTGTGAAGGACAGGCCAATGATGCCCTTCACAACCTCCGAATTCACTTGTGCAACAAGGCAATACTCTTCCAAACAACAGTTAGGCAAGCCAAATCTCAAGCATTGAAAACCCGAGCTTGGTCCCAGGTGACATCAGTGCACCAGGTGGTGTCCCTCCATGCCAGCATATATACCAAGACAAGGAAGCAAATGATAAAACTTGAGCCGGGCCAAGACCAGCTGGAAAAATATAAACCCCTCCTTCAGGAGCAGCTCAAAGTCAGCACGGCCGTCGGTGATCCTAATGCCCGAGGTCGGCAAAATGAGTCTCTCGCTTGGTTCTGGGATATCGAAGTAGATTTGGGGGGTCCGAATCACTCGTGGAATGAGGAATGTGAGTTCCAGTGTGGGGAACGTCCCCACTGTAGGCCCATATCCCATATAATTCCCATGCCTTCCCACCATTTTCCCGTGCATTCTGCTACCATCCTGCCACCCATCTGCACCTTCCCCGAGCCGTCCGCTACATGGAACCAAGCAGAACCCAGCAGAACCCAGCGGAACAATTGTGTACCACATGCATCATATCCTTTTAGCCTTTGGAATGTCCTCCTCCGTCCTGTCCTTGTCCTTCCATCCTCACTGGTGAGTACTAGCTACGTTCCCCGTGTTACTAACATGTTCCTATCTGATTTCATATGTGTTTGTCATATACCTGATCTGACCGCTCCAATACTAATATCCGCTCCGCTTTCTGACCCCTCCACTCCATCCATCCTCCACTCCGTCCAATCACAAGTCCACATTCCACCCTATGCTTCCGCTCAACCGCTCAACTGGTCCCCTTCCATAACCTCTCCATTCAACTGGACCTCTTTCCCCTTTTAGGTATATACCTTCCCCATTGGTACATAGACCCTTACTTCCGGATCACCAGTAATTCCTATTACCGCTTGATCACTGATCCGATGCGTACATATTGATATCCGCCCCGACTTATGTCTTCACCTATGTAAAATACTTACAAACTATATCCTTGGTACATAGCTTTACTACATAGTTATCCTGATCACTGCCTCATACATAGTAGTATATAACATATCATGTACTTAGATATTTTTCCTCAGTCTTAATATTACTTGCCTTCTTGCAGTTATATCTTGTGAGGATTCTCAGTAGGACCTTGCCTCCTCTGGACACAAGTCTCAACTTGTTGTCATCTCCAACCCTCCAACCCTCCGCTCTGACTTAGAGCTGTGCTCTAAGTCCTCTCCTCATTACTCTGCCCCTATCAAATATCCTCCTTCGCCCCTCCGCATTATCCTCCACCTTCCCCACCCCTACCATCACTCCTCTGTTCCTACCCACTCTCCACATCACCCCTCGCCTTCTCTGCTCTGCTCCTAGTAGGTCCGCCGCTAGTAGCTCTTATTCCCCGACCCTCAAAGCAGACCCAAGCAGTCCATTCATCCTACCATCGGACAATGTCGGACCCGCTCCAAATTTGGGGCACGTACTCGGCTAAGGGCGCAGCACAAGAGCTGAAGCCAAGCCCTGACCCCTCTGCTTCCTGAGTTGGCACGGTACCTAACAGTGTTACGGTACTTATACGGATCCTTCCGCTACTCGGGACCGGTTCCTTATCTCACAGCCTCACCCGGTTGTAGCATAGCGCATCTTGGAACCCTTTCCTATATAAGCAGCAATAGATGGGATCTTAGTTTTTTACCTTCTGATAGACTCGACTCCACTTTCACTTACAGAGTACTTCCCAGTACTCCACTCACTGTCTAAAATATCTTCCCGAATCTATTCCTGATCACATTGCATCGTTCCCACCCCCGTGAGTTCCGCTCAAAACACCTGACATTGGATCCGACGACTTGGAGCAAGTACCAGACACAAGCCTGGTCTGACTTTGCCCAATCATCCTCCTGCAGGCTCGTAGTTTCTTTTCCCTCTGTTTGTTCCCCATTAGTTCTGTTTGTTCCCCGTTTGTTCTGTTTGTTCCCCATTAGTTCCATTAGTTCCGCTCATCATGCATTAGTTCCGCTCATCGCGCGCTGAGTTCCGCTCGTTGGGAACCCTCCGCATTTTTGTGTTCCCAGTCCTAGTAAGGACCGGAACCCTTCGGGTCGCTAGACAGAGTCTAGTCTTTGTTTCCTCGCACTTATTTGAGGACTCGCTACCCAGTAGCAATCCCCTCGGGACAAGTATAAGTCTCGCACCCTTGTTAGACTTCTGAATCACCCAGAGTCTATTTTCCTCACCCACACCGGCTTGCTTGACAAATGCCTGCGATCTGACTGGACCTGCATGAAGTTTACCAAGTTCATTGGCTTCGGGCAAAGGCACTACGGGATCGATGGAAGGAAGAACTGATATTGGTGGAATTGGAGATGGATTGGACATGTAATTTCTTCTTGTGGAAATCAATGCAATGGGGCGACCGGATGAGGGAATCATTGGTGAAACGCCTTCTGGGTCATGCTTGCTACTCTGGAAGGCAATCACAAATGTATTCATTACTGGTGCAGGATGCTCAGGCAGTGTTTCAAGACCTGCAGAGCATGTTAATAGATGCCTGAGATGAATGAATTATGAATATTTTCTGCTGATATATGATTCGATCCCAACAATTGAGTCTCAGCAAGGGGCCGGGTCAGCCCATGTCGGAGTTTGAATTATTTTATCAATCCATCAGTGGATCCCATCTGAAAAAACCGTCATTATCATTGCTAGCGTCCTACTCCTGCATTGCCCATGTCTGAATTAAATTCACCTCCTGCATCCACTTTTGCACCTCCTGCATCTACTTCTGCCACTGAGGATTCCGGCAATGAATATAAACCCCCCACAATGAGTCTTGCAGATATTGCACTAATCCAATCTAGAGCAGCGTTGAGGACAATGGTCTCATCCTTCCGGAGCAGCTGGATGGCACCCCGGCTCCATCACTGGTGGGACTGAAGTGGATTAGGGAACACCTGGTGTCGTTGATTCAGGACCATCAGGAGGGCATCCGTGATAAGATGGTGGAGATTGATATGTACACTGACACCCTAGCCTGGTTGAAGAGAGCCAGAGGGGATGATCCATATTAAATGTTAGTGTATCAAATGTTCATGCCCTCAGATGTATGTTGTACAGATCTTTGACTCAATGTTGAGTTCTGGGTACCTAGTTCCAGGTATCAAGTTCCGGGTACCGAGCATTGAGTACCAAGGTTAGGAACTAACATAACTAAGGTCCAGGTGTCGAGTACTGAACACTGAACACCAAATACCAAATGCCGAGTATCGACGTCCGGGTATCAAGTTCCGTGTATCAAGATCCAGGTACCGAGCATTGACCATTGAGTTCTGGGTATCAAGGTCTGGGTGTCGAGTACCAAACACCGAACAGTACCGAGTGCTGAGTACCAAAACCTGGCATACACATTTTGTAAATTGGACAAATCACCGTACTGAGTACCAAGTACTGAGTACCGAGCTCTGGGTTCCGGGTTCTGGGTGTTGAGTACCAATCCGGGTGCCGAATGCCGAGTGCCGGGCATTGACTACCGAGCTCCGAGTTCTGGGCCTCGAGTACCGAGTGCTGAGTACTGAAACCTGGAATACACATTTTGTAAATTGGACACATCACTGTACTGAGTACTGAGTACCGAGCTCCAGGTGCCGATGTCCGGGTGTCGAGTACTGAACACCATATACCGATTACTGGCTTCCAGGTGTTTAGTGCCGAATGCCGAGTTCCAGGAGTGGAGTACCAAGTTCCGGGTATCAAATGTCGAACATTCATCTGTTTGATGATTGATTATTGGCACTCGAACATTGGTAATTGGTATTTGACAGTAGGTACTATCACATGGGTACTAAGTTATGTGCCTGTTCTATCCTTGCCAGGATGGAGTATGTATGTGATCCATCCTAGCCCATCCACATGAGGGAATCCCGGCATAAATATGAACAGAATCCCTCATGTACCATGCCCAAGCAATTCTATCCCCTTCCACTTCATGAACCCCATGTCTTACAATCCTTCCTGAAAACGCGATAATACAGCCAGGCTCATACATGAACTCCAGCTGAAGACTTGGCATACTCATGCGAGCATTCAAATAACTACCCATGGTGGTGAGAATATCGAAGCATTCAGGAATGGATTTGTGGTCTCGATGATTGGGGGTTTGCCAATTGGAAATGATGGTGAGGGTGTTAAACACGGATGCCCAGTACTGGAGGGTCTCTGACATCCTTGGAAGATTCTTGCTTTCAGCTGATTGTCTGAGGCTTAAAAAGGCTCGTATCCCTGCCCAGTACTGCTCAGGATGCATCACCCTGAGTGCGGCTGATGCGATGGCTGCCAGCCTGGCAATGGCTTTGAGAATATTCTCAGAGAATGGTCCCTTCAATGAGGCAGATACTGCCGGGTCTGACAGATTCTACTGGATTGGTCAGTGTAACTATCGGAAATCACCATCTCATGAGATCCCACCTTGTGCCCCTGTTGAAACCAAGCCAGAGATAGATTGATGCATCCAGGAGATGTGCCATCATTTTCTGAGCTTGGTTTGAACCAATCCTGATTAGTTCGCCAACTCCCATCAACCTTTACACTTTTTGCAAGGCTTGGACTGAGCAAATCGGAGGCTGCCAGAATTTCCTTCTGGAGTTCCCATTTCATATTCCATATCCATTGAGTAACAAAATATATTACCCACCTGGGTGGTTTCCGTCAGGGCATCCAGGAGGTACCACACAATGATGGCGCCAGTAGCATCGAGAACTGTGGCGGGTATGTCAACCAACTTTGTACCTTCATGGCCAGGAGGACACCTCTCAAGCAACTTCGCCTCTCTTTCTTCATTATGTCCAGTGTCCTTCAGGGAGATCATTTTGCTGTATCTCGCAATATCAATCTGCATCTGAACTGTGAAGCAATTTGAATGATCAAATGGACTGTCCAAATCTGCGGGAAGACCCACTGGGATTGTTATATGCCTTTATGAGGCAATCCACCAATTGATCGCAAGCCATCACCAGATTGGTGTCTAGCTTAGGAGAAGGTATGACTGGGTCTCCTCCTGTTTTCTCAGCAATGAATTTCTGTTCAGTATATTCACATGCCTCATGAGTGACAGTCAAGGCCCAAGTGTGCCAGAAGGTTATTTCAATATCGGAGGTGGAAGACACATTCATGATGGTGTTAATCTTGGGAAATCAGATGGTCAATGCCAGATGTCCACAGACTTTAAAGGTGGTGGAGATAGGGTGGATCAGATAGGGAACCTTGATTTTAGCTTTCAAAGATGGATTATCATTTCATTGCTATACTAATATGTCAATTAAATACCGGATAATTGGAAGGGTGCTAGATATCAAATATTTGAGTGTCGGGACCCGGGACCCAGAACTTCCGGATCCCAGAACTCGGTACATGATGCTTGGTTCATTCAAATTTCGGTAGTTGGAACTTAGCTTTCAAAGACAGATTATCATTCATTGCAATGTTAGTATGTCAATGAAATATTTGCAAGCCTATATACTTAAAACACTAAAAAATGCGAAACACTTCTTTTCATAGTGTGTCCTTGAGGAAGACAAGGTTACAGCACTACAAGAAATGGTCCTTGTGTCCTGAGCTTCTAACATGTGGTATATACATATAAATTCATTGTAGAGAGCATATTTACTGGACCATATGTCTAATACCTGAAAAATGCGAACTGGTTTATGTTTTTTGAGAGGTATGTATCAATTTAACATATCTACTGATGTAGGACACTTTAGAGGCTCAAACAAGCGGTATAATATATTAATTAACACTCTAATATATGATATATACAGTCAGAATAGCTCCCCTGCTAAAGGGGCAAAAAAGCGAATATGTTTTAGTCCTGGGATGCACATATTGTAGTCAGCACTGTAGACTACTGTACAAGCTCTTATACAATGAAAAAAGCGGTCTATTGTATCATTTTATGTACATACATGCTAAGCTACAACTTAAATACAAGAGTGTGCAAGAGGAAAAGCTGTGGTGAAGCAAGTAGAGCCAGGGAGGTATGTGGGAATAGCGAAAATATTGGAATATCCATATTTGGTGATATTTCAGGTGGTAGTGCTGCTTTGGGGAGATCCAGATCTTTGGATTGTGCCTGGTATCATTTGGGAAGCATGCAAGAAGTGCTGTCTAGGACATTAAGCTTCATGTCAACAGCTCCGAAACAAACTTGCAAAATGTGTTGTGTCTTACCACTGTAGAAAGGACGGGTTATATAAATTCGGTGGATTATGCACTGATATTCTCTATACCAAAAATCCACTGAAAACCGTAACTTTATTCAGTGCATTGAAAAGTATACCACTGAATTTCCAGTAAATGTATGCAGGCTTAGAAATTCAGTGGATGGTGGGAAATCAGTGGATTCCAGCTGCACCCTGGTCTGGGTCCAAAATACATGATGCAAGCATTATTACTACATGGTGCACAATATAACTTATCTATAACATAATGGAGGGTATAAGTCGTGTTGCTGTGCTCAAGAAGTCCCAATCAATGTGCAGAGAGTCCACAGTAGCTAGGAGGAAGAAAGTTCGAATGTGATTTGATGTTGTGTTGGCGATCTGGGGTGGTGGCATTCAGAACAAATCCAAGGCAACTGCAAATGAAGATGACAACAACAATGAAGTCAGTACGTAGCAAGAACAATGTGGAAATGAACCAGGAAGCGTGAGGTCTTACTGGTCAGCAACATGCATGGTTCAAGTTTTCTGATCATTTTCACATCAGTTTTGCAATTCATCACGCAAACGATCACACCTTTGTGGATGCTCGAGTCCGCTTGGCAGGGGGAGGTGCAGCAGAATCGTCGTGACAACCTGAAAACTTGGAGGGTCTGGGTGCAGGCTGAACTGGGGCACGGAGGGCCTTCTATGCAAGGAAGACTTGAGTGTTCACATTCAAAGGTGATAAATAGTCACATACCTTGATTGAACAATCCACCGCTGGTTGCTTGCATGCAACTGCCATGATAATGTCATAAATATCATGATTGTGGCCTTGATCATCAATTCCTTGCAGCATGTCACCAACATCTCCACTCCCGGTCATGTACTCATAGGTGTCCATCTCATCCTCCGACTTGAGATCTTCCATGATCAACCGAAGGGCTATGAAGGGAATGAGGATAAAGTGGGTATACTGTTGAAGAGTCAATGGCTGAAACGCAGTCATAGAAGTAGTTGTCAAATCAACTAAGTGCTGAATGCACGCCTGGATCACGGTGTAACCTTTTGGCCCATAGCTAGTTGGGTAGAAAAATTCAACCTGACAAGTCCCTTCACGATTAGTGAGTACTTACTAGCCAGGTCGAGCAACATCAAGTAGTAGTTGAGGTGCAGTCATCTTGAAGTTCTTGTGCTTTGAGAATGAATCAAAGGCTTGTTTGCAATTCATTCCGAATTTCTTCTCAGCGATGAGGTTGCCAGAAAAGAGATTAAAGACATAGCAACTCTCCTTGGCATCGCTGGATATAAGAAGATGCTGGACTTCACCTTCAAGCACTTTCATGCGAGGTGGGATTAACTTGAAGTCGATAGCTGTGGGCCATCCAAACATTAGTGCTTGCTGGAGAAGCACTTCTCTGACGACACTTCGTGATTTCCAGGCAGATCTCGAGCTCTTTGCAAGCAACAGATACTGAAAATTGACCGTCAGCAGTGAGGTGAGCCTGGCGTGCATCAAGCAACTCTTGAAGCCGAGAACTAATATTAGTGGGAAGATTTTCGAAGCACCCATCTCGTGGGCATTTGAATAGTCCAGTGGCACGATCCTGTACCTTTTTATCACCATCAACCAGCAATAAGATCATGTGAGAATTCTTACACTGACGTCTACATTTCCATTGGTTTGTCCTGATGGTGAGGTCGTCTGCTGTTCGGTGATATCAAGCTCATCTTCAGATTCCTGTGTCGCGACTGTTAGTGAAAAGAATGTCTGACAATGGAGAAAATAGCTATCAGGCCACGATCATGACACGTTTGCGCTTGAATTTGGCAGGTATATTCTCTGATGCCTCAACCCCTGTGTGCTGAACCTCCGCTGATATCAACTCATTAAACTCATCATCTGAACTGTTGTCGGCATTCTGTGATACATACTGTTCAATCAGAACATATAGTCGTAATGCAAATGAACACACCTTATTGCCCTTTGGAGGCTCCTTTGCCAGTAGGCTTGAAGCAGCCTTCATATCAGAGGACTTGGGACATGCCCTGGATCCTTTTGACTTTGGATTGGTGATGGGTACCTTCATAACAGCCTTCTTTTCCTGGAACATGGCATGTGTTAGTGGTGTCCAACACGATAAACAGCCTTACTATAGCTATAATGTCAGCAGGTTTCTTCTTGGTGATTTTCTTGGGAGCCTTCTTCACTGATGCTGGTGTGTCATTGACACCCTCCTCACTCTCGGGTTCAAAGTTGAAGTCGTCCTGATCATCAGGCTTATGTCCATCAGGCAAGTCCAGCATCCTCCAAGACACGACAACAACTTACTATAGTGGTGGCCGTTTTCTTTTGGGTAGTCTTCCTAGTGATCTTCTTGGGAGCCTTCTTCACTGACACTGGTGTGTCATCAACACCCTCTTCACTCTTGGGTTCAAAGTCAAAGTCGTCCTGATCATCAGGCTTATGTCCGTCAGGCAAGTCCAGTGTCCTCCAAGGCAAGACAATGACTTACTATAGCGGAGGCCGTTTTCTTTAGGGTAGTTTTCCTAGTGATCTTCTTGGGAGCCTTCTTCACTGGCACCAGTGCATGGTTGACGTCCCCTTCACTCTCAGGTTCGATGTCAAGGTTATCCTCATCATCCGGCTCATTACCTTCCTCATTGTGGCAGTCCTATAATGTTAGTGGTATGATACTGTCGCTTATTATTATGAAAGATGATACCTTGTTCCATGAATTGTTAAGTTGGTACTTAGCATCGTGCTTCTGATTGAGAAGCATACATTTGAGGACATTGCGGATCAGCCATCCATCTGCAAACTGCTGAAAGAACGGAAATTTAATCTGGACCTTTGTATCTGAGTGAGCAAATATCTAACCAGAGACTTGTCAGAGTACTCACCTCTAATACGACTTCATTGATAAGCGATGGGGGTTGTTGTCGAAAGGTCTTCTTCCGTTCCAACGTCGAGTTCACAATAATGCGAATTTCATGCTAGAATATGTGATTAGCAAGTCAATGGTGATAGATTGAGTGCATATATCCACCATATAGCCATTGTAGTGTCCCTTGTTACCCTTCAGCCCCATTGCATCTTGGAGACTGTATCCACCAGCTGAAACCTTGCCGGCTGCACCCTTTGGTTTTGGAATAATGTGCTTTCCGGAATGTAGAGCCGGGAGTGCATGCTTGCGGTGATCCACAACTACAGTAGTGCCTGAGTATTGACACGACTCTGCAAATCACAGACAGAATCACATACCATGAGGCCTGATAGTTGCCCATTTGGAAGTTGCATCTACACGTGTAATGGGACTGGAAATATGAGTGGATTTACCCTTTGAAATCTTTTTGGACGATTTAGAGACCATGGCTGCAGTGAGCAAAAGGGGTAAACGCGTCCAAAGACGCGACACGTTGTGACCATTTCTGTAAAATTATGTAATACCTATAATTGGAAACCTCAGTGAAAGGTGATACATCTGTCGTCGATACAGCCCGTTGTTCAAGACAGAGTGGTGAGCCCATCTCAGAGATAGCCAATGCCCCTCAACAGCCGCTTGCAGATCATCAGGAACACAGCAGTTCAAGTGAACTCGCTGCATTCAACACAATAACCTCTCCTAGAGTATCGATTTCAAAGTGCCAAGCAATCACTGCCAGTGCGAACTAAATAGTACATCAAGGACTTGTCAAGGACCTGGGTACTCATGCACTGTAATTGCACAGTATACATATGGAACTGATCCATAAAGGGCACCCCTCTCCTGAGGCCTAGAATGCATAAACTGACGTGCTGTACTGTCATGTACTATGTTTGGACCAGGCTCTGAGCAGTGCTGTCGGCATCAAGACAGAGGAGTCATGATAGAGTCAATATTGAGAGACTGACCAAAACATTCGTTCATAACATCACCATTGGACTGACAGTACTATAGAAAGCTCCAGAATATGAGTGTCTTTGGATTCGTTGGAAGAGGGTTGATTTTGAAAACGGGTGAGAACATTTGCAAGGTTGTGGCAAGAAGAAAGATAGTCATGGTCTTGAGTCAACTTGGAATTATTGCACTGTGGTGCAGTTGACTCAAAACTTGCTGGGAGCCATGTCAACTACTATGGTTGGCCATGTGCAGTGAGCTCTCCTGTATTCTCCTTTTCGACGTTGTCTGCACACCAGAGTACGAAGTTGACCATCACTACTTTTACCATCACGCGGGAATCCATTTAACTCACAACTACTAACACACACACATCTTTCTCATGCACTTTCATCAGCGCAAGCGTGTGTCTGCCATCTCCCCTTAAGAATCATGGACTGCTAACACTCAACAAGACAGCCAACAGGAAGCATCATATCCTCCGCGATCTATCCTAATTGTGAACAAACTCCAGACAGAGCCTGTGGTTGGGGCAATTGATGAACTACTGGAGTGCGTGATACATCATTCAGCCAATTAACATGTTGTGCTCAACACCCAACAGCCACGTACAAAAGAATATCCAGGTGTGAAGGTGTTCTCTGAAGACCGCCCGGACATTCCTTCCGGTGCAGAAGTTCTTTACCTTTCGAGTGTACCATCAAGAAAGTAGATACATGGCACCCGGATAAAAAGCCACCTAGTCAAAACTGACATTGAGCTACGCTGGAGGAGTATCCTTGAAAGTTGCATACCTCTGGTAGACCAATGAATATCTGACAGGCGATGATGCTGGTGAAGTTGTGCGTCACCTACAGAGATAATTGAGGTCTATGAAAGAAACATGCAGTATGGATCACTGACCCCAGTCAGAGCACTTGTTAGTCCCCATAGCACTACACAAGTACCAATGTAGAAGGACAGTCTGATATGTCTCAATTGGAGGGGAAATCAGCAGATCAATTCAGGAATACGGACCTGGTTACATAATTGAGAAGCTTATTAAAATGGCAGTCATCAATCAAGTGCCGGATGCTCTGAAATTACCATCAGGCTTACCATGTTGGACGGGATCTAGAGAACATCAAAATGAGTTTTCCAGACATTCAATCACACTTGTGCATGTACCTGTGCTGGACAATAAGAGGCATATAAGATTGCAACGACTGTGTTGTACTGGATGTCTGAGGGGGAAAAGAATGAAATGTAGATTAGCTGAAAAATAAGATACACTGATACAGACCAGTCAATCCAAGGTCTGTCTCTAGACCCTTCAGTCTAGCAGATGTTATCGCGACACGCTATTCAAACTATCTGTCAGCGTCTTCCATACTAAACAAAAAATCACACTCACATCGATGTAGTTCATGATGAATATAATTATGATTGTTGGCAGCAGGCAGAAATTGAGTTTCCACACAAGCATAGTGCTTGACAAAGTAGTCAGATAGAGAGATGTCCAGAATTGCCTGAGGAACGAAAGTGAGCCAAAAAAAAAAACAGTCAAAATTTGTGGACGTGGTGGAAGGGGAAGTGGTGCTCCACTACTCAGTCTCGGGGCAGGGTCGCGCCATACCGGACTTCATAGGGAGGGGAGTTTAAGCAAACCAAAAAGGATGCTCACCAATTACAACATTCAGCGCCTTGCTCTGTCCCTCATACCCGCTGCACTTCTTCTTAAAGGCATAGATTGTACAGAGGTGTGTGTGAGGTTGAAAATTTGACGGTCCTTTTGGTGGGGTTTGCAGTCCTGGATGTACAGTCCTGAGATGGGCGAAGCGGAGTTGGGATCAGCACGTTCGGACTGGAAAATTGACGGTCCTCAGGTGAGAAATTTGCAGTCCTTTCGAATCCCACTCGGCAACACTTACCAGGACTCTGCACGTCACATTAGGTCACAGATTCAGTCATGCATAGATCTCTTATTGCATAGGTATTGGAGGGGTTCCGACGCAATGCACTATGAGCAAGTCAACCGTATATATGCGGTATCGTACAGGTAATTGTTGACCTAAATTTGAAAATTCCTCGCACATGCTAATACAACTATAGTATCTCAAAAGTCCTGACATTCATCATACCATTAACAGCAGCCACATCTTTAACTTGTGCAATGATATCGTGGTCTGACGCGATTCTCTTGTATTCTCTGCTGCGCTGCTGTGCTAGTAAAAATGCGCCAAACGGCTGTCCAAGGCGAACAATCAATTGCAACGCTCGCGAGTGAGATTCTGAATCATCTGTCCCTTTGTCTGCAGACGACATAGACGAATCATGTAAAGGAGACTCAAGCGGGGTCAAATAATCTTCCATGATCTGTGACCCATCTGGAGAATGGGATGGCTCTGCAGAGTCGGGCAGTTCCACAAAGTTGGGCAGCTTGAGGAGAGAGCGATTCCACGGAAGAACAAGCAAGAATGTCTGCGGAATGGGTCTTGCCTGCGAGAACTGAACCAGCTTGTCTTCTGTGGTGATCAGCAAGTCACGAAGCCCATCTACCTTGACTTCATACATAGTATATGTCTCCTGGCCTTGACAAGGCTGCCATCTGACTTGTTTGACAGAGAATGTGATGGAAGGGAGATGAAGCCGGCAGTTTGCAAAACGGGGAGCACTGAGGGAGTCAAGTGTGCTGTACAATTTTGAAGCCAACCCAACAGCACCTATTACTCCCACCTGTTAGGTACCATGCCGGCTCAAGAGGCAGAGGGGTCAGGGCTTGGCTTCAGCTCTTGCGCTGCGCCCTTAGCCAAGTATGTGCCCTGAATTTGGAGTGGGTCCGACGTTGTCCGACAGTAGGACAAGTGGTCCGCTTGGGTCCGCTTTGGGGGTCAGGGAGTAAGGGCTGCTAGCGGTGGACCGACTAGGAGTGGAGCGGAGAAGGCGGGGAACAATGTGGAGGGTGGATAGGAACCAGGGAGATATTTTGATAGAAGCGGAGATGGCGGAGGATAATGCAGAGGATAGGAAAAGGGGTGATAGGAGGATATTGATAGGGGCGGGGTAATAAGGGAAAGACTTAGAGCATGGCTCTAAGTCGGAGCAGAGGGTCGGAGGGTCGGAGGTGACAACAAGTTGAGACTTGTGTCCAGAGGAGGCAAGGTCCTACTGAGAATTCTCACAAGATGTAACTGCGAGAAGACAACATCAGGAAAATGTGGTAAGGCTATATAGCCACCCATAGCGCTATAGACTGCTATACAGACTCCATAGCCCTATAGCTCGTATAGCCAAGTGCCCAATTGTGCAGGCTTACTACACCAGTGTATAGTGCTATATAGCTCTATTAAAGTTGCTATAGCTGGGTGGAACATACCACAACTATTGTAGCTATTATAGCTCAAAACACAAAGCAAAAATTTCTCTTTATAGCTGTTTGTTGCCATGATAGTGTTCTCAAAATTAAAAAAAAGCGAAAATTCCAAATTATATTTCAACTACTACAATACATGTAAACTAATAACTACAAAACAGGCAAAAATGCGAAAATTACAGGAGGAAGAGGCAAGAGAACTAGAAGGAAGAATCAGAGAGGAAAGATGAATACAAAAAAAAGAAAGACTTACCAAATAGTGAAAATTGCGAAAATTCTTGAGGGAAGAGGAGGGAAGGGAGCTAGAAGGAGAGGATCAGACAGGAGGAAGTGAGAGTCAGAGAAAAGACTTGCCAAATGGTCAAAAATGCGAAAATAGTTGGGGGGAGGAGGAGCAGGAGGGAAGAGAGCTAGAAGGAGAGGGTTAGAAAAAAGATTAGTCAAATAGTCAAAAATGCGAAAATTATGGAGGGAGACTTACCAGAGTTCAAAGCACCAGCACCAGCACCAGCACCAACAACATCAACACCAAGAGAAGGATAGAGAAGCAAGAAGAAGAGAAGAGAGGCAAAAACTCGAAAATTGTAAGAAAAATATGGAAGATAATCTAATGAGGGGGCAGTGGGGGGGGGGAAGGAAAGAATGGGAAAAGACTTGTTGGTTGACCGCATTTTTGCTTACATAAGCAGTGCCAAACAAAGCCACAACACAAGACTTGGTGAATTTTCGAGTTTTTGGTTAATAGGACTAGGATTATGACAGTAAGAAAAAGACAATGAAATTGACTGTTAGCATTAGGATTTTGAATACACATAAGGTGAATTTTCGCATTTTTGCTTACATAAATAAGGTGTACCTTAACACTTTTGAACCCTTCAATTCCAAGTATTTTCCTTATAACTCACTAAGATCTTGACCTATTGAAGTCATTAGACTATGGATAGACTTCCCTTGACAAGGACTACAACTTTGATTTAATCGAAAAAAGTTCCCATGGTCAAGTTGCTTTCTTGAACCCTTCAATTTCGAGTATTTTCCTTATAACTCACTAGGATCTTAACCTATTGAAGTCATAAGACTATGGATAGACTTCCCTAGACAAGGACTACAACTTTGGTTTTCATCGAAAAAAGTTCCCACGGTCTACTGGGGTCTATAGTTGTTGAAATGTTTTACTTCTAAATACACTTACCAAACTTTATGGTAATATATAGACTTTCATGATGTCTATACTGGTCTATAGTGCTGTGATAGCTTGCCATAGACTGTACAGAGCTGTGGTGTGCTATCGGGGCTATATAGAGGATGGTCCTCTATATAGAGATATAGTTTTTCCTGATGAAGTAATATTAAGACTAAGGAAAAATATCTAAGTACAGGATATGTTATATACTTCTATGTGTGAGGCAGTGATCAGGATAACTATGTAGTAAAGCTATGTACCAAGGATATAGTTTGTAAGTACTTTACATAGGCGAAGACATAAGTCAGAGCGGATATCAATATGTACGCGTCGGATCAGCGATCGGGCGGTAATAGGATTTACTGGTGATCCGGAAGTGAGGGTCTATGTACTGAAAAGGAAAGCATATACCTAAAAGGGGAAAGATGTCCAGTTGAATGGAGAGATTATGGAAGGGGACCAGTTGAGTGGTTGAGCAGAATGTAGGGTGGAATGCGGACTTGTGATTGGGTGGAGCGGAGGATGAATGGAGTGGAGGGGGTCGGAAAGCGGAGCAGATATTGATATGGGAGTGGTCGGATCAGGTATATGACACCACCTTTCCAATATAGTAAAGTGTTACTTAAGACGTCTGCTCACCCTTATATTAAGCCAAAAAGCATTATTTGTGAAGACCAGCGGTCCAGACCAGCAAATTGAGTGACTTAGACACTAAGATATTGTAGCTCATATTACTAATGAGGTAGACCGCGTGAACGGCTACCCAAATCAGTAATACTGCGCCACACATGTTGCCGAAACCTTTGTGCTCACTGTGGGCAACAGCGAGCTCAAGTATTCTATCAATTCAATGTATTTTTACTTAATTTTTTTCACTGTACCATTGAATATATCATTAAATAATAGTTTACTTAAATTTTGAGACCAAGGGAAGGCTATAATAAGTGTACATGACATATATGAAAGGTAGGGGGCATGGTGGCTCCTACACCTCCTCCAGAGGCCCCAGTACATTGCCCTCTGGTCGAAAATATTTCAATTATATATAATAATATGTCTATATAACAAAAAAAGCGAAATGAAATCTCCTTAGAGCCAGGGAGGACATTCTGGTAAGAAAAAATGAGGAAAATGGGGGAGGGTGAGGGAGGAAGGAGGACTACATGGCCACTAGCATCACAATATCACATATGGAGGTGTTATAGACATCAGGGAGCAAGGGGAGAGTGAATAGAGGTACCAGGAGCACAAAAATGCGCCCCAAACCAGGAGGATTACTGTTGCTGGCACAGAACTTGATATAGCTACTCACCAGTGGAACAGGAGCACAAGCGGCGTTAATGGAGTGTATTTTGACCATATTAGAGTCATATGAGACGCTGTAATTGGCGAGGAATTGATTAGTAGATGTACAAGGGGAGAAACAACATAAAACATGAAAAATAGAGAGGAGACTTACCAGAGGGTCTAGAGCGAAAGTCCTGGTACTCTAGATAGTATAAGGCATCTATATAATTGACTGGAAACAGTTGAAATGGTAGGGATAAGGAGGAAGAGAAGTTAGAAACAAAAATCACCAAAAATGCGAACCATGAGGCTCACCAAGTCTGGGAGGTGCCCAGCATCTATAGTGATGGCAGGAAGGTCATAAGATAATGAAGGTGGTCCTAAATGAGTATTAGAACACATGGGAAGTGCTGTGGAGAAGGGTAGGGCGAGTTATTGAGTCAATGTTGAAGAGGGGTGAAAAGGCACTCACCTTGCCACCAGAGAGGCCCTGGGTGTGTATATGAACTAAAATACATCCTAGAAGAGTAGAAGACACTAAGAAATGTTGGTACAGCAAGTTTCAAGACCAACCAGTGAGTTGTGGTTGTGCTACAGTGAAAGTGAGTGATAATTGGTATAGTTGAACTTCGGACACATATGGTAACCCATGGCACAATTCACATATACACCTCTAACCACTGTTTTTATTGTAACTCAACCACAACTCATCAGTAGGTCCTGATGTTCGATCGGAGGCGTAGTGGGCCATCTGCTACTCCCAACATCCTGCAGAATCTCAACCTGCCACCGCAGTCACGAACCCACCTTGAGAATATCATTTGCGTTGGTATCATACCAGGCCCCACTCAACCCAAGGACATAGCTTCATTTCTCACTCCCTTGGATGACGAGCTCGCAGATCTTGCAATGGATGTCAAAACATTTGATTCCTCAGATTTGTCTAACTTCTACCTTTACGCATTTCTAATTTTCAAGAATGGTGACATCATTGCGATCGAAAAGCTGCTTGACATGAAAGGTCACAACAGCTACTGCCCATGTCAGTCATGTAAAATCAAGGGTGTTTGAAATATCACCGCTGGAGGCAAGGTCTACTATTCACCACTGATGACACCACAATGTGAACATCAAACTCGACCATCTGCAGATCCCTGCCAACTACAGATGCGTACCCATCATCATTTTATCTCTGTTGTAGAGAAAATCAACTCAGCTCGATCACAGAGGGAGAAAAACAACATCATGAAGCACTACGGCATACGAGGCCCACCTGCGCTCCGCCGTGTTGGTTCCTTGAACTATGCAATATGTGCTCCTTGGGAATGGATGCACCTTCTCCTCGAGAACGTGGTTCCTGGCCTTGTCAAGCTCTGGACAGGGCACTTCAAGGATCTAGATGAAGGGATAGGGAACTATGAGCTTGGGCCTCATATCTGGGAGGAAATTGGTCAAGAAACTGTTAATGCGATCAAAACAATTCCCGCATCCTTCATCCGCGTTCTTGGAAATATTGCTGAGAACCACTCAAGTTTTACAGCCAAATCATGGGGCTTTTGGTTCATTTACCTGGCACCCATCTTGTTGAAAGACCGCTTTCCAGATGACAAGTATTATGTACATATGTGCAAGCTTGTTAAGTGGATGAAAAGTACCATTAAGCTTGAGTTGACAACAGATGAAGTTGATGAATTAGAAGAAGGGTTTGCACAGTGGGTCCAGGAGTACAAAGAGTGAGTACATTCAACTGTCAAGTTATCACCTGCTGACCTGTACTTTTATGTCAGGTACTATTATCAATATGAAGAAGACCGTCTTTCAACATGCATGCTGCCCATTCATGGCTTGCTCCACGTGGCCAATGACATCAAGAACGCAGGTCCTGTCTGGGTTCACTGGACTTTCGTCATGGAGTGCTTTTGCCAGTTTGTGAAGTCAAACATCCGATCACGCCATCACCCTTGGAGCCAACTCTCACGACATATCTTGTATACTGCATACTTGAGTCAGCTCCAGACCAAATTTGATTTAGAGGACGAGCTTGAAACAATGAGTTATCGGAGAGCGCCTGGACTTCAAAGGAATGAAGTAATGATTGATGGATGTATGTGTTCAATTTTATTGTGGGGGTGATACTGAATGTACATCTACTAGATCCTGATCAGGTACTCCGAGCACCTCGTCGTCTCACTCATACACCAGATGCAGACACACGAAGGTGAATTGGTATATATTTCACTGCTATTTTTCAGAATAGATGTGGCTGGAGTCAAGTCATTGCCTTACTGCCAAAGAATATGCAAATCTGGGGAAAGATGCGAATCATCGGTGGTGATAATATCCGGACATCACTCACTCTCAAGAAAGCGACTCGTAACATGGAAACATACAGAAACAATAGTTACATTCGTGTGCGTGCAATCAGTACAACGTGGTTGTGACAACATATGTACTGACCTAACTCAGTATGAGGTTACTTATGATGGTGGACACACTGTCATCTCTTATGGGCATTTAGATCAAATCCTAGTTTGTGACCTCGGACCTGATGCAATCTGGGGTGAACTTCATAACACCTCTTGTATCCTTGCACTGGTTACTCCCTGCCAAACATATGAAGCCGATGCATCAAAGGATGTTGTTGAATTCAGAGCATATGCCCAACCTGTTATTACCGACATTCGTAATGTCAAAGCTACCGTGGGACATGTAGAAACAAGGAGGAGATGGGGAATCATTGATCGCAGTACTAACTTGGTAAATGTAGTCTTCGACAACCAAGATGCTACATTGGCCAGCTCAGAGGACTTTTGACTAGTTTCCCTAACTTGTAGATTGCTTTTTGCGTTATCATGGGTGTCCAATGCGACCATGTGTGATATACAGTAATATAACTATAATGCACTGAAAATCGGTTCACATGCACTGAAAAACAGTGTGTCAAAACTGTTTCAACTAAAATTCAGTGGTAGCGAAGATCCACTGAATTTCCAGGGCAACTGAAGTTCAGTGGTCAAATCCACTGAAGAAACGGCATTCAGTGGCATTATGCACTGAAGTTCAGGGCATTTACTATCCACAGTGTTACTGGGCATGGTTAAGCATCATCCTGCCATGAACAGGTGTCAGGCCATCAACACGACTGCCAAACCTGACCTCTAGCTCTCGGTTGACAGCTGCAGCCACAATAAGCTATGCGAATCTTTCAAGCATCTGAGCTGTCAGGATTGTCCAGTGCATCATATTTAAGCTTTTCAGGTGTTCTGGGTCCAGTAGACACAAATTCACCCAAATTGACACTATGTTTTCGAGGGTGTGAAATTGACATTGTCATTCACAGTAAATTTGCAGGGTAAATTTGCAGGGTAAATTTGCCGGGCAAATTTGCCTGGTGCAAATTCCCGGAACCCTAATCGCCATGAAGTTCTGCGAGAACAATATTCAGGACATAAAAGCAAGCCGTCTTCCTACCGTCCTTGTCGAACTTATTTGATCCCATATAATATCCTTACAAACAATGTGTTTCTCCTTCGTCCTCGCCGTCGTTGCTGCTTTGACAGCGTCAATATTTGCCGTCTTTCTTCATATTTTTCTTGTCTGCTACATAGAATACAGTCCTAAATATTTGCTTCCTTCGTACGTACTAATCAATCGCTTCCTCAGTCACGTTCGTCGTCTCTCCTTGCTCGTCATTTTGGTATACTCGGTCCACTTCTTTCGAAACTCTTTGCTTGTAGTGTCGAGGCCCATGGAGGAGAACGCGGTCCAGAACGCCAGTCCCAGTACATATTTGCAGCAAAGGGGCGCCGCAATCGCGGGCGCTGCAAAGTTACTACTAGTACTAGATCATCGTGTTCGACGTCCGCGGGCGCGTCACAAGGAACTGGTGGCCGGTCTGCATGAAGCCTACGCTGGACGCAGACATCTTGGGGACAGGTCTGCTCCAGGTCAACGTCTGCCAATGGATGTTCTGAAAGTGTTGGCAGGTCTGTCAAATGTTCGAACTTCGACCATAATCCCGCCCGCCGTCAGCTTCTCACTTGCTGCACTTACAGCCATCGCTGACATCATGATCTTTACTTCTAAACCTGCTTTCAGATGTCTTGTTGCCCGCCGCATCAACTGCAGCCTACTTACGGTTGGATATCCCGGATTGACATGTGACAGATCAAAGTTGACAGCTTGGAACTTTCCGACCAGTTATCTCACAGACTTCACACAGACTGGCTGTTCTCCACGTTAGGCGCTTGTCGATCCTGCATCCCATCCACCACCCTCCTTGTCCCTAAGTTTGCACGTAGTGAGCTCTTTAGACTCAGAGACTCAGCCGTGTTTTCACACTTACTCGATGAATCCTCCTCGGAAGAAGGTTTTTGGGTTGCTGCGGCGAAGTCGTTCAAATTTGCCAGTGGACAGCGGAACCAGTGAGATTGAGGTAATAAACATTACACTTAGATATTCTGGTTGTGTAAAATGATGTCGTTCCAGGCATCCTCTCTCCCGCCTTCGAGGGATGGATCTCTGAGTCGGAGAGGACTCTCGGTATTACAGGTTCCCAAGTTCTGGGGCAAGCATTCCTCTTGGAGCGCTCGACAGTCTCCAAACCCTGAACCCGCAGCCGCAAGTTCCAGCGCACCGAATCTCCTACCCGCTCAGACCACTCAGGTATGTGCAACACTTGGCACGTTCCACGTGCGCTGATTGCTACCAACTTCCGCAGGATCCTTCACCACTCACTGCTCCCACTCCCACTCCCGGACCAAATGCTGACCAGCCTTCCAATTCAGGCATTCCGAAGGTGAATTCGCAATTTGGATCATTGTTATCGTCTCTTTCGATAATGTACTAACATTCGTAATCAGGCCGAGCAACCTGACCCAAAGTTTGTGAATGACCGAATCGCCGATGCCACAAAAGGCGTTGCAGGGATGAAAAATGTCCCCGTAATGGCCCAAAATACTGCTTCCCAAACGAACAACTTGCAATTCATTCCCGATACGATCGACAGGTTCTCCGCAATACTTAAACCCCTGAAGGCATTCAACTCAATCGCTAATGTGCTTGCAGATGTACGGGCCTCTATCTGTATCTGTTACGTCACTAATCTTCGTGCATAGGCCCATCCCTATGCAAAGGTGGCATTGAGCATCTTCACTTACGCATCCCAGGTACGTTTGTTTTGTATGTTCAAGCTTGCAAGCTACTAAGAACGTCTGGTGGCAGATGATTCTCGATCAGGCAGACCGCGATGATGCTGTCTCTGGTTTGCTCTTGAAGATCTCTGAGGTCTATATTTTCATCACGGAAGAAGAGGGGCTCGCTACATCCATGCCAGCAATCTATGGGAAGATAGCGCGACAGACGCTTGTGTGCGCTGATTTTATCACCCATTACTCTCAGACGACGAGCGCCTGTGAGTCGATCTCACCACTGCGCTACCTACGACTCACTGTCACATCTTTGTACAGGGAAAAGACTTGGGATGCACGTCTTCAAAGAAACAGAGACCGTGATTCAAAGTTACAACGAGGTACTTGACAATCTCATGCAGCAATTCCGAGACAGAGCCGCTCGCGACACACTTGTGATTGTCCACCATATGGGTAAGAGTCGGCCTTCAGGTCTCGTTGAACCTTAGTTGACATTCTACTACCTGTGACATAGCCGAAACTCTGGACCTCGTCGACTTATTGGACTGTGCAGCGGGTGCTGGAGTCAATACGTCTAAATGTTGTCTGCCAAATACTCGGCAAGATCTTCTGACAGATATCAAGGATTGGATCAGCAGCACCGATGAGGGTGCCTCACGCGTCTTGTGGCTCTCCGGCACAGCAGGCAAGGGTAAATCTGCCATCGCACATACCATTGCCAACTGGTACACTGAGCAAGGTGGTCTTGGCTCATGCTTCTGCTTCGACCGCACGCAACAAGCAGATCGCGGCGAGAACAGAGTTTTGACTACCATCGCAAACGACTTAGCGGACTGCAATCCTATCATGCGGCGAGCCTTGGTGCAAGCGGTTCATGATAGCAATGGACTCAAGCGCACTTCAGACCTCACGAGACAATGGCAGGAATTAATCGTGGGACCAACAAGCAAAGTCTCGAAAGCCATCGCCGCACCAGTGCTGATCATCATCGAGGCGTTGGACGAGAGTGGCGACGCGAGTTCCCGGGAACAGATTCTTCGTCTGCTCGCTGGCGAGAACAGTTCTTCCTCCGCACCATCCGACATCCCACCAAACATCCGTATTCTTGTCACTTCCCGTCCATTGGAAGACATTAAAAACGCTCTGCACACCGCACCACATGTTCGCCATGTCTCCTTAGATGACATCTCGTCCGCGTCCACAGAACACGACATCCAGCTTTATATCACCAGTAGGCTGAAAGATCTACGCAACGTGTTCAATGATGAGCACTTCAAGACACTCGCTCTGAAATCCGACGGCATGTTTGAATGGGCTCGTCTTATATGCGAGTATATCAAGGGTACGAACAAAGTACGGCGCAATCCGATGAGCCGTTTCGACGACCTGGTTGCTGGAACATCCGCAAAAGGAACGCGTTTGTTGGATGATATATACATACGTATCTTGGGCGACAGCATGCCAGAGGACGAGCGCGAGGAAACGATCTCCATGTTTTCCTCTGTGATGGGCCAAATCCTTGCATCATCTGAACCGCTTCCCATGGCTGCGTTAACCGCGATGCGACTGCGTTTTCCACGCACAGATGACCATTACGGTGTGGATGAGGTCATTGGATCGCTGGGGTCGCTCTTGGCTGGAACCATAGACTCTCAAACTCCCATACGTCCCCTCCACGCGTCTTTCTACGACTTCCTCACAGACAGATCACGCAGCCACGACTTCTTCATTGATGTGTCATCGGTACAAAGAGACCTTGCCTTTGCCTCGCTTCGCATCATGGAGCGCGGACTTTGCTTCAACATCTGCTCTCTAGAGAGTTCTTACTTACCCAATTCTGCTGTCCCTGACTTGGAGAAACGAGTGAAAGAGTCCATTCCGACTGAACTATCATATTCATGTCGATTTTGGGGGACTCATTTGGGAACTACGTCCTTCGAACGATTACTCGCTGAAGAAATTGAAGCTTTCTTCGATGGGGAGCGCCTCCTTTGGTGGTTGGAAGCACTATGCCTGATGAAAAGCCTGGGCGGCTCGGTAGGGTGCCTCTCGTCTATCACACATTGGTTCAAGGTGCGTCGCTCGAGCTCGTTCTTAGGACTGAGAGATTCTTACAAGAAGTGGAATGGTCATAGGATCATGCCGAATATGCTCACGTCGACGACACTGCCAGGGACACCCAGCGCTTCGTTCGAACTTTCGCGACCACCATTTTACATTGCACTCCACATTTATACTTATCCGCTCTGCCGTTCGCTCCAATTCAGTCGAAGATATCTCAAAAGTTCGCTGCAAAGTTCTCTTGCACTCCCCGGATTGCCGCTGGTCATGCTGCAAATTGGCCTCTCATGCAAAAGATACTCCACGGGCATTCCTGGGTTTACTCGGTTGCGATGTCACCAGACGGAAAACTCGTTGCATGTGGTTCGGGTGACGGAATGATCCAGATGTGGGATTTGGAGACAGGCGAGGTGTTGTGTGCCCCTCTCCAAGGCCACACTGCCCCTGTTAGTTCTATCGCATTCTCGCTGGATGGAAAGCGTATCGTGTCAGGTTCAGATGACAAGACAATCCGTGTGTGGGATGCGGCGACTGGCAAAGCATTGGGTGTTCCTCTTCACGGGCACGATGGCACTGTTCAGTCTGTCGCAATCTCGTCAGATGGAAGGCACATTGTATCTGGTTCATCGGACACGACAATCGGGGTATGGGATGCAGAGACCGGCAAGGCATTGGGTCCCCGTCTCAAAGGACACACTAGTGGTGTTTTGTCTGTCACAATTTCGCCGGATGGAAAGCGCATTGTATCCGGTTCCTATGACAAAATGATCCGGGTATGGGATTTAGAGACTGGCGAAGCATTTGGTGCCCCACTCCAAGGCCACACTGGCGCTGTTTGGTCCGTCGCAATCTCGTCGAACGGACATCACATTGTGTCTGGTTCAGAGGACAAAATGATCCGAGTATGGGATTTGGAGACTGGCGAGGCATCTGGTGCCCCACTCCAAGGCCACGTTGGCGCTGTTTCGTCCGTCGCAATCTCGTCGGATGGAAATCGCATCGTGTCTAGTTCAGCGGACATGACCATCCGGGTGTGGGATATAGAGACTAGAAAGGCATTAGGATCCCCTCTCCAAGGCCACACTGATGTTGTTACGTCTGTCGTCATCTCGCCGGATGGAAATCACTTAGTTTCTGGTTCTTATGACAAGACAACTCGGGTGTGGGATGCCGACACAAGTACCAGCGAGGCACTGGGTGCCGCTCTCCGTGGTCACACTGCCACCATTAACTCTCTTGTGATCTCACCTGATGGACATCACATCATATCCGGCTCAGACGACAAAACCATCCGGGCGTGGGATATGGAGACTGGTGAGGCATTGGGTGCCCCTCTCCAAGGGCACACTGACGTCATTTGGTCGGTCGCAATTTCGCAGGATGGACATCGCATTGTGTCTGGCTCATTTGACAAGACCATTCGGATGTGGGATATGGAGACTGGCGAGGAATTGGGTTCCCCCCTCCAAGGGCACACTGACTGGGTTCGGTCTGTCGCAATCTCACAAGATGGGAGACACATTGTGTCTAGTTCAGATGATTGCACAGTCCGGGTGTGGGAGGCACAGACTGGAGTGGCAACGGGTGTCTCTCTCGAAGGCCACTCTGATCATGTTTTGTCTGTCACAATCTCGCCGGACGGAAACTGCATAGTTTCTGGCTCAAGTGACAACACAATCCGGGTGTGGGGAATGGGGTCAGGCAAGGCATTGAGCGCCCCTCTCCAAGGTCATACCAACACCGTCCGCTCTGTCGCAATATCATCGGATGGGCGTCGCATCGTGTCTAGCTCGGCTGATAAGACCATCCAGGTGTGGGATATAGGAACTGGCAAGGCATTAGGTGTTGCTCTCCGAGGCCACACAGAGCCTGTTAACTCTGTTGTAATTTCGCCAGATGGAAAATGCATTGTATCCGGTTCAGATGACAGGACCATCCGAGTGTGGGATATGGAGACTGGGGGGGCAGTGGGTGCCCCGCTCCGAGGGCACACTGGATATGTTTCTTCTATTGCAATCTCGCCTAACGGCAAATGTGTTGTGTCTGGTTCATCTGATAACACCATTCGGGTATGGGATCTAGACATTCTCAACCGGCGCCAACCCTTCGAAGCACCTGCAATATGTTTTTCGTCCAACCAGACCCATGCTCTTTGTTCCTCCTCTTCCTTTCTCCAACATTCTTACACTCCAGCCTCTCTCGCCCTCACCGAGGACGGATGGGTTGTAGGGCCCGACGGACGACTCTTCTTTTGGATCCCAATCCACGTATACCCAGCCATACATTTTCCAGGCAACACACTGGTGATACACAATCAAGCCTCCCAGCTCGATTTAAGTTGTTTCGCCCACGGCACGTCATGGCACAAGTGTCGGGAACAGAAGGATTCCTTGTCTTCGTGATCATCTCCGGTAGGTAGCGACAACATATGTGCGTGTCATGACTAATAGAAGTACAACACAGATCTACAGTCTACGCAGAACTTGTACACTACATATTTGCGATTTCTTGATCCATGGCCTTCACTTGTATTTCTTCTACTGCACCGAGTCTCACAATATCATTTTGGGCCTGCACAAGGATTTCATTCATGCCTTCGCTCCCACGAAATGTTATATACATATTTGCTATATGCCTTGCCGTACTGCAATCCAATCGTTGTTATAAGTCCTCCCTAGATTCAGGTTGTCTACCATGGTCGGTCTGTAGAAGTTAGAATGCAAAGGACGACTATCCTGAGCTCAGGCTTGTCGTTATGTTTATGATTCGATCAACGAATAGGCACTACCCGCCTCATCAAACCCAGTACGCGATGCATCCTCAGCTAGGTTGAAGAGCCCTCGGTATTCTATGTTGACTATATACGAGTGTTCTTGGCGTTTGAAGTCAGTCGCCTGCGTCTTGTCTCATAATAACCTGGTATGTGGTCTGCTACGGAAGACTTGTCTTGTGTGAAGTAAACTTTATCACATACAGATGAGGTTTGTTGGGCTTCCTGCCGTGATGAAAAGGTACTGTCAGAGATATTCAGAGTGGAATACTCGACGCAGGCAATACCGATGCTTTTATCTTCATCAGCCTCACCTAACGCTGTCGCATTGTCTCGAACTGATTCTACGAAGACCATGCTCCGTGTCACATCTACCGCAGACACCAAAACGAATATGATTTCAATATTAAGCCGAAGAGCCGCTCGTACCAAAATACCAACGAAAGTATTACATCCAAGTTCACAATAAACCACGCTCAAGATCAAGAACCTACAACCCCTCCCCATACTTCCCCATCACCCCCCTCAATGACGCCTCATCCCCAAACCTCGGCTCAAAACACGCAGCAAACGGCTTAGGATGTGCAATAACACCATCCACAAAACCCGACTCATCAATCGGGTTCTCAGGGTCCTGCGTGATCTTGAAAGACCACAAGAGGAGTGCAGCGTTGATGAAGATCGAGCGGTTGGCTATATGTTGTCCTGGGCAGATTCTGCATGTCGTACATCGTATTTTAGTATGTAGGCAACTGAGTTTAATATCAGGGACAAGTACCTGCGTCCAAAACCGAATGAAGGGAACTTGAGGTCGTCCCGGATTGTGCCGTCGGTGTTGAGCCACCTCTGAGGATCGAACTGGTCAGGGTTGGTGTAGACGCTTGGGTCACGGGAGATTGCCCTGTTAAAAGGTGATCAGTACATATATCGCATAGAATGGATGTTAGTCGTACCAGTGGTTGCCAAAGACGATAGCACCTTCTGGGATACACATGTTCTTCTGCTCAACAATACGATCAGAATCAACGAATCAGGCCAGAACACTGGAAGACGCACGTATGGGATATCAGTCAAGGCACGGTGTGCGAATCCAAGAGTTGTCACGGGTCTCCAGCGAAGACATTCCAGCATGAATGCTTCAATCTGCGGGGGGGAGTTGAAGTCGTCGAATGTGGGAGCTGCAACAAAGTTGAGATTTCACTCAGATGAATGACGATATTTCGACTTACCTCTGTCACGCCCAATGACGACGTCCAGTTCTTCTTGCACTTTCTCCTGAGCCTTGGGATAGCATGCAGAAGCCATGACGAGAACCATAATCGCAACAGCAATCGTGTCCGAACCAGCGCCAAAGAGAGATCCAGCGAGATAAGCCATTTCTTCGTCCGAGAGCTTGTGCGAAGACTGGTTCTCAAGAAGATAACGAGCAAACGGGGGGCCAGCTTTGCCAGTCGCCTACGAAGAACAGTCAGGTACTAATCAGGAAAGAAGTGGAACGAACCAACCAATTCTCTCGAAACGCGATCAAGTTGGTCATGGAAGAGCTGACTCTCTTCCCTTCTCCACTGCTCCAACTCGGTTGCATATCCCGGAACGTATTTTAATATCTGGTAGCGCTCTACCAGTAATGCACCAGGTCGCATGAGCATTTGGAAGCGCTTGAGCATTTTGTGGATGACGATGATCTGTGGCGGTGGGTGTCGACTTGCCATACGTGACACGCAAGATGACGGAGGCGGCGTAGCTTGAGTTGAATGTATAAGTCATCATAAAACAACGCATAGAGTGCGACACACCGATTCGCAGCTGTTTGGTGTCCTTGAGGGTTATTAAGGATATCGAAGATGACATCACGGGCAGCGTCCATCTGGATTGGCGCATAGGATGCTGCAGCTTTCGCTTGAAGGTGAGTGTGAGCCGCTCTGAATTACATAATTTCAGTAAAACAGGTCGTTAAGAGGAGATGTCAACCCAACCTGCGAAGTCTGCGGAACTGCTTTCCTGCGGGTACAAGGATCAAACGCAGCCCGCACGACAAGATCTCTCCTGCCGCAACTGCACGAGGACGGTCCGCTAGTAGACCACCTTCTTTCTCCATTATATCGACAGTTCCTGTGCAGGTGGGTATGTACTCGGCAACCAGTATTGGGACTATCTTACCTAGTGTCTGCCAATGATGACCATGATCTTAGGCCCGATCCGAAGCGAGATCACGGGTCCATAGGTATTGATCCATTCTGCAAACTGCTGAGATTGACTATGATGCGTTTCCCGTTAGTGTCCATATAAAGTTTCGTATTTTATGTACTCACTTGGTTCTTGGCAGAGGAGTTCCGAATAGCCAATGTCCAGGAGGACCAGGAGGAAGAGGCAGGCGTGACTTTGAGCGTATCTTAGCGTGGAGGACCTTGCCTGCCAGAGCGAGAGCGACCAAGGCTCCTAGAACCTTGAATCCAAATGTCAAGTCGAACATCTTCTACAAGGGCAAATACAGTGACTTAGTACAAGAGAGAAGACGGAGGAATGAAAGGTGCTGAACGCATAGTGCAGCAGCTGAGTTTTATGCTAGACGAGGCTGACAGTCGCTTGACGCTGGCCAGTGCTAATGGGAGACCAAGCCTGTTGGGTGATGGACTGACGGTTAGTGCGGCTTTGGGACAACTCGGTCAGTTGTCATGAGACGCAACTGGTATGACAAATTGACAAATATCGATGTCCTGATCCACCGCGGCGTTCGCAGTGGAGATATCCAACTTGCTGGAACAATCGAAACTTCTGGTCAATTGACGCGCATCCAGCTGCAGCGTGTTCTTTCAAGGTTCAACTTGACGCAAAAGAATCGATTTTTCGAAGAGAAGTCTTTAAGAGACGCGTGTTCACGAGGCCTAGGATGTGTAGCCATTTTCCAGCAAAGTGCGGTTGCTAGTATGGTAGACGGTGTCAAGGCTAACTTGATTATGATCGAGTGCAATAGCCCCTTGAAAAAAATGAAACCTCAGCCACAAGCGCGTTTTTCCATAAACGCGACGTACCGTAACATCCAGCGCGTTCAGCCTTACTATTCTCGTTCGTAAATGACTGTGATAGATAAGGCGTGCATAATGACACGATGAAGCAGGTCCGTTCATAGAATACCTAATTTGTGTCCTCCATACTAATATTCAATCGCTTCCTTAGTCACGTTCGTCGTCTCTCCTTGCTCATGATCGCAAGTCATTTTGGGTAAGCACGCTGGTACTACTGATAGATCATCGAACTTTTACTTCTCAACAGATGTGACAATGCACTATGAGTTTTCTGCATGTGTACTACTGAATCATAAAAAACCAATCGTATCCACGAAGTATTCTTGCAACTTCTGATTGGAAAATGCCCCAGCTGACAGCATCATGGCATGAATAACACGTCGTTTGATACATTGTATAGCAGGTACATGCTGCCTCCAGTTGTCTCAAAGGGTTTGGTACTTGTATGGTCTGCAGCATGCCGCAACCGCACCCGATAATCGTAGCTTAACGCAGGGACCAAGGAGGACAGGATGACATCTATGTCTGTCAGGACTCAGTTTGGTAGTACTAGTAGGAGTCACTCAAAGTTGTCCTGTCACGAACGGAGTGACGGTCTGTATAACCGTGGGTGAACCAAGTTCTCAAAATGTTAGGAAGATGTGAGGAAGGATCAATTATGTTTCCCGTAAGATAGGTTCTACATCGCCATGAAGTTCTGCCAGAACAATATTCAGGACATAAAAGCAAGCCGTCTTCCTACCGTCCTTGTCGAATTTATTTGATCCCATATAATATCCTTACAAACAATGCGTTTCCTTCGTCCTCGCCGTCGTTGCTGCTTTGGCAGCGTCAATATCTGCCAGTGATGCTGATAGCAGCATTTGTTATTGTCCCGAAATTTGCTCCGCAAAAGCGAAAAAAACAAATTGTCCAGTACAGTCCTAAATATTTGCGTCCTTCGTACGTACTAATCAATCGCTTCCTCAGTCACGTTCGTCGTCTCTCCTTGCTCGTCATTTTGGTATACTCGGTCCACTTCTTTCGAAACTCTTTGCTTGTAGTGTCGAGGCCCATGGAGGAGAACGCAGTCCAGACCGCCAGTCCCAGTGCATATTTGCAGCAAAGGGGCGCCGCAATCGCGGGCGCTGCAAAGTTACTACTAGTACTAGATCATCGTGTTCGACGTCGGCGGGCGCGTCACAAGGAACTGGCAAGCATGTACAAATAAAGGCGTAGGCACGGCACACCAGCGAAATGTTATCTACTCATATCATGATGTGCTGGTGTGCAATTGGTTGTGTGCTGGTAGCTACCAAGATTAAATAAACTTTGTCCTTCACTCGCGTGAGCAGCTCTGTGACGGTCTTGGATAAGATTCCACCTTGCCAATCGATCACCCAGTCCAGTGGTACATGATAGTCACTGCGGCAGTTGCCAGCGGTGGGCGCTTCCAAACGCACGTTCGATTCCCTGCGGACAGGCGTCTGTTTCCTTGTGTGCCATCCACCACCAAGTTTACACATAGTGACCTCTTTAGACTCAGAGACTCAGCTGTGCTTTCAAGCTTGCTCGATGAATCCTTCTCGGAAGAAGCCCTTTGGGACTGGGTGGCTAAGGCGAAACCGCTCGAATCCTCATTCCCCAGTGGGGAGCGAAGCCAGTGAAATTGAAGTATTAAACATTCCACTTATATATAAGTACTAGTTGTGTTTAACGATCTCGTTCTAGACGTCCTCTTTCCCGCCTTCACGGGATGAATCTCCCGGAAAACCTCCAGGGCTGTTTCGAAAGTTGTGGGGCAAGGCAAACAAGCGTTCAGCTCGAAGCGCTCGACAGTCATCAAACCCTGAACCCGCGGTTGCAAGTTCCAGCGCACCGGATCTCCTACCGACTCAGACCACTCAGGTATGTGCAACACTTGGCACGTTCCACGTGCGCTGATTGCTACCAACTTCCGCAGAATCCTTCACCACTCACTGCTCCCACTCACACTCCCACTCCCACTCCCGAACCGAATCTTGACCAGCCTTCCAATTCAGGCATTCCGAAGGTGAATTCGATCATTGCAATTCGGATCATTGTTATCCGTCTCCATCAATAATGTACTAACGTTCGCAATCAGGCCGAGCAACCTGACCCAAAGTCTGTGAATAAAAGAATCATTGATGCCACCAAAGGCGTTGCAGGCATGAAAAACGTCCCCGTAATGGCCCAAAATGCTGCTTCGCAAACAAACAACCTGCAGTCCGTTCCCGATACGATCGACACGTTCTCCGCGATACTTAAACCCTTGAAGGCATTTAACTCAATCGCTAATGTCCTTGCAGACGTACGGGCCTCTATCTGTATCTTTTACGTCACTGATCTTCGTGCATAGGCCCATCCCTATGCAAAGGTGGCATTGAGCATCTTCACTTACGCATCCCAGGTACGTTTGTTTTGTATGTTCAAGCTTGCAAGTTATTAAGAACGTCTGGTGGCAGATGATTCTCGATCAGGCAGACCGCGATGCTGCTGTTTCTGGTTTGCTCTCGAAGATCTCTGAGGTCTATACTTTCATCACGGAAGAGGAGGCGTTGGCCAGTGTTCCATCCATGCCAGTGATTTATGGGAAGATAGCGCGACAGACGCTAGAGTGCGCGGATTTCATCGCTCATTACTCTGAGACGACGAGCGCCTGTGAGTCGAACTCACCACTGCGCTACCTATGACTCATTGTTACATCTTTGTACAGGGAAAAGACTTGGAAAGCATGCCTTCAAAGAAACTCAGGCCGCGATCGAAAGTTACAACGAGGTTCTCGACAGTCTCATGCAGCAATTCCGAGACAGAGCCGCTCGCGACACACTTGTGATTGTCCACCATATGGGTAAGAGTCGGCCTTCAGGTCTCGTTGAGCCGTAGCTGACATTCTACTACCTGTGACATAGCCGAGACTCTGGACCTCGTCGACTTATTGGACTGTGCAGCGGGTGCCGGAGTCAATACGTCTAAATGTTGTCTGCCAAATACTCGGCAAGAACTTCTGACGGATATCAAGAGTTGGGTCAGCAGCACCGATGAGGGTGCCTCACGCGTCTTGTGGCTCTCCGGCACAGCAGGCAAGGGTAAATCTGCCATCGCACATACCATTGCCAACTGGTACACTGAGCAAGGTGGTCTTGGCTCATGCTTCTGCTTCGACCGCACGCAACAAGCAGATCGCGGCGAGAACAGAGTTTTGACTACCATCGCAAACGACTTAGCGGACTGCAATCCTATCATGCGGCGAGCCTTGGTGCAAGCGGTTCATGATAGCAATGGACTCAAGCGCACTTCAGACCTCACGAGACAATGGCAGGAATTAATCGTGGGACCAACAAGCAAAGTCTCGAAAGCCATCGCCGCACCAGTGCTGATCATCATCGAGGCGTTGGACGAGAGTGGCGACGCGAGTTCCCGGGAACAGATTCTTCGTCTGCTCGCCGGCGAGAACAGTTCTTCCTCCGCACCATCCGACATCCCACCAAACATCCGTATTCTTGTCACTTCCCGTCCATTGGAAGACATTAAAAACGCTCTGCACACCGCGCCACATGTTCGCCATGTCTCCTTAGATGACATCTCATCCGCGTCCACAGAACACGACATCCAGCTTTATATCGCCAACAGACTGGGAGGTCTACGCAACGTGTTCGATGATGAGCACTTCAAGACACTCGCTCTGAAATCCGACGGCATGTTTGAATGGGCTCGTCTTATATGCGAGTATATCAAGGGTACGAACAGGGTTGGCCTGGATCCTATGGATAAGTTCGAAGCTGTGGTTACTGGAACATCTGAAAAAGGAACACGTCTGTTGGATTTTATGTATGCACGCATCTTGGAAGAGACACTGCCTTCAGATGAGCGCGGGGAGGCTATCCCCGTGTTTCGCTCAGTGATGGGGCAAATCCTTGCATTACTGGAACCACTCCCCATGACTGCATTGACCGCCATGCGACTGCATTTTTCACCCGGTGCTTGCCGTTACAAAGTGCAGCGGGTTATTGGGCCACTAGGGTCGCTGTTGGCCGGGACCATGGACTCCCAAACTCCCATACGACCCCTCCACGCATCCTTCTACGACTTCCTCACAGACAAATCACGGAGCCAAGACTTCTTCATCGACGTGTCGTCGGTACAACGCGACCTTGCCTTTGCCTCGTTTCGGGTCATGGAGCGCGGACTTCGCTTCAACATCTGCTCTTTAGAGAATTCTTACTTACCCAATTCTGCTGTCCCTGACTTGGAGAAACGAGTGAAAGAGTCCATTCCAGCTGTGCTGTCATATTCATGTCGATTTTGGGGGACTCATTTGGGAGCTACGTCCTTCGAGTCATCGCTCGCTAAAGAAATTGAAGCTTTCTTCGACGGGGAGCGCCTCCTTTGGTGGTTGGAAGCACTATGCCTGATGAAAAGCCTGGGCAGCTCGCTGGGGTGCCTCTCGTCTATCACACGTTGGTTTAAGGTGCGTGGCTCGAGCTCGTTCTTAGGACCGATAGATTCTTACAAGAAGTGGAATGGTCGTAGGATCATGCCGAATATGCTCACGTCGACGACACTGCCAGGGACACCCAGCGCTTCGTTCGAACTTTCGCGACCACCATTTTACATTCCACTCCACATTTATACTTATCCGCTCTACCGTTCACTCCAATTCAGTCGAAGATATCTCAAAAGTTCGCTGCAAAGTTCCCTTGCACTCCCCGGATTGCCGCTGGTCATGCTGCAAATTGGCCTCTCATGCAAAAGATACTCCACGGGCATTCCAGGGTTCTCTCTGTTGCGATATCACCAGACGGAAAACGCATTGCATGTGGTTCAGAAGACGGAATGATCCAGATGTGGGATTTAGAGACAGGCGAGGCATTGGGTGCCCCTCTCCAAGGCCACACTGCCCATGTTAATTCTATCGCATTCTCGCCGGATGGAAAGCGTATCGTGTCAGGTTCAGCGGACAAGACAATCCGGGTGTGGGATGCGGCGACTGGCAAAGCATTGGGTGTCCCTCTTCAAGGGCACACTAGGGCTGTTCAGGTCTAGTCGCAATCTCGTCAGACTGGAAAGCACATTGTATCTGGTTCATCGGACATGACAATCGGGGTATGGGATGCAGAGACCGGCAAGGCATTGGGTCCCCGTCTCAAAGGACACACTGATGAGGTTTTGTCTGTCGCAATTTCGCCGGATGGAAAGCGCATTGTATCCGGTTCCTATGATAAAATGATCCGGGTATGGGATTTAGAGACTGGCGAAGCATTTGGTGCCCCACTCCAAGGCCACACTGGCGCTGTTTGGTCCATCGCAATCTCGTCGAACGGACATCACATTGTGTCTGGTTCAGACGACAAAATGATCCGGGTATGGGATTTGGAGACTGGCGAGGCATTTGGTGCCCCACTCCAAGGTCCACACTGCCCCAATTTTATCCGTCGCAATCTCGTCGGATGGAAATCAGCATCGTGTCCTAGTTCAAGCGGACACTGACCATCCAGGGTGTGGGATATGGAGACTAGAAAGGCATTAGGATCCCCTCTCCAAGGCCACACTGATAGTGTTACGTCTGTCGTCATCTCGCCGGATGGAAATCACTTAGTTTCTGGTTCAATTGACAAGACAATTCGGGTGTGGGATGCCAACACAAGTACTAGCGAGCCATTGGGCACCGCTCTCCGGGGTCACACTGCCACCATCAACTCTCTTGTGATCTCGCCTGATGGATGTCACATTGTATCTGGTTCAGACGACAACACCATCTGTGTGTGGGATATGGAGACTGGTGAGGCATTGGGTGCCCCTCTCCAAGGGCACACGGACTCTGTTCAGTCGGTCGCAATCTCACCGGATGGACACTGCATTGTGTCTGGCTCATCTGACCAGACCATCCGGATGTGGGATATAGAGACTGGCAAGGAATTGGGTTCCCCTTTCCAAGGGCACACTGACCGGGTTTGGTCTGTTGCAATCTCACAGGATGGGAGACATATTGTGTCTAGTTCAGATGACCGCACAGTCCGGGTGTGGGAGGCACAGACTGGAGTGGCAACGGGTGTCTCTCTCGAAGGCCACTCTGATCATGTTTTGTCTGTCACAATCTCGCCGGACGGAAACTGCATAGTTTCTGGCTCAAGTGACAACACAATCCGGGTGTGGGGAATGGGGTCAGGCAAGGCATTGGGTGCCCCTCTCCGAGGTCATACCAACACCATCTCCTCTGTCGCAATATCGTCGGATGGGCGTCGCATCGTGTCTGGCTCGGCTGATAAGACCATCCGGGTGTGGGATATGGGAACTAGCAAGACATTGGGTGTGGCTCTCCGAGGCCACACAGAGCCTGTTAGCTCTGTTTTAATCTCGCCAGATGGAAATTGCATTGTATCCGGTTCATATGACAGGACCATCCGAGTGTGGGATATGGAGACTGGGGAGGCAGTGGGTGCCCCTCTCCGAGGGCACACTGGACCCATTCGGTCTGTTGCAATCTCACCCAACGGCAAACACATTGTGTCTGGTTCATCCGATAACACCATCCGGGTATGGGATCTAGACATTCTCAACCGCCACCAACCCTCCGAAGCACCTGCAATATGTTTTTCGTCCAACCAGACCCACGCTCTTAGTTCCCCGTCCTCCTTTCTCCAACATTCTTACACTCCAGCCTCTCTCGCCCTCACCGAGGACGGATGGGTTGTAGGGCCCGACGGACGGCTCCTCTTTTGGATCCCGATCCACGTATACCCAGCTATACAATTTCCAGGCAACACACTGGTGATACACAATCAAGCCTCCCAGCTCGATTTAAGTTGTTTCGCCCACGGCACGTCATGGCACAAGTGTCGGGAACAGAAGGTTTCCCTGTCTTCGTGATCATCTCCGGTAGGTAGCGACAACATATGTGCGTGTCATGACTAATAGAAGTACAACATAAATCTACAGTCTCTGAAGAACTTGTACACTACATATTTGCGATTTCTTGATCCATGGCCTTCACTTGTATTTCTTCTACTGCACCGAGTCTCACAATATCATTTGGGCCTGCACAAGGATTTCATTCATGCCTTCGCTCCCACGAAACGTTATATACATATTTGCTATATGCCTTGCCGTACTGCAATCCAATCGTTGTTATAAGTCCTCCCTAGATTCAGGTTGTCTACCATGGTCGGTCTGTAGAAGTTAGAATGCAAAGGACGACTATCCTGAGCTCAGGCTTGTCGTTATGTTTATGATTCGATCAACGAATAGGCACTACCCGCCTCATCAAACCCAGTACGCGATGCATCCTCAGCTAGGTTGAAGAGCCCCCGGTATTCTATGTTGACTATATACGAGTGTTCTTGGCGTTTGAAGTCAGTCGCCTGCGTCTTGTCTCATAATAACCTGGTATGTGGTCTGCTACGGAAGACTTGTCTTGTGTGAAGTTAACTTTATCATATACAGACGAGGTTTGCTGGGCTTCCTGCCGTGATGAAAAGGTACTGTCAGAGATATTCAGAGTGGAATACTCGACGCAGGCAATACCGATGCTTTTATCTTCATCAGCCTCACCTAACGCTGTCGCATTGTCTCGAACTGATTCTACGAAGACCATGCTCCATGTCACATCTACCGCAGACACCAAAACGAATATGATTTCAATATTAAGCTGAAGAGCTGCTCGTACCAAAATACCAACGAAAGTATTACATCCCAAGTTCACAATAAACCACGCTCAAGATCAAGAACCTACAATCCCTCACCATACCTCCCCATCACCCCCCTCAATGACGCCTCATCCCCAAACCTCGGCTCAAAACACGCAGCAAATGGCTTAGGATGCGCAATAACACCATCCACAAAACCCGACTCATCAATCGGGTTCTCAGGGTCCTGCGTGATGTTGAAAGACCACAAGAGGAGCGCAGCATTGATGAAGATCGAGCGGTTTGCTATATGTTGTCCTGGGCAGATTCTGCATGTCGCACGTCGCATTTTAGTATGTAGGCAACTGGGTTTAATATCAGGGACAAGTACCTGCGTCCAAAACCGAATGAAGGGAACTTGAGGTCATCCCGAATTTTGCCGTCGGCGTTGAGCCACCTCTGAGGATCGAACTGGTCAGGGTTGGGGTAGACGCTTGGATCACGGGAGATTGCCCTGTTAAAAGGTGATCAGCACATATACCGCATAGAATGGATGTTAGTCGTACCAGTGGTTGCCAAAGACGATAGCACCTTCTGGGATACACATATTCTTCTGCTCAGGCAGTTAGAACAAAAAAAAACATGACAGAGCACCGAAAAACGTACGTATGGGATATCAGTCAGTGCACGGTGTGCGAACCCGAGAGTCGTCACGGGTCTCCAGCGAAGACATTCCAGCATGAATGCTTCAATCTGCGGGAGGGAGTTGTAGTCGTCGAATGTGGGAGCTGTAACAAAGTTGACATTTCGCTCAGATGAATAACGATATTTCGACTTACCTCTGTCACGACCAATGACGACGTCCAGTTCTTCTTGCACTTTCTCCTGAGCCTTAGGATAGCATGCAGAAGCCATGACGAGAACCATAATCGCAACAGCAGTCGTGTCTGAACCGGCGCCAAAGAGCGACCCAGCAAGATAAGCCATTTCTTCGTCCGAGAGCTTGTGCGAAGACTGGTTCTCAAGAAGATAACGAGCAAACGAGGGGCCAGCTTTGCCAGTCGCCTACGAAGAACAGTCAGGTACTGATCAGGAAAGAAGTGGAACGAACCAACCAATTCTCTCGAAACACGATCAAGCTGGTCATGGAAGAGCTGACTCTCTTCCCTTCTCCACTGCTCTAACTCGGTTCCATATCCCGGAACGTATTTTAATATCGGGTAGCGCTCTACCAGTAATGCACCAGGTCGCATCAGCATTTGGAAGCGCTTGAGCATTTTCTGGATGACGATGATCTCGGGGGCGTCTGTGGCTGTGGGGGTCGACTTGCCATACGTGACACGCAAGATGACGGAGGCGGCGTAGCTTTAGTTGAATGCATAAGTCATCATAAAACAACACATTGAGTGCAACACACCGATTCGCAGCTGCTTGGTGTCCTTTAGGGTTATTAAGGATATCGAGGATGACATTACGGGCAGCATCCATCTGGATGGGCGCATAGGATTCTGCAGCTTTCGCTTGAAGGTGAGTATGAGCCGCTCTGAATCACATGATTTCAGTAAAACTGGTCGTTAAGAGGAGATGTCAACCCAACCTGCGAAGTCTGCGGAACTGCTCTCCTGCGGGTGCAAGGATCAAACGCAGCCCGCGCGACAAGATCTCTCCTGCCGCAACTGCACGAGGACGGTCGGCTAGTAGACCACCTTCTTTCTCCATTATGTCGACAGATTCCTATGCAGGTGAGTATGTACTTGGTGACCAGTATTGGAACCATCTTACCTGGTGTCTGCCAATGATGACCATGATCTTAGGCCCGATCCGAAGCGAGATCACGGGTCCATAGGTATTGATCCATTCTGCAAACTGCTGAGATTGACTATGATGCGTTTCCCGTTAGTGTCCACATAGAGTTTCGTATTTTATGTACTCACTTAGTTCTTGGCAGAGGAGTTCCGAATAGCCAATGTCCAGGAGGACCGGGAGGAAGAGGCAGGCGTGACTTTGAGCGTATCTTAGCGCGGAGGAGCTTGCCGGCGAGAACGACAGCGACCAATGCTCCTAGGGCCTTGAACCCAAATGTCAAGTCGAACATCCTCTAATAGTTTATAAGGGCAAATACAGTAAAACTTAGTACAAGAGAGGACGGAGGAATGAAAGGTACTGACCGCGTGGTGCAGCAGCTGAGTTTTATGTCGGACGAGGCTGACAGGCGCTTGACGCTGACCAGTGCTGATGGGAGACCAAGCCTATTGGGTGATGGACTGACGGTTAGTGCGGCTTTGGGACAGCTCAGCCAGTTGTCATGAGACGCAACTGGTATGACAAATTGACAAATATCGATGTCCTGATCCACCGCGGCGTTCGCAGTGGAGATATCCAACTTGCTGGAACAATTGAAACTTCTGGTCAATTGAGGCGCATCCAGCAGCTGCAGCGGCGTGTTCTTTCGAGGTTCAATTTGGCGCAAAAGAATTGGTTTTTCGAAGAGAAGTCTTTAAGAGACGCGTGTTCACGAGGCCTAGGATGTATAGCCATTTGCCAGCAAGGTGCGGTTGCTAGTATGGTAGACGGCGTCAAGGCTAACTTGATTTAGAGAATTGATGATCTACCTTGGATATGTTCCCACTCTATATACACTGCCATCTTACGGACGTAAACTTACTGCTCTTCCGCCGCGTCACACTAGGCTATCGTCCGGCATTCCTCTTGTGGAGAAAGAGCCAAGCGTATTAGACCCATGCATGTCAGGTCACCTAGTGCGATCAGTTCAAGGCCTGGCGCCTTTGAGCGGGCGGAAGATCCCGTCCCTTCCTAGTTCGCTCCGTGTTAGCGGCTCTTTGTCCTCGATGAGCGGACAGTCCGGGACTAGTATATATATATATGACATCAAGCTCCAGACCCGCACCACTAACAGGCCTCACCACCCAGGGAAAACAACCCACATAGTAACTGGTCGTCGTCCGACCCGCTGCCCCAGTGCGCTCATCGCATCTTTCATGATGGCACTCTGTCACAGTGCCAAGATGAGATAAGTACAGATGCAACGCCTAGCTCCAAAGTACTACTAGCAACGACCAGTCCCTTTTGGTACCGGCGAGGGCCAACAAAAGGAGTGGAACAACTTGCAATCAAATGGTTTAAAGTAAATTAATCGAACTTTTTTTTTTTCGAGTTCGGGTAGACGTTTTAGAGGAAAACGGTTCGATTGATTTCCTCACACAGCGCCTGGTCCGAGACCGTAACATATCAACGATCCGTGAATTGAGCAATGCAAACTTCATCAACTCGGTGAGTCCCTTTCATACCTCTACGTCTTCTTAACTTGTTACAGGTCATCAAAAACGACCCTGACATCAGCAACCTTTTTCCAATTTTTACCTCAACGATGCAGCTCTTCGATGAATGCAGGGACGGTCTGATCTCGATACGTGTCTACTGAACAAATCAAACATATGAAAACCACTGAACGCGTTCTAGAACAACAATATTGTCATCGTATCTGCCAAGGGTATCGGATGCTCTGGTCAATATTGATTCGCCTGATATCGCGGAGGGACGAGAGCATTTGATCCTGGTGCTTATTGGCAGATAATCAGATGAGGTTTGCTCGCCCAGGTCGATATCAAATCCACCCTGAGCTGTACCGGTTGTGCGAGGATGGCGAGACTATCGACAACTTCCTACAGCTGACACCAGACCAAATTTACTCCGCTGGTTCAACTATCACTTGAAAGTGGCATGGTGAAAATAGGGGTCCGCGCTTCATTCATACTTTATTCCTTACTTGTTGAAGACTTCGACGCTACGGCTCGACTCGCCCGGCGTCGAGCCGGCAGTGTTCAACCTTTTCGAGAACTTACGATACGGCCTCATAAGTCAACCTCCCAGCTTCGACAAAATCTCACCTGGCATGTCTCGAAGCCCAAAGGCGGGGCACAAGCTATATCCCCGACGATGCTTGATGAAGAAGAGCAGCAAGATATCGGCGTCACCCCTAACCAAAGCGCTTTCTCACGCTTCAAGCAAGTGGAGAACACCAACTACGCGGTAGAGCTTGGGAAACAAACTGGATGCATCTAAGATGCTCGTTCTGGGTCTTGTCTAGCGATTAATGAGGTTCGTCATCATTCACCACACATAACGTCTCTGACATTCACTTCGATTCAATTCTTTCAGGTTAAACAAAAACTCATTAGCGACTCAGACATGCTCAAATGGACCAATGCAGCCGTACAAAAATGCAAACCTTGTGTACGACCCATCGGATCGTTCAAAGATCTAGCTATCATCCCTGAATTTTTCTTTCTCGACCTTCTTATGCGACGAGACCGGGATCGTGGACCCCGCGTGATTAATGTCACCGAGAGCGGTGCTTTTCAGGATCAGAGGCAGAGTGATAATTTTTTTTTGTGTGTGGGTTGCATCAGAAGGTGACTTTTTTTCGTTTCGCGAGAAAGATGAACGCGGTCGCCCGCAACTTGTACGTTGCTTTCCCTTTCCCTTTTTTTCTTGGTAGGTTTTATGTCATCGTGCTGATCGTTCTCGCAGATTTTGACGTTCGTCGGTAGTCTAATGAGCATTTCACGTTGATCTTTACTTCTCGTCTTCCTTTCCCTTATGAGTATTCTGTGTTCTTTGCAAACAAAATCTATCAGAATCGCTGCTTTGGATGTTCAATGTGTATTCGTAGCAATGCATCTGCTTCTCCATGCACCCTTGGCAGTACTTTGCACACGGTATGTGAGACCTTACACAGACCGTATATTTGCCAACATAACATTGACAATCCTCTTCTGTGAATACGGGCGGAGTCAGGTCACGTAGTCACGCTTTGTGCTAAGTCACATTGTGTCCGCATGACTCGAAGTTGAGGTATTGATGAAACTGGCCAGTCAACTCTATTGTAGGCTTCGTATTGGCTTCGTAGGCTCCTTATGGATTCTCCTTCTGAACTTGCGCTTATTGAGAAGTGCGTCCGAGCTCTTACGATCATTTTGCGAAACATGGGCTATCGTCCCCTGCCCCTGTCTGATCCCCAAGTTCTAACAAGTACCCTCGGGTTCCCCCCTACGCCACTTCATTAATCTTCTCACCCCCGGTGACGTTTTCAGTCCGGAAGTGAAGAAAGCTAAATATTGCGGTGACAGGCGCAATCATCTGTGATGGTGTCAACGAGAGGTTCCAGAATCCAGATATGAGTAGTCGCCCAAAATCTCTATCTCTGTTCTCCCCTAACCAAGCCAAGGTTGGAAGAAGTGACTAAATCTTAAAAATCATTTCAAGAAATCGTGAACAGGTGCGATTATTGACCAAAAGCATACCATCACTTATCATTTTTAGCATCGATGACGTCACCCTCGCAAAACACATTTCGGACATGTGGACTGCCCTCGCCTCCTACCGCGACGAGCCTTCCAAAAACAACTTTTTTGCTCTCTCCAAATTTACCGTCGCTCGGTGTCGTCGAAATTTGTTCTCGCGTATTTTCCTCGACCAGAAGGTATGGTGCGTGCATGTGGCTTAAAAATTGTGACTGGACTCCGGTGGGCGATGAGCTCTCCGAGACACGCTGGCTTGGCGCTCCCTTTTGGTTTCCATTACTCAACATACCTGCCTTAAAAAAATGCGCCTATGCGCAAACATGGTCCAGCGGATGATCAAGTTACCCAACTAGCAAGACCGTGAAATTTTTGGCTTGGCTCCTCGGTTATCTCATGCTGTCGTTAGAGTCTCATGCGGCGAAGGCCCAGAGAATGCAGATAGAGAATAATATGCTGGCATTCAAAAAGGCCATTGCAGACGTCGCAAATCATTGTGCTGCGCTGTATAGCTATGTCTATTGGAGCTCTGGCATCGTGAAGACGTTTTTGACAAAGACGACGCTCGCCTCGAAATTCGACCTGCAATCTGATGCTGAAGGTGTGTTGCTGTTCTGTTTTTTTTTTTTGTATTCTACTTTGTGGTCAAATATAATACCCCCCTCAGGTCTCCAGGATGAAAGTAAGTATTCAACTTGTCATGGTAGCGCACTAGTACTACTGATTTTTATTACATGTAGATGTATTTGATTCGGACGAGTCCGACGACTTGGAAGCTCGATCCTTGCGAGTCTGACGGACACCGTATCTTTTTTTTTTTTTTTTTGATTCCAATTTTTTGTCCATTGAGAGTGAAACTCTATGTAGGACAGTACTGTCTAGTCTTGGGACCCCATGTCTCAACCCCGATTCAAATGCATTGATGTAGGGCGTGCCCCCATCAATCCGCCGTTCCCACCGGCCGCAACACCGTATCTTACGGCACTTAAAGTCTATCCTTGCATGACGTACAGCCCTAGGGATTGCTCTCGTCATCGGAATATTCCAACATCACTGGCAGCAAACTTGTCCTCGGTTTGCTCGAAATCCTTCACCCCAGTCCCGATATTGCCAACTTAAATGACATCTGCGATGAATTCTCTAAAGAGACATGGATATCTATCTTCCACGAACCTTCCCTGACATTATTCATGCGGAGAGTACATCACTGATTATCAGGCAACCGCCGAGAATGCCATTGCAGTAGGAAGAAGATGATGTTGGTGTTGCTACCATCTTTGCGGACTCCTGCTGCTCAAAGGTGGGATGCAATTCAAATTCCCGAACTCACATGGTGCATCCGTGGAGTCCGAGGTACTTCAGATACTGGAAGATGTGTTGTGGCGAGAGCTGAGTTCAGCGATCGAAAAGAAGCAGGTGGATGACTTGGCTCGGCATCGTGAAGGTTCTGACTCTAGTTATGAAGCTGAAGTTCTTGACTCTGAGGATTATCCCCGCTTCACCCACAAACCCTAGAAGTATCCAGCTTGAGTACATTGCTTGCACCAGACTGTCATCGGAATACTGTACTTGGATTTGTGGAATACAGCGAGTGGAGCAGCATAAAAAGATCTGAAAGTCGTAAAAAATCAAAAGCGATGTCATTAGGCTAGCACATCGGAAACATGTGATCATGTTACTCGTCGTACTCCTGCTTTGAACACCATAGGTTCTGGAAAGTGAAGAGGGATCGTGCCTAGTACTAAGCTATCATCTCTGGTCAGGCTTATACTTGTGGTTGATGGGCGACGTTGGGATCGCGCCACCATTTTTCCTGTTCTACATCATTTCACACACACAGAAAGTCCTCCGAGGGCCAACCGTCCTGTGAAGCGCATTGCGGAACGGGTCCGAGCCGATTCTGCGACTGACCCTATTACTCAAACTTCGTTCGCATTAAAATTTTACTCGAACGTTACAAAATATCTGCTTCGATTTACTTTAGCTCACCTCGCAACATATGCACAATGTAGCCATGTCGGTGAATTGAAGAAGAATCAGAGTTAAGTACTAAGTCGCCAAGCTTCCTCCACACATGATGATATGATCGACACACGTAGCCGCTTCGCTCTCTGACCAGCATGATTAAGTGCTCGTTTTACAAATTTTGCTGTAGTCTATGTACTTACCTGCAGGAACATGCCGTTTTTTCTGGTGACAGCCGAATCCCGGGTTGTCTCCACCAATCAATTGAGAACGCTCCCCACTAAATGCCTTATCAACGTAAACGCAGGAGCCCATCAGTGGACTCAGACAACATGTATTGCTCAGCGCTCACTCACTCAGTGGGTGCGGCCAGTAGTGAATAATGCAGGACTCGTAACCTTTAACGGCTAGGTGGATCGATAGTCGGACAGCCTGTCGGACTAGCCCGCGACTCGGACACATTGCAGTCAGCAGTGTGAGCTCAGCATGTGCTAGCCTGTGGAGGCATGTGGGCGACTTCAATCATGAATTCAATATGAAACTTCCATTACACTTACTCGATCAAGTTACGAACTGTAATTCATTCACGCCCGGTGATCGGCGTAATTCACGACCGTCTCACTGTATTGGATGAAGCCTGATGAAGCGTGGTGGGCGAACTGATTCAAGCGAGGTTTAACGTGTGGGTGCAATTCAGGATCGACGTTGGGGGTTCCCGGTTGTTCAGCCAAATTCTTGACCCTCGGCGCCTACTTCAGGCTTGAGAACCTTGAGAAATTCGAGCAGTTTTACAGTTCCGAAGATGGTGCCGAGCTCATTGTTTGAAGTGACCAGATACGGATCTCGGCATGTGGCCATCGCCGCATCCCCCGATTTAAAGTCCCTGCCTTGATGACCATTTTTGCAAGATCATGAACACCGTGACTGGAGTTGCCCGCGCCACGCACTGGGTCTTGCCGTACTACATAGCACCCGAATAGTGACGCAACTTGACGATAAGTTGAAAGAACCTGCTCGCGAGTGCCGAAAATTCCGAGGCGATTGGCGTGATCACCAGAACTTGCTTGAAGGTGGTAGAATAAGTTTAACCTTGTCTGACATCCAGGTTCAAAAATTTACAAAAAAAAAATTAGAATATAGAACACGGGATTTTTGATTTTGAATTGGACGGCGCGTCCTCCTTGTCATACAATGTGCCTAGACGAGGCGCTCCAGGGCCCAGGCGGCGATCCTCGGTCTCTGCCAAGCTCTAATAGCAATCCGACCATGTGGTTACCTTTAGATATGATATACATTTCCATGGATTAAAGTTCAAATTATGCTCGTCGTAGGACAAGCCGTTCCTCCCAACCGCGGAGCCTATATCATTTATGCGACTTGCCGCAGGTTCAACTTGAAGTTGCACGGCGTCTTGCGTATTACATCCGAGGGTGAACCCTTGAAATATTGGCGACAAGAAGCGAGGTTGGTTTTGAGGTGGAGGACAGCTGGTCTGAAAGGACAATGTTCAGTGCAAGAATGGATGGAAAGATGGCACCGACGAGGTGAGCTGGCAGTGTTATTGAGTGTACCTGTATGTCCCAAAATACGGTGTAAAAATGGAAATGGATCTAATCTGAGGCATTATAAAGTGCTTACATACATAGATCGGTCAGCGTGAGAAACGTCAAAGAGGCAATATAGACGCTGGCTGTCCTACCTATTACTAGCTTACAACTACTTAGTTCCTTACTACCTTCATCAAGAGCGAGCCACCTTCTCCCTTTCATTCTTGTTTTTCTTTTCATTCATCTTGTCCAATTATGCGCTTTGTAGACAATCAAAAGATTGTCCGCGATATCCGTCGTCTATTGACAACGGTGTCCTCAAAGGTCCACGCGAAACGGTGAGTGTTTCACACACTGAATACTTATCAGGACATCGAGGAGGGCGTATCTTAAGCCCTCCGTAACGTCGAGCAACCGTCTGTAGATTTTTTATATTTTCCAGACTCTAATGTTTCTTGTTTACAGGCGACACAGCTTCTGTAACTCTCCCCGAATACAATTCGTACATTCACCAGCACTCGACCTTCCATATTTACCAACAGAGATATGGCTCATGATTTTACGGGAAGCGACAACCATGGATTCAGACCCCCTCGATATCTCCCTCGGCCTCTCATTTTTGGAAACCCCATGCGAAGTCGCAGAGTACAACGCCGCCATGAAAATCAAGCGGGACCTTTCGCTTGTAAGCAAAGCGTGGAATAAATACCTGCAGGAGTACCTCTACGAGTTTGTTTGGATCAGTCGAGCAAGCCAAGCAAAAGCCCTCGCGCTTACCTTGCTCACGCAATTTATAGAGGGCAAGCCCTCGAGCGGCCACTACATCCGCCGATTGCACATGGAAACACCCGTCCTCATGCGGTGCGCTACCGATGATATCCGTACCATTCTCGATTACGCCCCCCATCTCGTCATCTATTCTGATCATCACTCAGTGAGATGCACGCGGTATTCAGAGTTCATTGACGTGCGCTGTTCGCCGGAACAGATGGTTTCTGTTCTTGGCTCGAATAGCAAGCTTCGCAGGCTTTCTCTTACCAACTACAGCGATGATCCCTTCCCGAAACACGTGTCTCCCCTCCTCCGGCGGACTGCTGCTCATCTAGAATATCTAGAATTGTCATCATCCAGCATACCCCTCGTCTCTGGCCACCTCTTCGCGTCGAAATCTCCCATTGTTTCCCTTCCTGTACTTCAGTCCCTTAAGCTGACCCTCGATAACACAACATTCGCGGTACTTGCGGCATGGGACATGCCTAATTTGCGAAATGTATCCGTAGTCTCTTCAGATTTTGGCTACGCAGGCCCAGGGTTCGCTTATTTCTTTGCCGCGCATGGCAAAAAACTACACCAGCTGGAGCTGGGACACTCTTCTTCGCTCGTCGTCGAGCACTATCTCTCACTTCGTCCTCGCCCTGTGCAACAAATTCCGCTAGCAGAATGGTGCCCCAACCTCAAAGAGTTCATCTGTTCTGCGGATGCAGAGTGGAACTGGCAGAGCCCAGATTGGATAGCGCCACATGTCCTCCTTCCTGGGCACAAACACCTTGAATTCATCGGCATTCGCGACATTGACAAGCGTCTCATGGATGACGCATCTGCTTTCCCTGCAGACGTGGAGGATGATGCTCCATTTTTCCCATTGGCGGAGCAAATCTCGTCGCTACTCTTCAATACTGCCTTCCCATCTTTACGGTATATCCGTGACCTGAGCCGCGCATCACACTCAATGCGCGGCGGACAGCTTCCCGAGACGCGAATCCTGAAGTTCTGGGCCAAGATTCTTGCCCGTTGTGGTGAGCGGCAAGTCTGGCTTGAGGACTTCCGGGGTGTCAATATTACGTTGCGGGACCTCAAACGGGTGGGGCTGGATCGCGTGGGAGGTACTGGCAGCCTCGTCTAGTTCTTCCCCTTTCTCTATTTCGTTTGCTTCTGACACCTCAACATGCATACCCTCCTTACCTTCTGCTCTCTCACTGTATATCTGCGCCAATCACTGTATCAACCTCACGTATATGCATATTCCACATCCAACTTCATTCACACCACCCCACATACTACACTTACAATAGAGCTCGTTTCTCAGCTCAGTCCTTCGTTATTCCATTCACTGCGCGTCCCTCTCGTTTCGTTTCTGCGCCTCCAGCATCCGTGCGCGCGCACTTCATCTCATCCGCTATCCTTGCTTTCGAGTTCCTGGAGTTGGACACCTTACGATCGGACAATTTCTCATCTTCATTTTCTTGGTCGAGGGTCCTCGACGATTATAGCATAACATAACATACCACATCATCACATCATACGTTCATTTCCTTGTCGTTCGTTGGTTCTCTACTCTTTTACTTATTGGTTCTTGGAGACGTGTTTTGTGGCATACCGTAGCAGGCTGGGAATGACAACTGTTTTTTGAGATTATTTCAAGATACGCTATTATGAGATGCCAAGTCATCAAATCAGATAACCCTAGCTATAGAAATCAACTCACAGCACTGGTACTTGCGAGTTGTCAGGCACTCGTACTACAGTGTTGTATTTCGTCCTATACCTTATAAGAATTACAACGCTAGTGACCGAACTAACTAAATAATGGTACGTGTACTCTGCCCATATCCGCCAGCCGCTCATCGCCCCCCAGGACGCTGACATCGAGCATTTGGTGCTCTCAGGCAAGCTATTCGGGACAAACTCACGCTCCTCCTCTCCCGAGCGCAGCCCCTCTCCAACACTTTCCTTCGCCTCTGCCTCCTCAGATTCCTCCTACCGCCGCACCAAGCAGCAGCCTGATGTGGCGCAACAAGAGTCGATCGGGATGGGTCCTGGGCGTACAGGTGTAAAAGGCGTCATCCGCGATCAACACGAAGCGGCTACGCTACAAGCCGAACGGCGCGCAAGAGAGATGGAGGAAGTGCGTAAGCGAATGGAGAGGGCTAATTTAGGTGGTAAAACCTTTTTGGAGGAGGAAGCGGAGAAGGAGGCGCTGGACGCTGAGAGGGCTGAAAGGCGGACGGATATGTTAGGTCTTCCAAAAACTGGGCGGTTTGGGCATTTGAGAGAGGTCGGTCGTGGGGGGTTTGTGAGTGCTGTGGAGAGGGAGGATCGAGGTGTTTGGGTGGTTGTGCATTTGTATGAGTCGGTGAGCGCTGTGTTGTTTTGCCTAAGCGTGTGTGGGTGCTGATGGATTTGTAGTCCCTGGATCGGTGTTATGCTCTTGATGATGTGCTGGCGCGACTTGCGCGGACGTATCCTGAGACGAAGTTCGTTCGTGCAAGGGCTGCTGCGCTGGGGTTTGCAGTCAGCTGGCTCATCGTCGTCTCGAGTGAGTCGGTCAAAGTCGGATGGCATGCCTGGGAAATTTGTCGGTGACGATGAAGAGGATCCTTATGCTGACGGGGCTGATGAGAAGCCTTATTATGACGAGGAGGACTGAGGATGCAGAAGAGGAAGAGGACGTTGATACCGACGTGCTACCAACTCTACTGGTATATCGCGACGGTGAGCTCGTGCATAATTGGGTACGTGTAGACTGGGAAGCAGGGCAGGCAGGGTGTTGAGGATTTGCTCGCAAGGTAATTGCTCTTATTTCTGATTCTCATGTTTAGACCTCACGCACAATTGTCTACAGACGAAACGTTATTTCATCATTCAGGTCGACTGGCAATTGCGGCCTGCCAGAAGATGATGGGGATGATCTGATATGGAGCGATGAAGAGGATAGAGAACGATGACCCGAGATTGGGTGCTTACTGTCCAGGTTCAACTTCCGTGCCATCCCAAAATTCATCCCCGTCCCCCTGCGTCTCCCAATTTCGGGGAACCCATTCTCTGATACTGAGTGTATGTTATCTAATAGCACGTAAACTTGTTGTATACCCGCGGCCGGTACTGTTCCTCAGGACTCCACAATAGGACCTCATCGCTGTCTGATTTCCATGGAGTCGCTACGTTGGATGTACATGATTATATTGCTAGGATCCGTAGTAGCAGGAGATATATATGTGACATCGTACAGTCTGCTGAGTGCAATCGTATTTACCGATTACTATTAGTTCCTTGGTTGAAATCAAGCTTCCAACTCGTTCTGGAAGAGAAGCAACCGAGAAGGCATGATTCTCGTCAGATCTCGAGACCTTTCTACATAATCGGTCGCCCATGATCATGAGAACCGCTTATCAGATAAAATTTCTGCTTATCAGATAACTTTCACAGGGCTTTTGATCAAGAGCCTTCAAGTTGGTCAACATATTCCAATTTCAATTTCAAACCACGACCCATGGCTGCAGGCTATATGCCTCTCCCTCAAACGGAGCCCCAAGGTACAAATCGCATTCATTATCAAACACGATTCCGTTCCCACTCACAATGCTCCAAAAACTAGATCACGACGAGCCGCTCGTCCCACGGTGACGACGCGTCAGTCTGTGGGGCTGTCAGTCGACAGCGAGGTTCGTTCTGTCCTTGCTCAAGAGGGGGACGCACATGCAGGCGTTAAGAAAGTCGAAGCCGCACAGCGCATTTACGGGCGGCGTTCCCGCTGGTGCCTTTTTATTGGGTGTGTGTCGTCCGATGTGCTCGGAAGCGCCTTAGTCGTACAACACGAACATCATCGACTGATTGGCTGCTATTCACAGCCTTGGACTTGCATCATATATATATTCCCTTGATGCGTCGACAACATCTGTATACCTTACATTTGCTACTTCAAGTTTCGGCGAGCACAGCCTCATCAGTTCGATCACTGTTGCACAGTCACTCATTGGTGATTTCCGCTTATCATCATCCAAAGGATGATTAATTACTGAGAATGCGCAGTTGCTGTTGGTAAACCCGTAATTGCTAAAGTCGCAGATGTCTCATCGCGAGGCACTGCCTATGTTGGCGTTTGTGAGTGCGCAGTATGTTTGTGAGCGCCTGTTTGACGTTTGGCGTCTAGTGATTTTTTATGTTCTCGGTATGTTATTTGTATGAATTAAGTGCAGTTTAATAATAACATCGTCTTCCACTGCTAGGTTATATTGTAATAGCTTCTGCTCCCAATGTCAGTACTATTGCCGGGGGCATTGTACTGTACGCTGTGTATGTGTCATGCTTTCTCACTCTATTTTCACTCACTCTTCCACAGTGGCTACACGTAAGCATCGCCTCTGATGTCGTTATCATTCAGGGGATTAATCTACTTGGTTCAGTGGGTTGCAACTACTTACACAGATTATCATCGCTGATATTACCACACTCGCATGGCGAGGGCTTGTAGTCTCCCTCGTCTCTGCACCGTTCCTTATCAACGCATTCATTGGCTCGAACATAGCCTCGGCAGTTCTCGAGCATGCCGGTTGGCGATGGGGTTGTAAGTCTTGCATTATGTCACTTTGCCATCTTCTCAACTGGATGATGTGATGCATAGATGGCATGTTTGCTATCCTTGTCCCCGCCGCCCTTGCACCACTCATTATCACTCTTCTGTGGGCGGAGCGTAAGGCTAAAAAGCTTGCCCTCCTCGACGCCCCCGTACCACGCAGTCGCAGCGGCTCGCGGCAGCCTGGCCTCACATATGGGTCCACGAAGGCTCGATTCCTTCGGACCGCTGAGCAGCTTGACCTAGTCGGACTCGTCCTCCTCGGGTTTGCGGTTTCGCTGACCTTGCTTCCATTGACAATTAGTCAAACTGTTAAGGGGAACTGGAAGAACGGTTTGTCGTCGACATTTATGATATCAGTGGGTAATTGACCCAGTAAATGTAGGCTCGATCATTGCAATGCTTGCTGTAGGAGTCGTAATTCTTGTCATGTTCACAATCTGGGATCTATATTTCGCCAGAGTGCCTGTGATCGCTCCGCGGTTTGTCAGGAATAAAAGCGTAGTGTGTGCTGCGTTGATCGGATTTTTCGACTTTGTAAGTTTCTGTTCACTGGCGTCATCGTCTATTGCTGAAAGGGTCGTAGATGTCGTACTACCTCACGTTCACGTATCTGTTTTCGTTTGTCCTGGTGGTGAAACCTTGGTAATTTCCACGTTCGCCTTGCAAGAATTTGCGTTGACATGGTCTGTGAAGGTCACTCGTGAATGCGGCGTACTTCATTCAGACGCAGTCTGTTGCACTAACATTCTTTGGCATCCTTGCGGGTCTCAGCATGCGATTCCTACATCGTTACAAGGTATGTGACTCCTCTATCAAATACCGTCGTCCAACTCTCAACCTTGCATGGTAGTACGTACTCGTCATCGGACTCATAATTCGTCTAGCGTAAGTCCTCCAATTATTCCCACCAAGATTCCCGACCTACATATCCTTTTCAGAGGTGTCGCCATGATGATCCATTCTCGCGGTGCCAATGCCTCGGATGCTGAGCTCGTGTGGACTCAGATCCTTCAAGGTTTCGGCGGAGGTTTTGCCGCTGTTTCTTCGCAGGTAGGTGCGCAAGCATCCGTGCCTCACGCAGACGTGGCGATCATCACGGCGGTCGTGCTCCTGGTAACCGAAATCGGGGGTGCGGTCGGGAACGCATGCGGTACGTTCAATCTCAAGCATATTCAGGTTCGGCAATCTAATAAAATACAGCCGGTGCGATTTGGTCAAACACCATGCCAGCCAACCTAGAGAAGTATCTGCCCTGGTTGAGCGACGAGCAGCGCGCGGAGCTGTACGGGAGCATAACGTTAGCAGCGGGTTATCCACGTGGTGATCCCGTGCGCGAGGGCGTCATCAGTGGTGCGTTTGTTTCGGATTAACATATAGATGCAAGTGCTCATCAGTTGTGTTGCAGCATACGACGATACGATGAAGATCATGGTCATCGCAGCCACTGCACTCAGCGTAATACCTATTTTGCTTGCCCTCGCGATGCCGAACTGGTACTTGGGGGACAAACAGAATGCGATTGATGCTGTTGATCTTACTGGGAGGACGGTGCTCGAAGATGGCGAGGAGGATGACGAAGAGGAGGAGCCGTAGTCTTTTGGGGCAACTTCTAGGATGCGTTCAAACAGCATTGCTTCCGATGCCCTGCTTATATAGATCATGATTGGAGCTCTTGAGAAGTTCAACATGATTTTCATTAGAGTCTGGATGTGCATATAGTACATATAGCGAACCCGTATCTGGGTCGACGAGTATTTATTTGAGTTGACGTCGGACGAATTAGCACTCAGCGTGGTGCCTGTTTTGCTTGCCCTTGCGATGCCGAACTGGTATTTAGGAGACAAACATAATGCGATTGATATTGTTGAACTCACTGGGAGGCGGGTGCTCGAAGATGACGAGGATGAGGATGAGGAGCCGTAGTCTTGTTGGGCAAGTTCTAGGACGCCCTACTTCATATAATATATGTCATGATTCTTGGTCACAGCTCTTTCACTAAAGTCTGGATGCGTATACACTTATAGCGAACCCGTAGAGTCAATAGGTATTACAAGCGAAATCGTGTTTACGTGGTACGTCCAACGTGACTGGGTATGGTAAGGAATCATGGTGTCTCATTGACACTATACTTTTTTGTGTAATCGGCTCGAGACGATGGGTCGATAACAGCGATTGCTTTTATCAGTTGAGGTCTCGATGGAAGTTTTTAGTACTAGTGCCTCCCCAAGAGCCCTGTGGCGTGCGTTGAGCTCCACGAAGAAATAAAAATCAGGTTCAGCTCACCCAACCAGGAAGCGTTGTATCAACTTCTCGTGGTGCGTCTGCTTTGATTTCTTTCTGCTTCTCGAACGCCTAGGACACATCAATCACCTGCGCGAACCCAATTGAAAGACAGCTCACGTACCTGGAGTCCTGGACGACATGATCGCCAGAAAAAGCGGGGGAGACCAATTCTCGTTGCTTGAATGCTGTAACACCTTTTCCTTCAAGTTTGCCTCCCTGGCACTTCAGAATCATCAGCATCAGCAGGCGGTAACTGCGCAGCGACACTGCCATTCTTCGTTTTCTCGTGTCCCTTTCCCTTTCGCTCACGCTTGATATTTGTGACAGCGGGTATAGAGGCTGGCTCAATAACGATGAGAACCATTCTGACGTCGATCTCCAGCATTGGGTCATCTCGAATACATTCTTGCTCTCCTTTGGCCACTCGTTTCTTGAGCTTGTTGGTGGCCTTCACGAGAGCGTCGGAACCCTTTATGACGTGACGAGGCAAGAACTGCCTCTGCGCCGTGGAAGAGAGTCTTGGGCTAGAAATGGCGTTCGAAGTTTTGGGACTGTTTTGCACCAAGTCAGCGCATTGAAGTGCAACCGATGCGCTCGAACCGACTGGTTTTGCAAAGACTCCATGGGCGCTCGTGCCAGGACGATACGTCCCGCGCCCGCTGACGCATTAGATCATCGGGCCCTGTCATTGTTCCGTCACCAGAAGCGTTGTCATCAGAATGTACCTTGCATGATGGTCTCTACGTCTTTTCTTCGCCGTCGCTTTCGCTTTCGCTTTCGCTTTCGCTTTCGCTTTCGCTTTCGCTTTCGCTTTCGCTTTCGCTTTCCTCAGACTCGTCACCGTCCAGTATCTCCGCCTCAACCGTCAACCGCGGCCCTGCATCTTCAACATCATCCTCCTCATTTCCTGAGTAAGATTCAAGGTTAACTCACTCGTACAAGCCAGTTCACCTTGAATTCAAGGTCAGCTCACTCGTACAAGCTAGTTCACCTTGAAATCTTCCTGCAAGCTCAGATTTCTGTCTAAAGGTAAATCGCGAGTTAATGGTGAAATAGATTGATAGACTGGATCAATCAGTACCTTCATGATGTGTTTCATCGTTGCACTTCACTTCCTTTGACCTGCTCGTAAGCGATCGAGATCCGAGACGTTACTGAGCTCGCTGAGGAAGTGGTGCTGGCAGGGTTTGTTTTGTTGGAGGTGGAAGTGAGGGCCCTTGTAGATTTTTGGGCGCTGAAGACACGAGCGGAATGAGGAGGTCATCCAGTTTAAGTGTTTTAGAGCTTGCAGATGTCCGTGTTTAACACGCAGCTGCAGTGAAACGTTAATCTCCCGTAGTCAGACCTTGATCGAATGAAGATAGTTCCCTCTCTCAAGGTGAAACGTGGGCACTGGGTTGGGACTCACCGCCGACTAAAACGCCAAACTCTCCTGCTGCCCCAGCCTCAGTGCGCTCTTCCATCCAAGCGACGTTTTTTCTTCGCAATGAAGTGATTGTTCAAGGCATCGTATTAGCGTGTTAAAGTATGACTTCTGCTGGATCCAGTGTCGAGATCAAGCGTTCTAGTTCTGCGAGAGCTTCGATTAGTCTCCCCTAGCCATCCCTATATATACGAAGGAAAATAGTCGTCCCTTCTAGAGAGCTTCAGCCTGAGGGAAGGCTTTATCCTCTGGACGGTGAGAATCAGAATCTCATTGTCAGATCGCGTCTTCTGCTTCGTCCCGGGGGCTCATCCTGCTCATCTTCTGACATCCCGTCGTCCTCCAACTCACTGACCTCGTCAGATAGATTCGACACGGGAGCCTTGATCTTCTCCGTAGCCTGCTTTGCCGGTACCTTGGCGTTGTTCAAGGGCAGCCTGAGGGAGGCCGAGATGGCCGCCCTTGTCAAGTGAGGCATGTTTGAATTCTAACTCCCACTGTAAACAGTCTAGGGCGAAATTGAGTTACAGCATGGCAATGACGCATAGCGAAATATAATGTGTCATGAGAGCGGAGTCGTAAATGAAATCCTTGTGCACACCTAAAAGGATCAGGGTCGGTTGCTGCAGTGGAAGAAGTAAAAGTGAAGGCCGTGGATCAAGAAATGGCAAACATATATTGTACAACCTGTGCGAAGGCTATGTAGATCTGCGTTGTAATTCTATTAGTTATGACATACACATATGTTAGCGCTACCTAAGGGATTTTACTATCACGCAACCTTCTGTTCCCGACACTTGTGCCATGACATACCGTGGGCGAAACAACTTAAATCGAGCTGCGAAGCTTGATTGTGTATCACCAGCGTGTTGCCTGGAAAATGCATAGCTGGGTACAAGTGGACTGGGATCCAAAAGAGGAGCCGTCCATCGGGCCCTATGACCCATCCTTCCTCGGTCAGAGCGAGAGAGGCTGGAGTGTAAGAATGCTGGAGAAAGGAGGAGGGGGAATGAAGAGCGTGGGTCTGGTTGGACGAAAAACATATTGCAGGTGCTTCGAAGGGTTGGTCCCGGTTGAGAATATCTAGATCCCATACCCGGATGGTGGCATCGGATGAACCAGACACAACATGTTTGCCGTTGGGTGAGATTGCGACACACAAAACGGGTCCAGAGTGCCCTCGGAGAGGGGCGCCCACTGCCTTGCCAGTCTCCATATCCCACACCCGGATCGTCCTGTCGTCTGAACCGGATACAATGTGATTTCGATCTGACGAGATTACAACAGAGAAAATGGAGTCACTGTGACCTTGGAGAGCAGCGCCTAATGTCTCGCCAGTTCCCATATCCCATACCCAGATAGTCTTATCACATGAGCCAGACACGATGCGATGCCCATCCGACGAGATTGCGACAGAGCAGACGACGTTGGTGTGGCCTCGGAGAGGGGCGCTCAATGCACTGCCCGAACCCATGTCCCACACCTGAATTGTGTCATCCCTTGAACCAGATAGTATGCGGTTTCCGTCAGGCGAGATTGTGACAGATAGAACACAGCCAGAGTGGCCTTGGAGAGGGGCACCCGACGCTACTCCAGTCTGCGCCTCCCACACCCGGACTGTGCGGTCATCTGAACCAGAAACGATGGATCTCCCATCCTGCGAGATTGCAACAGAACGAACCCAATCAGTGTGCCCTTGGAGAGGGGAACCCAATGCTTTGCCAGTCTCCATATCCCACATCCGGACGGTCTTGTCAGATGAGCCAGACACAATGCAATGTCCATCCGGCGAGATTGCGACCGACTGAACGGAGTCAGTGTGCCCTCGGAGAGGTGCACCCAAAGCCTCGCCAGTCTCGATATCCCACACCCGGATGGTCTTGTCGTCTGAACCAGATACAATGTGATGTCCATTAGGTGAGATCACAAGAGAGTTAATGGTGGCAGTATGACCATGGAGAGCGGTGCGCAATGCCTCGCTAGTACTTGCGTCGGCATTCCACACCCGAATTGTCTTGTCATACGAACCAGAAACTAAGCGATTTCCATCTGGTGAGATTATGACAGACATAACATAGTTGGCGTGGCCTTGGAGAGGGGATCCTAATGCTTTTCTACTCTCCATATCCCACACCCGGATGGTCATGTCAGATGAGCCAGACACGATGCGATTTCCATCCGACGAGATTGCGACAGACAGAACCCAGTTAGTGTGCCCTTGGAGAGGGGAACCCAATGCCTCGCCAGTCTCGATAGCCCACACCCGGATTGTCATGTCATCTGCACCAGACACGATGCGATTTCCATCCGGCGAAATTGCGACGGACAAAATAGCACCAGTGTGGCCTTGGAATGGGGCACCGAATGCCTGGCCAGTCTCCAAATCCCATACCTGGATTGTTTTGTCATAAGAACCGGACACAATGCGCTTTCCATCCGGCAAGATTACGACAGACGAAACACCACTAGTGTGCCCCCTGAGAGGGAAACCTAATTCCATGCGGGTCTCTGCATCCCATACCCGGATTGTCTTGTCCCAAGAACCAGATACAATGTGATTTCCATCTGACGAGATTGCAACAGACATTACAGCACCCGTGTGCCCTTGGAGAGGGGCACCCAATGCCCTGCCAGTCGCCGCATCCCACACCCGGACTGTTGCGTCCCATGAACCTGACACAATACGCTTTCCATCCGGCGAGAATGCAATAGACACAACACGCTCAGTGTGGCCGTGGAGAGGGACCCCCAATGGCTCGCCTGTCTCTATATCCCACATCTGGATCGTTCCGTTGAATGAACCACACACGATGCGTTTTCCGTCTGGTGACATCGCAACCGAAGTAACGAGGGTATGGCCATGGAGTATCTTTTCCAAGAGAGGCCAATTTGCGACATGACCAGCGGCAATGCGGGGGGTGGAAGGGAACTTTGCAGCGAATTTTTTGAATATCTTCGACTGCGTTGGAGCGAACGGGAGAGCGGATAAGTATAGATGTGGAGTGCTGTGTAACATGGCGGCCCCAAAATTTCGAACGAAACGCTGGGCGTCCCTGGAAATATCATCGACGTGAGCATATTCGGCGTGATCCTACGACCAATCCACTGCCCGTAAGAATCTGTCGGTCCGAAGAATGAGCTCGAGCCACGCACCTTAAACCAATGTGTGATAGACGAAAGGCACCCCACCGAGTCGCCGAGGCTTTTCAACAGGCACAGGGCTTCTAACCACCACAGGAGGCGCTCCCCGTCGAAGAAAGCTGCGATTTCTTTAGCGAGTGACGGCTCGAAGGACGTAGCTCCCAAATGAGTCCCCCAAAATCGACATGAATATGACAGCACAGTCGGAATGGACTGTTCCACTCGCTTCTCTAAGTCAGGGACAGCAGAATTGGGTAGGTAAGAACTCTCTAAAGAGCAGATGTTGAAGCGAAGTCCGCGCTCCATGATCCGAAGCGAGGCAAAGGCAAGGTCTCGTTGTACCGATGACGCATCGATGAAGAAGTCGTGGCTGCGTGATCTGTCTGTGAGGAAGTCGTAGAAAGACGCGTGGAGGGGACGTATGGGGGTTTGGGAGTCTATGGTTCCGGCCAAAAGCGACCCCAGTGGCCCAATGACCCGCTCCACTTTGTAACGGCAAGCGGGTGAAAAATGCAGTCGCATGGCGGTCAATGCGGTCATGGCAAGTGGTTCCAGCGACGCAACGATTTGTCCCATCACTGAGCGAAACACGGGGATCGCCTCACCGCGCTCGTCTTCTGGCAGTGTCTCTTCCAAGATGCGTGCATACATATCATCCAACAGACGTGTTCCTTTTTTAGATGTTCCAGCAACCACAGCTTTGAACTTTTCCTGAGGATCCAGGCCGACCCTGTTCGTACCCTTGATATACTCGCATATAAGACGAGCCCACTCAAACATGCCATCGGATTTCAGAGCAAGTCTCTTGAAGTGCTCGTCATTGAACACGTTGCGTAGATCCTCCAGCCTGTTGGTGATATAAAGCTGGATGTCGTGTTCTGCGGATGCGGACGAGACGTCATCTAAGGAGATATGACGAACATGTGGCGCGGCGTGCAGGGCTTTGCTGATGTCTTCTAATGGACGAGAAGTGACAAGAATACGGAAGTTTGCTGGGAGTTCGGTGAGTTGTGAGGGAGATGCGTTCAGCTTGCCGCCAAGCAGACGAAGAATCTGCTCCCGGGAACTAGCTTCACCACTCTCGTCCAACGCCTCGATGACGATCAGGACGGGTGCAGCGATGGCTTCCGATGCTTTACTTGTTGGTCCTACGACTAATTCCTGCCATTGTCTTGTGAGATCTGAGGTGCGCTTGAGTCCATTGTTATCATGAAGCGCTTGCGTCAAGGCCCGCCGCACGATAGGGTTGCAGTCCGCTAAGTCATTTGCGATGGTCGTGAAAATTTTGACCCGGCGATCCGTTTGCTGTGTGCGATCGAAGCAGAAGCATGAGCAAAGGCCACCACTTTCGGTGTACCAGTTGGCTATCGTGTGTGCAATGGCAGATTTACCCTTGCCTGCTGTGCCGGAGAGCCAAAAGATGCGTGGAGTACCCTCATCGGTGCTGCTGATCCAACTCTTGATCTCCATCAGAACCTCTTGCCGAGTGTTTGGCAGACAACATTTGGACGTATTGACTCCGGCACCCTCTGCACAATTCATGCTAATGAGGTCCAGAGTCTCGGCTATGTCACGGGTCGTGGAATGTCAGATAAAGCTAAAGAAGACCTGAAAGCCAAACTCTTACCCATACGGTGGACAATTACAACTGTGTCTCGAGCCGCTCGGTCTCTGAATTGCTGCATGAGACTGTCGAGAGCATTACTGTAGTTCTGAACCGTGCCGTTCGTCTCGTCAAAAACGTGCTTGCCAAGTCTCTGCCCTGTACAAGGAGGTAACAGTGAGTCGCGGATAGTACAATGTTGAGATCGACTCACAGGCGCTCGTCGTCTCCGAGTAGTGAGTGATAAAATCGGCGCACTCTAGCGTCTGTCGCGCTATCTTCCCGTAAATTGCTGGCATGGATGGAATCGTGGCCAGCACCTCATCTTCCGTGATAAAGTTATACACTTCAGATATCTTCAGGAGCAAAGCAGAAACAGCAGCATCGCGGTCTGCCTGATCGAGAATTATCTGTCACCAGACGTTCTTAGTAACCTGCAAGCTTGAAAATATGAAACAAGCGTACCTGGGATGCGTAAGTGAAGATGCTCAATGCCACTTTCGCATAAGGATGGACCTATGCACGAAGATCAGTCACGTAAAAGATACAGATAGAGGCCCGTACATCTGCAAGCACATTAGCGATTGAGTTGAATGCCTTCAAGGGTTTAAGTATCGCGGAGAACGTATCGATCGTATCGGGAATGGACTGCAGGTTGTTTGTTTGCGAAGCAGCATTTTGGGCCATTACGGGGACGTTTTTCATGCCTGCAACGCCTTTGGTGGCATCAATGATTCTTTCATTCACAGACTTTGGGTCAGGTTGCTCGGCCTGATTGCGAACGTTAGTACATTATCGAAAGAGACAGATAAGAATGATTAGAACTACGATGATCGAATTCACCTTCGGAATGCCTGAATTGTACGGCTGGTCAGGATTTGGTTCGGGAGTGGGAGTGGGAGTGAGAGTGAGAGTGGGAGAAGTAAGTAGTGAAGGATCCTGCGGAAGTTGGTAACAATCAGGGGATGTAGAACGTGCCAAGCGTTGCACATACCTGACTTGTCTGAGCGGGTAGGAGATCCGGTGCGCTGGAACTTGCAGCAGCGGGTTCAGGGTTCGGAGACTGTCGAGCGCTCCGAGAGGAACGCTTGCCCCAGAACTTGGGAACCCGTAACACCGAGAATCCTCTCCGACTCAGAGATCCATCCCTCGAAGGCAGGAGAGAGGACGCCTAGAATGACATCATTTTACACAACCAGCATATCCAAGTGCAATGTTCATTACCTCAATCTCACTGGTTCCGCTGTCCACTGGCAAATTTGAACGGCTTCGCCGCAGCAACCCAAAAAACTTCTTCCGAGGAGGATTCATCGAGTAAGTGTGAAAGCACGGCTGAGTCTCTGAGTCTAAAGGGGTCACTACGTGCAAACTTAGGGACAAGGAGGGTGGTGGATGGGATGCAAGATCGACAAGCGCCTGACGTGGAGGACAGCCAGTCTGTGTGAAGTCTGTGGGATAACTGGTCGGGAAGTTCCAAGCTGTCAACTTTGATATGTCACATGTCAATCCGGAATACAACCGTAAGTAGGCTGCAGTCGATGACATGGCGTTGGCGGGCAGGATACGGGCAAAGATGGAGGCGGCGGGCAACAAGACACCTGAAGGCAGGTTTAGAAGTAGAGATCATGATGTCAGTGACGGCTGTATGTGCAGCAGGTGAGAGGCTGACGGCGGGCGGGATTATGGTCGAAGTTCGACCATTTGACAAACCTGCCGGCACTTTCAGAACATCCATTGGCAGACGTTGACCTGGAGCAAACCTGTCCCCAAGATGTCTGCGTCCAGTCGGGCCGCTGCGTAGACTTCATGCAGACCAGCCACTGCTAAATCCCGCGCCTTCTGCTAACGTATATCTGCACGGAACTTCGAACCGTGCGTTTGGAAGCGCCCATTATCGCAATCGACTGAATCATCGATTGGCCCATCACGAATAGTCCTGGTAGTACGTTTTACCACTGACCGACCGCGCCTTTATTTGTTCATGCTTGGTTCATCATGACCTTTGCAGGCGCCCACAACTACGGCGTCCCGACAATTGACTTTTGCCGCAAGTAGTGTCCTGCCAGGTAAGCATCACCCATGCCGCTACCCATGAGCATTGTACAAAGTCTTACCGCCACGACTGGAACGCCGTCATGATGTGATACTCAAATGACGGCTACGACGTGAGTCATGTTTTTCCTGTCACATAGAATGTCAGTTCAACAAACCAAACACTCTAGGCACCCACTTACTCTTGCCCCCTCCAACACCAATCTCACCCACCACCGGCCGCCATCGTCTGAGGTATTGCCACAATTGCGCTCCTCGGGATGCTCCTCTTCTGCATACGCACTAGCCCAAGTCAGGCGGTAACTTCGACTCATCTGGTGCGACGGCATAATCCCTAGGTCAATCTCAGAGAACAATGTCCATATTGACAATGGCTGTAACACTGAAAATAGCAACCATTTTTGTTTGAGGGTTGGGTTGCGCTGGCATTCTTTGGTATCGTCGCGGGTGTCGACATGCGATTCCTACATCATTACAAAGTATGTGACTCTGTTATTAAATATCGCAGTCCATCTCTCAACCTTACATGGTAGTACGTACTCCTCATCGGACTCGTGATCCGTCTAGCGTAAATCCAATCATTCCCACCAAGATTCTTGACCTACATATTTTGTTCAGCGGCGTCGCAATGATGATCCATTCGCGCGGTGCCAACACCTCGGATGTTGAGCTTGTGTGGACTCAAATCCTTCAAGGTCTCGGCGGAGGGTAGGGCGCCGTTTCTCTGCAGGTAGGAGCGCAAGCATCCGTGTCTCGCGCAGACGTTGCGATCACCACGGCGGTCGTGCACCTGGGGATTGAAATCGGGGGCGCGGTTGGAAATGCTTGCGGTACGCTCACTCTTAAATATTTTCAGGTTCTGCAAACTGACGAAACACAGCTGTCGAACACCATGCCAGCTAACGTAGAAATCTGCCCTGGTTGAGCGACGAGCAGCGCATGGAGCTCTACGGGAGTATAGCGTTACCAGCGTCTTACACACGTGACGATCCTATCCGCGAGGGCGTCATCAATGGTGCGTTTGTTTTGGTTTGGCATATAGTAGATGCAAGTGCTCACTGTTTGTGTTACAGCGTACGACGACACGATGAAGATCATGGTCGTCGCAGTCACTGCACTCAGCATGATACCCGTTTTGCTTGCCCTCGCGATGCCGAATTGGCACCTGTGGGACAAACAGAATGCGATTGATGCTGTTGATCTTACTGAGAGATCAGTGCTCAAAGATGAGGAGGAGTCGTAATGTTGTTGGGCAATACGTCTGGGACGCATTCTGGAAATAGTCCGTTGCTTCCGATGCCATTTGTATATTTATATCGTGATTGGATCTTCATTCTTGTTCACAGCTCTTCAACATGATTTAGTCTGGATGCACGGATACTTGTGGTGAACCCGTATTCGAGTCGACGAGCATTGCAAGCAAAATCGTGACTATGTGGTACGTCCAACGTGGACCGGGCATGGTATGGAATCACGGGGTCATGACATCCAGAGTTGACATTATTATGTGTAGCCCCAGCGACAATTATCACGCAAGGCCAAGTCTAGATCACATTGACCACATCACTTGGGGTCGATCACACACTCCCAAGACCTGGAGCCTTCAAGCCACGCGCGAGGATACGACAACACAGGGGATGCATTAGCTACAACATTAGATGATACAAGTATGGCGTATAATTACACACAAACCGGTTACCATAGAATGAAAGAACAAAAAATGTATATGAACAACATCATCATGATCCAGAAGAGTCGGGGTAACGTAGAAACACATCGGGGTCACACTTCCACAACCAAGCCACGGTGCTCAAGAGGAAGAGGTGGCGGCAGGCACGATCGAGAAGCTGTATGCGTTAATCAGCATGTGCCTTAGTGACCAGGGCAAACTTACGCTTCACTCCTCCATTCCTTACCCTCCTTCGCCTTCTCCTCGCGTTCGGTCGTTCTATTGACCCATCCGGATGGATGTCCTTCGTGGATCATCGAAGCGCGCTTGTTATGAACGACTTTGAAATGAGACTTGCTATCCGATGTCTTAATCGACGCAGATTCATCCTTCTTGTGTTTGAAGAGCTGGATTCCATGGTAAGCACGATAACTTGAACAGTCAATCGACACTCACGTCTTGCAATACCTGTACACGGCTCGTATCCTCGCTTGTCTTTGTCTCCTCCATGCGATCCCTCACGGTGACGAGCTGTCCGTCGAGATACTCTAGACCAGTCCTGATCGCCTGTGCAACCGCCTTCTGGATATGCTTCTTCACTACCCCGGTCGCAATAGGTTTCAGCACCTTGTAAAACAAATCATGCCTCGAATCGCGAATGCTAAACCTCAGCGAATCCACCTTGACGTGCACGTCCTTGACTTTGAAGACGGAACTGTGATCTTTGTCGGCAGATACAAGATCGATGGTAACCGTCAAGCCCTGTCCGCCAAGGACAATGTCTGCCAATCCAGAGTCCCTGACCCTGGGGAACCCAGTCTTTTTGTGGAAATAGAGGGCAACGTCCCGCATATCCGCCTGAATCTGCGAGAGTGTGACCGTGAACTCGTGATGCCGTTCGTCTTTAATGGCATTGTATGGACTGAACTTGACCAAGTTATACACCTCCATGGCTATGACGTTTGGGAATAGGTTACGTCCTTGAAGAGTGAGGTTCTCAATGACGAGGTCAAGCGCCTCGTCGGTGTACTCGACACGTGGAATAGGCAAATATCCGACCTAGGGGCCGACTTCGTTAGCTTTTCGTACTAGCCACTGACCAGTGACGTACCTCTTGCACCATGGTAGGCAAGATGACATTTCTGATGTCGCTCCACAGATCGGCCTTGAACTTCAAGCTACCTTCACTATCGAACAACAGGTCATGGGTTAGTCGAGCCCAGTCTTCGCCGAAGCGTTTGTTCAGCGGATCTTCTCCCATCGCGGAGAACCAATTGCCAATTGCATCGAAGAGGTTGTCGAAGTGCTCTTTATACTTGTGGTCCCAGAACTTGCGACCTGCCTCGAGAATTTGGTTACCCTCACGGTTGCAGTCATCTTCCAGCACATAACCCGCTTCAAGTAAAACCTACACTGCCGTAAGTAAGTTACTTGTGTTCATCGATGACACTCACCTTGCGAATGTACGTATCCAAACGATGGAACCAACTCCTAAACTCCTCATCGCGACGTGCATCATCAATGAGAGCATTAGTGGCGTCAAAAATAGAACGCATGCTGCGATCGTTTGCGAAACGCTCGAGCAGTTCACGAAGCTGAGACATCGCAGTCTTAAGGGCTGAATCCTTCACGAATATTAGGTCGGTTCGAAATACTCACACCAGAACAAAACACACCTGCGTGATAGCACTGCCGCGTTCCTTTCCATGACCGGCGATAATTTGCCCGTGGGCGGCATACTCCCCAACAAAGCCAAGGAGCCATCTGATAGCGTCTTGATAATCGTCGTGCTTTTGGCACTCGATGATAACCTTCTTTCCGCGATAGATGAATTGATCACGGCGCTCCTCAGGGAAATATTCCTCTTTCAAGAACTTGCGACCTCGCCCGTACTGCTCAGAGGCTCGGTCCCGGTGCTGCTGTGGGATGCGATCAGTAAAACCGCCCTATAATAAAGTCATCAGAAATAGCGACTTGAAAACTAGGGAAATCAACATACTGCATAACCGCGAAATCGTTCTTTTATCCCTTGCTTCTTCCCCTCAGTGTCTGAAGATGAATAATCAGGTGAAACACCTTCCAAGTTTCTTGAATAGCGGATTAGTACACGACCTGGATCAGAAAAAACCACACACCCTTGCTGGAGAGCCTCGTCTACTTTGCCTTGAGTAGTATCCTTAGCCTGGGATGATTTGTCTTTCGCAACACCCTTGACGCCCTCAACGGCACTACGAGTCTCGCCAACTAATTGCTTCCCAGATTCCTGCTCGCCATCCCCTGTGGTTACCTCGGCATCATCGGCGCGTGGGTGCTGCTCAACGACCGTGCTCGTTCCGGGAACTTTCGCCTCCAGCACTGGCGTTTCGCCAGAGCCCACCTTGCGACCACCCTTGGTAACGAACTCATCTTGGGGAGCAGCCTCGTTGACATGGGCAAGTTCTTCCTCACCGGGACGCAACTTCTCAGCAGCTTTCGAAGCACCCATGGCGAGTAAGTCGCGCCCGATGACCGAGAAGTCGGAAAGTAGCTTCCGAACTTCAGAATTGGTGAGAATAAGAGAAAGAATAGTGCGAAGATGGCGGACGGCTAGCAAAACAAATTACATTGAATACTTTCGTCATCAGCTAATGAGCATAAACGCACCAGTCTGACGGTCTTCATCAATTTTGGCGCGATCGACGGGTCCGGCTGCGCTGGGGTCTGTCTTTGCGCTGTCGAAAGAAACATCGCGAGTGTTCCAAACGAAGTTTTGAAAAAGTTCGTCGTGATTCTTATCCTTAACTATGAGACGCGCAGTTTCAATAATTTCGCGGGCATCTTGAATGAGTTTTCTGCCGTCCGGAGAGAGCTTTTTCTCATCAACCGGTGACGTCTTCAGCAAATACTGCAGAGTTTCGTCCATTTGATGGTTGTCTGGCATCCGCCCTTGACGGAACGCTTCAATCACGCCGTAGAAATTGATCTGATACGCCAACTAGTTGAATACAGTACGATTGTTTCTGAAAGTAAATGCGCACCTTTCTGGAGACATCGGCTTCCTTGGCAGCCTTGTCGGTTGGTGCAGCGACAGAGCCTGCCTGGGGGTGCTCTGATATATCTTTGGTTGCTGGCGGGAGAGACATGGTAGGGTGAAGAGGGTTTGTGGTGTCTTCGATCTGTGTTTGTGGTTTTTATCCAGCGCGTTGAATGAATTATGACCGCATGCGACGTCATTGTAGTTCAAGTCAGCTGATGATGTCACTTCCCCAACAGAATCGCCTATTTCGGACATACATCTTCCATTTTTCAAAGTCTGGGTTGAACCTAGGTTGGCGGAAACGTACTGCGCCTTGGCAATCTTCTTCCAACTTTCCAATCCAACAATACAAAGCTGATCCCATACGGCTCATCGGCCCTTCATACGTCTGTTTCGGTATGAGGGTGCAGTCTTTACACACACTGATTTTCTCCCAATCTGTGAATAGCTCGAGGCTGACGGCGTAGTCCTGGCGCTGCAAATATTGCAATGGGGGCCTATTATTTCCTCCACACCTCTTGTCGCATAACTCATTAAGCGGAATCGTGTATAAAAATGAGTGGGTCATTTGGCGTTGCATATCCAGAAGCTGATCTTTTTCGCGAATGCAACCGGTTATGTTTGGTGAAGCTAGAACGACTTCATCCCTACCCTCAAAAATTGTACTGGGGGAAAGGCGGGAGTAGTAGTAATAGACACAAGGAAGCAGTTCCAAGCAATTGATCTCCCGAGCGAGGTTAATGATCGCAAGAACGTTTTGTTGCGCGTTTACGCGTCTTTCTGATGTTCAAGATGCGAGTGTTGACGGAACGCCAGATCTCAGTCGCTCAAGCTCAATCGTTTCACCTGATATTTCGTCCCCAGGACGGATGAGGGCACGTAAATAGATGAAATATCGTGCATTGTCCTGATAGCTCAGGCAGATCAGCTCGAACAACCACACTTTGAGCAACGCGTACGACATCTTATATATCGTGAGGAGGATCTGCTAGAGTTCTTCAGCGTCGTCGTCCAGTGTGAAAACTAGGTAAGCATTATGAGTTTCATGCTTGGAAGTACGCTTGCAAAAACAGAAAAATCTGGTTGAGAATAGATCGATGGTTCCAGAAGTGCTTATCTCCGGTTTTCAAGACAAGGATTCAATCATCGTACCAGTGATCATTCGAGTTCGGGGGCGGAGAGTGGGAATCTTTGATGTCAAAAGGCCCCCTTTCTCGGGAGCTAAGGATTTGGAAACACCAATTCTGATTCTGGCGGAGGAGGTCGACCGCCAAGCTGGTAATCTTTGACCCGGAGTTCCTCAACGTCAAGGACGTACGACGTGTAAGACACAAAGCTTGCTACACAATGAGTGGTACTAATTACTCACCTCCAGCGAGACACCAGGATCCACGTACATAGATTGATACTGCAGGTATGCTCCATCGTAGAATTGGAATTGGTGCGAAAGGGCGACCGATACGGTGCTATGATTTGTGAGCAAGGTCCCATTTGACTGGGTCGTAGCTGCACACGAGTGTGTAGTATTGAGGACATCCGGTTCCGGTTGGAGATTGGTTTATTACATAATATTGCAGTACTGGTGTATTACTAATTTTATACTATAATAACTTACGCAAATCGCGACACGGCAAGTCTAATCAGCATGCTCTCCCATAGTCAAAGCATATGAACATTGGAAGAAAGATGACAGTCGTTCTTTCTGATCGGATAGCTTGCCGATCATTCAAAGAATTCTCGGCTTGCGATCACTCAATGTGCTCATTTCTACTTGCATCTCATATGTTTTCAACATTAATCAGGCGCCTGTCCCGACTTGCTCACAACTGTGTTCTCATGCCATGATAATCGTTTTGCCAAAGATCAACCTAGTTTTCACTTCTGTTCACACCAATGACGCTATCTTCGCCCACACCTGGTCATATTTCAATACTGGCACAATTTTTTGCCAACATCTAGTACCCAGCTGCGCCGAGATACACTTTGAATTTTACCGGAATGCCGATTCCACACAGCCCGGATTGCCCCATAGATAGAGTCATGGTAACATTTCCATTTTGCTTCTCCCTCCCTTTATCTGTTCTGGAACCAGCTGCCCTTTCTGCGCTCAAAACGACGGACAAGTGGCTGGTGGCGATTCATAGAAGGCCTGCGGTTTCAGACTCAGTAGATTAGACGACCCGCATACAGCAAGTGAATGGTGAACTGGACGGATCCCGATGTCATCTCGGAGTGCGGCAGCATGATAGCACGCCTTAATTTTCTATTCCTCGGTTTGTACATGTGGGGATTGTTACTACTTTGCGCTCAAGAGCTCCCTCATGACCATGACTCGTAGGTGGGAGTACGCACGATCATGGCAAGTCGAACTTGCTTTGATTCGCAGACGCATACCGCCTCGATGGCCTCTAGTGAGCAGTCACTATATGTTTGTGTATTGTCATAGAAGTGCCGATCTTATCATCAGCTACCGTATATCACCGGTCGCATTCTTCTTCTGACGTCCATGGTTATGATGTATGTGCCTTAATACATCTCTTGTCGCACCAGACTCTCATAAACATTAGCTGCTGGCTCAGCAGCCCGACCTCCCAGAACGTGGATTGCCACAGTAAATCCTTCGTTGAATTTTAACTTGCTTTCCCTTGCTCAGATCATCATGACAGGCGCTTTTTTGGTGTTTTCTGTGAGTGTTCCATATTATATTGCCAATTGTCATCTCAATTTGCGTGGCAGTTCGCAGGGAATGCAGCCATTGGTTGTTCGTCTTTGAACTTGATGGTACGACCGTACGTTTCAGTGGTAATTTCAAATTTCGAAGCGCTTCCTCAAAAGATGCACAGATTCATGATTTGGAGAACATTCAGCTATGTCCGTATATTTGTGGTATTAGCCACGATTGGCCACTGGGTCTTCCTGTTACGGGGTCAGTTATCTGAGCAATTCTATAATTCAATCCTCATTAATTATCACCACCACAGTAATGTTTGCCTTCTCCGTCATGAACGTGAACGGTAGCTGTGGCTTCATGATCATTGACCATACTGTCATGACCGCTTTATTCATCTACAGTATGTCCCAATCATAGTGCGCTATTCCATCCCTGACCTCTCTCAGCAATGTGTTATGATATGCTGGCGCTTGCTCTGACTATCATCGGCCTTCGGAATACACCATCATCTAATGCAATATGGAAAACGTTGCATAAACAAGGGATAATATATGTCTCAGTCACCTGCTTGGCAAATATTTTTCCGATCGTGCGTGCTCCTGAATATTAGAACTCTAGGATTCAGCTGATTTCGCGTCTTTGCAAAGGTTATATCTTCGTTGAACCTGAATGGTAAATCATCTCTCTTTTTCATGTCATTTTGGACTTCATATCACGCTAGTCGTCATGAACGTTGTATTTGCGATGCCTGGTACGTAGTTGCAAAAGCCTTCTAACCACCACCTGCTCACTGTTATGGCAGCATCTGTTATCAGGTCTGGATCCACATATGTTATTATGCCGGCCGTTTATTGAACCTACTTCACAGCACTATCGCTTCAAGTCGAATAGTTGGTTCTTTTCTGAACTTACGGTCGAGGTACGAGTGACAAGAAATTATTTATTGGTTGTATTCTCAACATTTCCAGCAACTCCGCAGAAGAGCTGGAAAGTCTAGGCGTGCCACTTACCACTGTGCTGATAATGCCTACGTGAGTTACTGCTTCGACCTTTGCATTCATTAAATGATGGATATGGCACACAGTACATCCTCCGTGGATACCCAATCCTTCGTATGATGTTTAGGGATTCATCGATCTGTCAGTTTAGGTTGATAACTTGGGAAGCACACAGGCCTTTACAGAACTAGCTACACCCGGTTTTTGGATATTAGAGATGAGGCATTAGTATGGACTCTACCTCTTTCTGATGCGCTAGACTATTCTTACTTTGCGACATTCTATTTCTAATGTCAGGATAGAGAACTCCCAATCAGGGTATATTCTTACCTGGCTTGGAAATGGCCCTCTCACGAAATACTCACACCTGTGAGTATATCGTCCGTCAACAAGATGTGTGTGTGGGTACATTGAATGTTAACGCCTCTTACGCATCAGCGATTCCATCTGAAATTCCATGCGGCTCTTCTGTTGCCGACTGGTGCATGATCCGTCTGCTGCACAATTCGTGGCATCCGCGCTTCTATATATACATATACATCATCATACATCCCGCCAGAACATCAATGTGATCGGCGATACGTCAGTTCTAAGTTCTTGAAGTGCGTCAGCAACCAAATGGTAAAGTAAGTATTTACTATCAGGCCCCAAACTACTCACAGCAGGTCAATTTGAACACCGATCAGTTATGGTGCGTCTTGCGATTGAAAGGTACGTAATCTGTCTCGTTGATTGAACCCCCAAGCGAAGTAGCACGTTCGTCGTGATTCCGTACACGAACAGTCGATCTCAAACCCCCTTTACCACGCTGCCTCTGACAGATGAATAATTCTGTCTTGAAATGAACACTAACTGTATGAACATCTTGAGAATCAATTCGGTACTGGGACAAAGAATCTGTGTCAATAAATATATGGTGGGTGCGTCTAGCTGGCAGAACTAATTTTTACTACGAGTACATGCAACACAGTCAAAATACAGCTCAAATATAACACATCTTTAACTGCGCGCACCATCCCAAATATTCGCTAGGGTTGTCTGCCAAGAACGGCACACATAAATCCAAAACAGATATAAGAGTTTCTACAACTGCAACGGATCGGCGAAACACTAGTAAAACATAGATATGCGGAAAAGAAAATAAAGATGTTTCTATCATGAAATCACGACCTGGATATGAACTCCACTTCCCGAGCCATCTCATTCAGAAGGAATGGAATATCTTCTTCTGCCATATCGCATTGCTGCAGGACCGATGGCCAGTTATATTGTTCGTAGCCACGATCTTGCTGGAGGCACTTGGTCACCTCTTGGCGAACAACTAGAGAAGCAGCACAGAGCCTCAGAGCGTTGTCTAGCGGAAAACTGATATCCCGACTTGCAGACCGTTCGCGGAGTATAGGTGAATCGCGATACGCAACGGGAAAGTCACCTCCTGGACTCTCGGATGCGTTAAAAGAGCTTTGTCGGCTGCGAGAAAACATGCTGGGAATGTCCATCTCCGAAGGGTAATGCTCCATGACAACGAGTGGCCGCTGGGGCGACTTTTCTGGCTTTTGTGATGGATAAGTTTCATCGCCTCGAACAATTGCTGTGGATTGTGAAGAGAATCCAGGACACGGTGTTGGAATAATCTCGGGTGTACGAGGACTTGGAAAACTAGAATGCGTGCTAGAAGAGCTCTGAGAGCTAAACGAAAGATGGCGAGAATTGACCGGTGGCGGCAAGTACAGTTGCGAGATACGTGAGTCGTGGTTGTCAATTAGATCCGTTGGAAGATCGGGGAGAGGAATAGTTGGGGGTGGAGAATTGAATGAAGTTCGGAGTTTTTTTGGAGAACGTGGATGGGTAAATGATGATGGTATCGATGATGGGAGGGTAGAGGAGCGAGAGCGACCAGAGGTGGTTTGATAGGCATACGGGGAAAGCACGGGTGACTTTCCTGGATAGTTAGTGGGTGGCTGTGAATGTCGCGTCAACGAAGCCTGTTCTGGTTGTGTCCGATGCTCCTCTACTATGTAAGAGTCTTCAGGTTCAACGGGCGAAGAAGGCGATTGTATCCAGCTTCTGGGGGTAGAGGGACCGGGACTTGCAGTTGCAGTCGTGGTAATGTCTCGCAACGCCGGCAGGCTCTGACGACTGTCCCTTCTGATTTTACGGAGCACAAAGTCAGGTAAGGGTAGATCAGGAGATCGCGGAAGACAGGTATTTGCTCTAGCATCTCGAAAAGCGGCATGCAAGGTGGTGTCGTTGATGAACTACGTGTAAGAGGTTGTGTAAACAGATGGAGGTGACGGTGAAAGCTCAAGGACACCAACTTTCGATTCCAGTTGTCGCAGTTTTGTCAAAATGTGTTCTGTCGACCGTCCTTTCTCTTGCTTTCGTGCTATGTACCTCGTGAGAGCTTGCCTAGCCCTAGCGATGTCGGTCCCGCAGTTAGCAAGCACAGTGATGACCTGACATATGCATACATATGAATTCATTTACACGGGGACCAAATAACACACCTCCATCTGGGAATCACCGTTGAAGATGGTGCTCATGTTTGTACCTCCTACTTGTATCAGTCAGTTGTGATGGAATTGGGTGGTATGTAGTAGTGGAGGAAAACTATAAGCAGTGCTGGAGCCGCCGATCAACGTTTATGAGTGATTTGGAACAGTGCAGCTTGGCAGTGACATAGATGACCGTTCCTGTTCTGCATCGGACCATCGGTGTACCCACCAAAAGTCTTCGGACCTACCAATGCTAAATCACGTTGACGCACGTTTGCTTGTTGCAGCCGCCGACACAGTGAATATTGGCGCCGCGGACCTCAACTTTATTTGCAAGGATCTCAAAAGAGTAGAATGAGTACAAGGACCAGCTACTGCAGAGTCAGAGGGCCTACTTACATGTCTGAACTTGAAATACATCAAGTCTGTTTGCATAGTTCAAACGGATGCTCCCGTAACCTTCCCAAGTACTCATAACACGTTCGTCTGTATTCTGCTGCGCCAGCGCCAACTACTGTAATCGGACATGAGTCAGCGGTGCACTACGGAGAGGAATTGAAAATTCACAGGACTGTAGCGCCCTAGGACAAGGACTACGTTCTCCTCGTGGAACCTCGGAAAGAAAATGACTACAAATCAAGACGCCTGTTGATGGGCCACCGGTCATGCACTGCACGATCCCGAGGATTCTAGTCGCTCACCTTGATACACCTGACCACACAAATCCGGTCTGCGGAAATGCCGACGACTGCTAGTGTGTGCTCCCTCTACATCTCTGGCGGGTAAATGATCTTCCACTCGTAGAAAGTTCCGGCAACAGCACTGTTTCCGGACCTCCAGCTTGACAGAACTTGAACGTGACAACTCATGTGAGTTAAGTAATGATGATGGTCATACCTAACGTGACGCAGCGACCCTGATTATAGAGTCTAGCTAGTACACGCCTGTCAGACATACATAGTTCAATCCAGAGCTATTCTGTACTCGACAAGAGACGGGTGACCGGCCTAAAGTTGTTGGGTGATACTAAGAATGGCAGAGGGATTAATTCGCAACCTCTGCCGGTCTCTTAATTTGTCCATCAGAAAACCTTACCTCATCCTGTCAGTTACAACTTACAAGTAACAAGTTAAACGACCTGGTAGGAATGATTATCACTGTTAAGGAACACACTCCTTTCCGTTGTCGTCCGAATCCTCCGTTCGGGCGTTGCCCTACCCAAAATATATTGACCTTAATTTATCGGTTCAAATCAACTTTAGGTGGGTGCCTCATTCGATAATCAGATGATCATGTTGCGGAAGGGTCATCACTAACTGTGCTATATAGATGCTAGTGTGTACATTCAAAATTTCCAAAGAATGAATGGCGTCGAAGCCATGGAAATATATAGTATACGCAGATACAGGTAAGCTCCCCTGACAACCTCGAACTTACGATAGTTCAGATCTAGCAGACCAAATTGTCCCTCTATTCACTGGCATCCAATTTACGCTTCTTGCTCTGACGGGTTTCGACGTGAGAACCCGACGCCAACGTAGTATGGACTCCACCGCCATTTGCCGCTGCGACACTTCCTGATGCCTCCGCTCTAAAGCCAGGCAACTTGTCTGTAGATAACGCTTGTTCTGCCCAAAGCTCTGGGTCAGAAAAATCGTTCGCCCTTCCCCGCAAGAGTCTGGTAGCAGTGTTCGCAGTGGTATTCTTCGCGGCGGCGGTGTTAGAAGAATGATAATCAGGAGTAGAGACCATTGGCCCAGGAATGTATGTGCCGTACGGGCCGGAGGTGTTTACCATATTGTTTGCAGTATTGTTCGTAGCTATGTTCGCAGCTGCATTTATATCAGTGTCCACAGTGCTTCTCGCGGCGGTGGTCTGGGGGTAGTGATTTTGAGGGCAGTACGTGCTTGGGGAACCAGGGACCATGACCGCGTGACCAGCGCCACCACCGGTCGTGCTGACAGGCTCGGTTCGCACAGTCTCAGTGCACACAGGCCTTTCTGCCGACGCAGTAGTTGGGACAGGATTCGCCGTGTGTGTGAACGTAGTACCAGGGCCTCCACCAGATCCGCCCGAAGGATAAGACCTTACAGCATCACTGGGGGCTATGGCTTGTGTTGACGCATTCGCAGTTGCATTCGCCGTAGACACAGGGGCGACAGGGCGCGGACGGGCGGGTATAATGATAGTAAGGGGAGCCGACGCCTTACCACCTCGGCCACGCGCTCCACTACCCCTAACACGTATAATGCGACGACCCCCTCTTACAGTGGTTTCTGTGGCTTGTGCTAGGTTCTGGTATCTGGAAGTGACGATCGTTGCCACCGACGCTGGTGCAGACCGTGCGGTACCAGCGAGGACATCCGGGGCAACTGGCATCGCTTGGGAGGAGGAATTCGTGTGTGCGGCAGGGTCGGAAGTTGGCTGTGTCGATGGTACGTGGAGTGCGGAGGCGGGAAGTCCGGTGGGCAGCGGCACAGCCGGGGGAGGCACCTGCGCGGTAATGGGCGCTACCCTCAAATTCGAACTAACAGCAGGGAGAGTGGTCGCCCATTGCGAACTCGAAGTGTTTGGGCTAGCTGTGGACAGAGACTGAGATGCCGAATCAGGGTCAGAGGGATCAGTGCGACGAGGCATGACTCTGCCACACGTGGGACACTTTGCGCCAGAAAACACGTATACATTCGGCCCCATCTCCATCGAGCTCGCAGGGTTAGGCGTTCGATAGTTAGGCGTATGATAAACAGTGGCGGTGGGAGTGCGCACCTGCCGCACTTGTTGTAGCAGGGTCGGGCGTCGTTTCCTTCTTCGCTTCAGAAACGAGCTTGGGTGTTTCGAGTGACGAAGTTGATCCCTGCTGCTGTTTCTTCGCCTTTTCTTTCTTGCGCTGGCGAGATTTGGTCTGCTTCTCACGTTCTACTTGCGCTGCTGCTTGCGCTTGCTTAGAAAGCTTGATTTGTCTGCCAGATCTCGTTGTCACCGTAAGGTTTATCGGAATTTCCACTGGTGACCGAGCTGTAATCCAAGGAAATAAATCGCCGACCCAAAATCGTTATCTCAGAGAAAACTCACGCCGGTGTCGCTCAAGGGTATCGTGAATACGAAAGCAGGACTCCAGCAGCAAAAGGCAAGTCGTGGCTCATTTTGAAGTCTGACGGAAAGAAGGTCAGAAGGACATTTAGAGTGCTGAACGAGCCACGCAACCATATCCAAAAGCAAAATCCTCAATATCAAGGTTGGCAGCTCCACGATCGCGCATGTTATCAATTGCCGCACTTGCTATACTATCCATAAGCTGGGTGTGGGCTTCATAGAAAGTGTTCGTAATGATCGTCAAAAGCTAGAGGGAGCAGTCACGTCCGAAGCTCTCGATACTCTTTATCATGGTTCTTACCACAGGTATATCGCTTCCCGCAGTTGACATGCCAAAACGCGCACGAAAGTATTCCGTAGCCCACCTGTGCACATCCGTGAAATTGTCGAGCAGCTGGGGACCAAGTTGACGAGATGGTTCAATAGGGGGTTCTTGGGGGTGATCGCGATTGGCAAGCAACTCCATGGCCCCCTGTATGAATTGAGAGGGCTCATTAAGCTGGAGAACCGTCAGATGCGTGTTTATGTGACATGAACAGAAAGAACTTACCGATATATTAACCCTCCGACCAAGCGGCAGAGCAATTTGCCTGTTGGCATAATCCTGGAGAATAGACCGAGTGTGTGCAACCCATTGCTCGGTCGACTGGAAGCTGGAAGTCATGACATGCAATGATTGGACGGAGCACCACGACTCACGGAAAACTCGGGGGATGGATATAATAGATCTTCATCATTCAGCTCTTCCAGTGGACCTAGCGAACTGAGGTTCAGCTGAACCTTTTCCAGAGGAAGGTTGCTCTTCTGGCAGAGCTTTCCCCTTGCCCTTTGCAGCAGCAGAGTACCTCCCATTGGTATTCTCTTAAGCGGAGATAAATCCTGAAGTGCAGGCTGTAACAACGCTGGGGTAATAATTGACGGTAAACTCTGAGTGGATGAGTTTTTGCTACCAGGCGAGACCTCGAGCAGTTGGTCAGGAAGAATAGTGGAGGATACGCTTATCGTTGGTGCCACAATCATCAATTAGGGCTGGCGTTGTGACGTCTGAGGGATTGTAGAAGAGATGTGAATCCGTGCTTGTGATAGGCGGTGCTGATGCAGGATTGACGATGGGCTGGTGTCCCTCATCCTTATCATTGAGAGAAGGAGTTGATCGTGATGAGACAGCTGATGCAATATCTACCTGTGAGGCAGCGTGGCCAACCCCAGGAAGTCTTACACGCATATGGTGATATTATCGATACCGGAAGTGAGTGGTTCTGCCTGATGAATGGAAACTGGCACGTAAGAGAGACGGAAGAGCGCTGTTGATGTTTATCCTCATCCTTCGGTCAAAATACCTGTGGAGATTGTTCTCAGATGTCAAAGCAAGCAAATAGGTGGTTGCTGCTTTAAAACAAAGATGCGAGACCTTGATTCGGCGTGAAAGGGAGTGTCAGACAAAGGGAGGATAGGTTACAGAAAGACTGTCACCATTAATGCCAGTTTCATTGTATCTGCATCGCATGGTTGCGATAGTTTAAACTATAGTTGACTACACCTGAAGTTCGTAAATTTGAACATGAGTAACTTTTTAAAAGTCGTCGTACACTGTAAGACTAGATTACAAACAAGTTGCCGTAAGCAGTCAATAAGCGCCCACTGTAAAGTCGGAGTTACTAATTCGAATGGCATCAACCTCTAACCTGTTAATATGTCCCAACACCTTGTCCGACTGCTACATATCGAAGCTAAAACTCACCCCCTCATGGGAGGAGTCCTTGCCGTTTGCTTGTCTTTGTGATACTTGATCTGGATTCAATGGTTCAATGCAGGTCAACTTGTCAAGTGCCAGCGAAGCAAGCGCATTTCAATCGTCACGATGATCTGTATCCATAGAACTTGAACGTCCACGACTATATGCTTCATTAGCGTATGGTGTGTGGTCATTAATAGGTGAGTAGGCCTGTTTATTCTGGAACCGAATGGGCTATCGTTTTCACTACCTGCTATATCATATATTACCCTTCTTTCTTTCTTTATTTGAACAGCTTAGGCGAACCAAGTGCTATTCACCTTGTAGCGGTCGTTGGCGTTGGTTTACCCGCCTCATCAGCGTGTTTTGATATGGTCTGGCCACTGGTGTCTTCTTGCGGTCCAGAGCTCCTTCCCGCAGACCGAGACTCGGCCCTTGAACGCTCAGAACGTCCGTCCCCCTGCGCCTGATATCCTTCGTATTCCACCCCAGAGAACTGTATCCAGACCAAGCATAGAAACGTAGCTGTGATCTCTCGTCAGCATTACTCAAACCTCCGTACCGCCCCGTAGCTCAGCACACCCACTTCCAATCACTCCCTCTTCTATCTCGCTTCCAGTCGGTCGTTCACACAAAGACGCGCAAGCCTATGTGTCAATTAAAGCGTTTCATCTTGATTGGAATTGCTATGAGAATGCAATTTAAGTAAGGTTTGTCTAAGGTACTACTTCAACTACTATACCTTCCGAATTAGGCGGCTCTGTTGATAATCGCGGATCTTGAATTTGGCACAACAATCTCACAGTGATCCATGAAAGGACCTGCCTTTGGACTACTCTGGATAGTCTAGCGACGGCTGACCACGTCAAAGGACACCGAACCTGGGGTAGTTCTAGAGTCTAGGAGCTGTCATCATCCTGACTTGTATTTTTCCCAGTGAAATATCGTACCACTGCCAGATAGTCTCCCAAATTCTCACATGCTCTTTCATGCCCACTGACGCAACGTGGTTGTCAAGAAGTTCATCCATTTATTTTTAGCTTTAAACGAGTAGATTCGCACTGGTACCGGTACCGCGACATAGCCTCACGACTTAGCGGATGTCAACTCGGATCTCCTCCTACCGTCCTGTACTAGCCTGTACCTTGAGTAAGTTACCGGTAGCCCAATCAATTACCAGGTAATACTATCAGCCCAGATGGTTGTTCCCAACGTTCACAGCCAATGCCCGATCAACAACCCCATCATGATGGTATCCTCATGTCAGTGACCGGAACGTATAGCACAGGTTAGCTGAAAAGTGGAGAATGCTACATAAGTCGTGTTTTCTGCGCCTGCGTTTGCTGTCGTGGTTCTCCCGTTTCCTCGTCCTAATACACTTTTCGGTTCTTCCGTCTTGTGATTCTTTCTTTAAACTTATAGGTGCAGGCCATCTTCCTTTAGGACATCATCTATAGACTGTATACCAGTCACGGTCATGATCTTCTGGATTTCGTTCTCCAATGTTCTTCATTTCACTCGTCATGAGAGAAGAGGGCATCTCATTCCAGAGGGTTTCGTCCTCGAAACCCCTCCAGAGCGCAAACCTACGCCACTCCAGTTTACGCCGGAGTCTCCAACATTCTACTCAATACCTCCCATCATCCCCCAATCACCAATGCTCCCGCCCGCGTCTCTCGGCCTGGATACAACCTTGGGGCCTGTCATTCTGATAGGAAATGATAGCACGGAAACCCTCGTCAACGTTATTACACAGCCCGTGTTTCCAACGCCTATTCTACAACACCACCCGCGCACTCACGAGACTTTGCCAACACGACGCATCTCGTTCGCAGTTTGTGCCACACCAGAGCGTTCTGTGAAGCCCCCCAGTGTAATTGATGTGGATCAGGTACCGTGCAAGCCCTGCGCGGCTGCGGGGGAAACATCTGAGCAAGGAGAATATTTCAAGGAGAACGTACCTGAGGTGGAAAAAATATCAAGGAGGAAGAGCATCGCGCGAGCTTTGTCCTTGCGTGGGTCGCGTACATCTCGCACAAAGGCACACCGCTTCTCGGTCCCTGTCTTTACCTCGCTGACGGATGCCCTGAGTAAACGGGCAAGCAAGAGGCTATAGACCGCCCAATCCAGGGGGTCGGAAGGGCAAAAGGACGCGGATGCCACGATAACTCTGGAAATGAATCTATGCAAACCCGAGAGTGAGGCGCTGAGGGACATCGAATGAGGGCATGGCACTGATGTTTATATGTTGTTTGGCATTACACATGCATTCAATCACCGCTATCCTATGGTATCTGTAATTCTGGCTTAGCCTTAATTAATACTTAGACCTATGCATGTTTTGTGGCGGCGAAGGATACACAGGAATATATTCATATGATATTGCGAATACCTTGATTAGATACATTATCTACACAATCGTTTGGTGTATACAATGTAAAATCTATGCCAAGACACTAATCCTATGCTATGGCGTAGTCGTTGGAATGGCACAGAGGAAATATGATATACATGATGGGCAAGCGAAACGTTGATGATACGAGGTGCATTTATGTTTGCATCACGGATGCGCATATCGACTGCTGTTCCGTATTCGCTCCCCATAACGCCACAATATCCAGGGTCTGCAGGCACGATCAGCGAGGATGACAATGGAAGGAAGAAGAACGGAGTCATACGCGGGACAGCCTAACACGAATGCTGCGACTGCAAGGATGGTATCGCCCTTCCCGAATCCGAGTGCGCTGTACATCGCTGGAGCAAATAACGGAAATCCAAAGCCTGCCAGTGCCCGCAGACAGCAGGCGGCGGCCAGCGCTAAACACAAGGCATGAGATAGGTGCGACGGTACAGGAGAAAAAATGTACCGGAAGCTGCGTGAAGCGTGAAGCAATCAACAATGTAAGTGTGTACAGACTGGATATTCAGAGTAATGCCTGCTCCCGCAAGTACTATGCCCTGTCAAAGCGTCAGCGGAGAAACGATTTTAAAAGCGAAACTAACTATATCTGGAACTATCCAATGTGCTTGTGCTTGTGCAGCCCAGCCTAAAATCAAGCACCCTATCATAAATAGCAGAGTGCCGGGAAACATAGGAGCTGACGACGCGTTGGATGATTAAGGAAGAAGAGAAAGTAATCATAACGAACGCAATCTGAATTCTGGCTTTCCAACTCCACCTTTCTTGCTCTTCAAATAAAGATAGACCTTGTCTAGTATACTCGCGTTTGAACAAGACGCCCCCACCAACCCTATGCCCAGCGCGATGTAATGAAGGCCGGCGATCCCTACCGACTGCTGGTATACACCCTGAAAGATCGATGGTATGGTCGTCAAAATGACTGAGATGTTTTCAGATCACATCCCCGAAAAAAACAGGTGACTTACTATAAAGTGACCCGTATAAGTACGCCATGTAAACGCCGAGTACCTGGACGATTGGTTCGCAGAAAAAGAGTGCGAAAGGGCGAATGAGTGCTTTGGCCATGATGGTATGCCAGCTGTATGGAACATCTTCGTCAAATATCATTTCACTAGAATTGTAAAAAGACTTTCGAGCGATCTTGGCCGTCAAACACTGTGCGGATTTCTCCGTAAGGCACTTTTTCGGCATCCATCGATCTGCGGATGCGCTCTGCTTTCCTTTCCAACAAGATAGGCGCGTAAGCTAGATAAAAATCAACAAGGATGAATAAATTGCGGCTAGTCATCACTCACTCTCTCGAAGGCAAAACACTCCAAGGATTTGAATGACTGCATCAGCAATGGACGTAGACCAAAACTATCGAAGAAAAGGTAGCGGTTCGCGATTGGTGGAAGGACCACCTACCACCCATCTCCAGCTAGAGCGTTCGGCAATCCTGGGGAAAATTTAGATAAGATCATTTGGCTCGGAACAGTCACCAACCAAGCGCCTGTGATCGGTCCCACGGAAGCCCCCAACAGCGGAGCCAAGGAGTAAAACGCGAAGGCTTTTCCTCTCTCTTCTGGTCGCCAGCAATCACCAAGAAGACCGCCGCCGACCTGAGGGGAGAAGCTATTCAGATCGAATATTTTGTAGTTGACGAATTTAAACCTTACAGACGTGGGCGCCCCGCCTCCCATTCCAGCGAGGAATCGGAAAACAAGGAGCTGGGATTCTGTCTGTGCAAACCCACATCCAAAATTCCATGCTACCAATTCATTTCAAGAATCGAGATAAAAACATAGATCAGCTGGTATAGACCACATACCAAGATACCATAGATTTGCCACTTGCAAAACGCGTGACCGGCCGTAAAGCTCACTCATTGGGCCCACAAACAAGGGCCCGAACGCTGGTATGTGATTTGGTAGATCAGTAGAGTATTTAGCATATGTGAAATTCGCCTACCAAACGCAAGCACAAAAATGGAGGTTGTGAGTGCATTTATGACGTCGTTGTCAATCCCGAATGTAGAAGCCACTTGGCCAGTCGCGGGAGCGATCATGGAGGAAGAAACTGGACCCATAAAAGAAAACGATGCTACGATTGCGGTCGCAGCCCATTTGCGTTTTAAGCTCCAACTGTGCGGAACTGTAAGAAACATGCTACGCTGTCCGCGCGACGCACTTTTTAGGATTCTGGGAGTCATTTGGACCGTCCCAGTCAACGATCAAGACAGTGTCATTGCTATACGGCTTCTCAAAATTGAACTGGACTGGAACATCAATGAGTTGTGGCGCGTGACCACGTTGTAAGGTTGGCAGTGTCAGAGACACTAGACTATCGTCAGTCATTGACGTAGGGGACTGTTTTGTGCCGGACATGTCGAGGTCACGGAGTGCAAGTGATGTCCTCACATCTTCCTAACCTCTTACTTATAGGCAAAAATAAGAGCCGTGTAATTACGGGGACAAGTAGCCCCATCCCAGCGTTTTCTATCGACCCTGTCGTCCACGGGCATTCCAGTATTCCTATTAAGTAGTATCTGAGTATCGGGACTCGGAATCATGATTATATGTTCCGCGAAGAAGCATATCATGATAACCAAAACCAATGACAAACCGCTGATACATGACCGACACTCACCGACGTGGACACCGCTGAAAAAGGCTTGCAGCAAGGATCTGACCCGAAACCCTTTGAGTATCAGCTGGTGTGTGAATTGAGGTAAGCCTGTCCCTTGGGACTAATATCCCGTCAACTGTATTTTCCGCAGCCCAGCAGTAATTTCGTCCGTTGTCCCCAGTTTTGCGTGACATGGTTCATTCACCGCTATGGCCGCATGCCGCTGCTGTCAGCTGAGAATTCGAACAGAATCAAAGAGAATCAACTACTGGCAAGTAATTTTAAGCAAATACAGGCCGGCGTTAATGCCTAATTAGAATAGCCAACAAGGTACAGGCGAAGAATAAACGAAGAGCGCTCCGGGCGGAAGCTCCGAAGGGGCAATCCGGCCCCGATAGCGCCCCTGATCTGTGCAAGAGTGAGCCTGAGTAAGCCGAGCTGCGAGGGCAGGTGGGCCACCTCGCAGCCCCAGACCCAGCAGGTTCGGGTACCGACTACCCGGACCCCAGTAGTAGTAGTAGTAGGAAGGTGATTAGGTAGCTAAGTACCAAGAGTATCAGGTGGGAAGTTATAATGTAGGCTGCAAGGATCCAAGCGACAGCGAAGGAATTTCAAAGGGAGTGGTGGGTGGGGAAAAGAAATAACTGAAGGCGGCAGGCAGCAGGTAGGCTGAAGCTTGCTACTGACATGCAGAGGACTACGACCAGGACTCCAGCCACTGTACCAGGACCCCGGCACCCTGCTCCAGACCCCATCGCTTCGGGGTAGAATTCCCAACTTCTTTCGCGAGTGCAACCCCGAATCAACCCCCAAATTGTACAACAGACGGCACTGCAGGTAATAGCCTAGGAATGGGATGATGTGTTGTTTAGTATGTCACTATAGGCTCACCATAGCCTGGGGTGTGCGAATAAAGGCGAATTTGAACGTGTCTACATTTTATTGTCTACACAATCGTTTGGTATATACAACATCAAAGTTATGTCAAAACAAGACAATAAATAATCTTATGGCAGGTATGGAACAGGGAAAATATGATACACACGATGGGCATGCGAAACGTCTATCATACAACGCGCACCTAGGTTTACTAATCACGATTGCGCATATCGACTGCCGTTGCGTATTCGCTCCCCATAATACCAAAATATCCAGGGTCTGCAGGCACAATCAGTAAGGATGATGATGGAAAGTTTAAGAACGGAGACGTACGCGGGACAGCCAATCACGATTGCTACGGCTGCAAGAATGGTATCTCCCTTGCCGAAACCGAGTGCGCCATACATTGCTGGAGCGAATAAGGGAAATCCGAAGCCTGCTAGTGACCGCAGGCAGCAGACGGCGGCCAGCGCTGAACACAGAAGGCGTGAGATAGATGCGATGGAACGCAAGAAAAAGTGTACCGGAAGCGGCATGAAGCGTAAAGCAATCAACAACGTAGGCCTGTATACACTGGAAACTGATAAAGGAGCCTGCTCCTACAAGCAAGATGCCCTGTCGAAGTGTCAGTAGATAAACGGCTTAACAGAGTAAAACTAACTATATCTGGAAATATCCAATGAGTACGAGCTTGAGCAGTCCAGCCTGCAATCAAACACCCTATTGGAAGTAGCAGAGTTCCGGGAAACATGGCAACTAATGACGCATTTAACGCTCAAGGAAGAAGAGAAAATATTCATGACGAACGCAATCTGAATTCCGGCTTTCCAACTCCACCATTCTTGTTCTTGAAATAAACATAAACCTTGTCCAGCGTTCTCGCGTTTACTTGTGCCGCCACCATCAACCCTGCGCCAAGTGCGATGTAATGAAGGCCGGCAATTCCTACTGGCTGCTGGTATACACCCTGAAATATCGATGGTATGGTCGTCAGAAAGACTGAGGTGGACTTTGTTAGAGCACATCCACGGAAAACAAAAATGACTTGCGATAATGTGTCCCGTATAAGTACGCCATGTAAACACCGAGTATCTGCACGATCGGTTCGCGGAAAAAGAGCGCGAAAGGGCGAACGAGTGCTTTGCCCATGATTGTCTGCCAGCTATAGAATATATCTTCATTAAATGTTATCTCGGTGGAATTATATATGACTTACGAGCGATCTTGACCATCGAAAACCGTGCGGATTTCTCTGTACGGCGCTTTTTCGGCATCCATCGATCTGCGAATGCGCTCTGCTTTCCTTTCCAACAAAAGGGGCGCGTAAGCTAGACAAAGTCAATAAAAATGAATAAGTCGCGACCGGTCAATGGCTCACTCTCTTGGAGTAAGAAAACTCCGAGAATTTGAACAGCTGCATCAATAATCGATGTAGACCAAAACTATCGGAGAAATAGTAGCGATCCACGATTGGTGGAGGAATCACATACCACCCATCGCCAGGTAGAGCGTTCGGCAATCCTGCAGAGGATTCAGATAGGGTCATTGGACTTGGAACAGCCACCAACCAGGCACCTGTGAGAGGCCCTATGCCAGCTCCCAACATCGGCGCTAGAGAGTAAAGAGCGAGCGCTCTTCCTCTTTCTTCTGGTCGCCAGCAATCACCAAGAACACCGCCGCCAATCTGAAGAGGAAAACCAGTCAGATCAAATACTTGTAGTCAACGATGTTTAACCTTACAGATAATGGCGCGCTGCCTCCAAGGCCAGCAAGGAATCGGAAGGCAAGAAGCTGGGATTCTGTCTGTGCAAATCCACAAGCAAGATTCCATGCTATCATTTCGATTCAAGAATGGTATAGAGCAGCTTTTAAAGATCACATACCAAGATACCATAAATTTGACAATTGCAACACGCGTGAGCGACCGTAAATCTCACTCATTGGGCCCACAAACAAGGGCCCGAACGCTGGTATGTGATTCTGTAGATCAGTTAGGTCTCTAGCATCCGTCAAATTTGCCTACCGTACGCAAGCACAAAGATTGATGTTGTGAGTGCATTTATGGCGTCGTTGTCAATCCCGAATGTAGAAGCCACTTGGCCAGTCGCGGGAGCGATCATGGAGGAAGAAACTGGACTCATAAAAGAAAACGATGCTACAATCAGGGTCGCAGCCCATTTGCGGTTCGCGCTCCAGCTGTGCAGAACTATAAGAAACATCCTGCTCTGCCCATGCAACGCACTTTTTAGGATTCTGGGAGTCATTTGGACCGTCCCAGTCAACGATCAAGACAGTGTCATTGCTATACGGCTGCTCAAAATTGCACTGGACTGGAACATCGACGAGTTTTAGGGTGTGTTCGCCTTGTAATGTCGGTGTCAGAGACGCGGAGTCTTCTAGACTGTCGTTAGTCGCGGATGCAGGAGACTGGCTTGTGTCGGACATGCCAAGAGCACTGGAGTGCGAGTGATATCCTCATGGTTACCCCTTGCAGTCCTCTTACTTATAAGTAAGCAGGAGCGGTGTAATTACGAGGACGAGTAACCCAAACCGAATAAGTTCGAACCCTGTGGCACCAAGCTTCCTATAGACCATTTCGTCCGCGTACATTCCAGTCGAGACTGGACAACTGTGGGACCAATCAATTAAACAACCCTAAAATAAACGTGGAGAAGGATGTCAGGATGACCGGTATAGCTGATGCTCACTAACGGAAAAGGTAGCGAAGATGTTCATTGTTTCATATGGCTTCCACGTCAATCTTCCACGTCAATCAACGCTACACGTTCTCGGCGACCACACCTATGGTTCAGCCTGTTGCAGCAAGGTTCTGACCCGAAACTCTTTAAACACAGGTGTGTGAATGTTGAAGCAATGCCCGGCTCTTGAAAATATTCCATCAAGTATTTTCTGCCACACGAAGAGTCTCGTCCGTGGTCACCAGCCGCCTGTTTCGCGTGACGTGGGATCAAAGTTCATTGATCGGCGCAATACAATGTTGTGATACCCATTGTTAAGGCAGCTGGTCATGAGGTAGGGCCAAGGAGTTGCACGCCAAGACTCCTTCCCACCACTAGGCTGGAGAGGTTGAGGGCACTCTCCGTTGTCCGATGGCAACTTAGAGATAACAAGCACTGGCAGTAGTAGAAGTAGTGTTATTATTAGAATGGCGCGGCAAGTCTCACGTATGAATTCAAACTTTATCGATATATCTTTATGCATGCCGCTTGTTCGACGAGAAGCGAGACTCTTCCGCTGCACCAGACCTCAATAATTGACGACGTGAACGAGGCGCAGAACAATAAGCTGAATGCATGCCATTTTCGTGACAGAAGGTGGATGACGTACCCTAGATGCGACCATCCGGATGTTCTATGTATGTTGAACTAGCATCCCAACGCGAACAGGACATAATCCATCCAGCCTACAGACCGAAGGCGATTGCGGCACTAATGCCATTAGTTAGAAGTCGGCGGTGAACTATGAGGTGGCGAACACTTACACTCTCTCAGATGTGGCCCGCAGCGTGCGTCAAAAACTGCTGCGGCACAAGTTAGACCCTTTACAATGGCCACGGGAGTTATATTGTCGATTAAGACGTATCAGTAACCTGGCTACAGACTTGCAACGATGGAGGTTTGGAACGAACAACCTTGTGGCCAGGGCGTTCAATGAGGTAATTGAGCGCTGAGAGCTCCACTGCGCAGTTTAGAGAAATACCCACAGTCCCCAATCATGCTCGGTACCATCAAATCCAAATGGCGGAAGCAACGCAGACGACCATTCCGACCACCTCGCCCATTAAATGTTTTGAGCATTCGAAGATCGTGAAAACACTGTACTCGGAGTTGCAGTCTTCCCTGGTAGACGGTGTATGGCATGGTCACAGGTTCGTATAAAAAAGACGGTGATTTCGCCTGTGGGACTTTAGCACTGTCCTGGCGGCTGGTTCATGGGGAAAACGACCAAGTTGTACTGAACACAGACACGTGGCAGCTGCAAGGACAACCGAGCAATTGTCCCGGTGGCCCGGGTGCACCAAGAGTCTAAATTACTGGCGTCGTGGCAAGTCTCAGGCAGCAAACGAATCCAACCAAGCAGCAGGCTCCTCCCCACCACTGCTGGAGAGGTAAGGGCGGTCTACTAGGCAGTAGTACAACGCTTAGTAAACCGGAAACATGCGCAAATCTTTCAAACCCAGCCCAACCTTATCCACCCAACCTCTCCACCAGCGGCTGGAACAAAATGTTTGTACTATCTGTTCCCATACACTCGGCACCCCCAGAAGTCGGCAGTCATGCAAATGTCACTGTAAGTCACGACATGTCACATAGGCTGGTTTCAAAGTCAGCTCGGCGGTCAAGCAAGAGCGCAAGGTCAGTTAGTATTTGGTGTACTAAGCAAGCAAGTACAATATTTACTAGTAGAGTCTAAGTGCAAGGGTGACTGTGATTAGTGCTGTAGTTGTAAAATTGCGGGGGATGTGTAGGGAGACCATGTACATTATGTGGATGCTGAGGTTGTCTATCTAAGTTCGATGATGATGCAATTGGACTGCCGGATGGATTAAAGTTATGCTGTGTTGTAGAGTAAGATGGTGCATAGAGAGCTGGATTAGCATAGAATTGAGGAAAATATGGCTGATTGGTAAAATGTGGAGGATAAGCTGAATTGAAAGAATGTGTGGGCACAGTGAAAAAATGATTACCAGAGGTGTTGGATGAGGTGGCGACGCCATTGACCTGTGACTTGGAGGTGCTACTACTGGCCTGTCCGGTTGATGATGCAGTGGCCAAATTCTTCGAACATGTTTTTCCCGTCTGGAAGAGTGCAGCAAAACGTGGATTGTCAGCAAAGTGCTGATTTGTGGCGTCAGCAAGAAACTCTTTGATTCTAGTCCTGAGTTCCTCAACTGTTCCATCTCTCAAAATCTTGAGAGCGCCAGTGAGTGTGATAAAATCATCCTTGCGCCGGAGTGTTGAGAGTGCGTCAAATGTCTTCGACTCAATATCATGTTCAATCTGAGCATGGTGGACTTCATCTTCCGTCTTCTTTTTGGCTTGTTTCTCCACGTCAGCCTTGTCTTTTTCACGCCGTTCTTCCTCTGCTTTGTTGAAGTCCTCCTCGAGCTCTGGGTGTGTCGAAACAGGCCCGTAACTTGACAGATTTCCTCGGCTGCTTCTTTTTCTTGACATTCTCTAGCTCCAGTCAAGACTGAGCCAATGCCCGCTGCGCCATTGTACAGTGTGCATTTGTAGCATCGAGCTGGGCGGTCAGGATCTGGGTTGTCTGGACTAATGCCCCATTTTGCTCATACATGTGCTGGAGCTCGTACCACAGTTCCTCCTTCGTCAACATCATCGCCTGATTATACGTGGGGATAACTGGATGTGGGATGGAGCCTGATACTAGTGATGTTGAGCGGGTGATGCGGGTGTCGTTACGAGAGGGCTGCGCATCTTCTTCCTCTTCCTCTGACTCTGAGTCGGAGCTCTCAGAGTCCAAGTCATGTTCATCATCAGCCATGGGAAAAAAATCGGTGTCATCCTCTGAATCCTCTTCTTCACTGTCGTCCAGTCTCATCAACTTGTCAACTTCATCAACATCAGAGGGAGCTGCCATTGGAGAAGAAGGGATGTCAGCAGGATATGATGGAGGAAGATGTGTGGTAGTTTGATAAACCAAGCTTGGTGCGAAATCCTTGTCTGTGAAGACTGACAGATTGAGAGGATAGATACCAGTTTTTTTAAATGCTTTCTGGACAAGTTCTGGAGTGATGACATGGTGAATGGCCATGTATTCATGAATAAAATTATAGCGATCAATTTCAACCCCGTCAGCAAGGCACTTGTCACAATGTTTGGTCCAAGGACGCTGGACAGATGAAAACATGCCCACATCCAATGGTTGAATTTTGTGCGTGGTTTTTGATGGAAAGGCGTGGATTATGACACCATTATCATAAGCTGCCCTTTGGATAGCTCTTTGTTCATGCGAACTATGACCATCAACAGTCAGAACAATTGGCTTCTCAGGATCCACACAGTGTTTCTCCGCTGTAGGAACAAAGTGGTTCCTGAACCAATAATCTGCAATCTCGTGATCTGTCCATCCTGTCGGAGAGAAAGAAACACTGTCCAAGGAGATCACAGGATTAGTAGAGCATAATGCTATGCTTTGATAAGTACTTACCCGCCCACTTTATCTTTCAGATCTCGAATATCTGGGGCTGGACCTTCTGAAAGGACAAACCATGGTGGCATCTTAGCACCAGCAGTGGAGACACACTCAATAATAGTTACGAGCTCTAGATTATCACTATGGACCCGATAACAATCTGAATCTTCTGCAGAAAAAATGAATTTCATCCCAGTATTTTTCCTTCCCCCGCCCATCTGATTCCCTTTCTCATCCATATTCCAATGATGCTCTGGTGGAATTTTATTATAGTTGTCATCAAGTTTCTTCTGCATCTCAAAAAACTCCCCAATGGTATCCTTGTTGAAATTTCAAGCACATTTTGGATCCAGTCCACTTGCTTGAGATATACGGAGGGATGGATGACGACGAATGAAGCAATAATGCCATTTTTGTGATGGGAGTTGACCAGTTATTTCCTTAACAGATGCACGCAACTTCGCTGGGTGGATAGGAGTCGCGGATGTGGATGCCAGGTTGCACCAGTCAACAACAGTTTCCTCCTGTGCAGCGGATAACAATTGCCGACTCTCCTGGGCAAGCCGACGAGGCTTATGCACTCCCAAGCATCTATCACTTAGTGTCTGATGTGATACCTAGACCAGTTGAGTGAATAATCACATGATGAATCACGACTCACATTTTGCTCCTTTGCTGCAGCTGCAATGGATTTGTATAGCCCATTTGCAATTCCCTGAATTGCAGCTTGAATCCGCGACTCATATGTAGGGTCTGATGAAGCTCGCAGCTTTCCTCGTCTACCGCTGATAGACTTGCGAATGCGGACCAGCCCCATGACCAGCAGCACAGCACCAGTTGGCACTGGTGTGTGCAGTATTGAAACTCCGTCACGACACATATCGGCAAGTGACATTTCTGCGTGACTTCAGCACTTTCAACCATCTCACTCAATTCTGCTTCAATTGTATTTGTTCAACCTCGTAATGAATTGTATTAGAGAGAGAATGATATCTATGTTAAGAGTTTTGTGAAAGTGCCGACTTCTGGGGGGTGCCGAGTGTATGGGAACAGATAGTAAACAAGGTCAGCCACAGTCGCGAAACCCAGAAAGAGACAGCGGAGTCGCAAATAGTTCGATTAGATATTGTATCACTAACGAATATATATATATCAATATGTCATCAACTGACCCGGTGGACGACATTCTTGAAACCCTGCAGTGCGTCGGCATTTCAACTTCAGAATTTATACTGGTGCTTCTCTCGAGTGAAAAATATAGTGTTCATCTGGCTGTAAAAGATATCCTCTTGAATGGACGTGAAATTGTTAATGCTCTTACAAAACAAACTTCAAGTACTGCATCAAAATGGGCTACTGATATTACAAAGGACATCTGTGCACGGGAAATTTGTAACCTTGCTGCTAAGGGTAGTGGAACTCATTTTGATGTGACACACACTACGGTGAAGCAACTGGAGGATTTTAGGGTGGCCGAGTTAGCCAGAATCATGGAGAAATCTGTGCTGGTACTAACATGGAACTTACTCGAGAGCATGCTGTCTGGGGGAACACAATCTAAAGTAACTGTCAGGGGAGATCATGATGGTGATGTCATTGTGGAAAATAGCAACAGTGATGAAGAGGCTTACTGAGAGGAGATTGGGGAACGGGATCTCGAGGGATCATTGATATCAAGGCTTGCCAACATGGAAATTGAGAGAACCAAACTGCAAAAACATTGGGCAGCAAAGACCTTGCTCGTGTGTCATTTCTTCTTGCAACATATGCCTATGACAACTTTGATGTAGACCTGAAAACTCATGAGCACAAAATTGAAAGTTCAACAGAATCTCTCAAGCATCTAACATCAGGTCTGATGTTCCCACTGCAGCACAACATCTCCAAGGAAGACCTTAGGTGTTCCAAAGAGTTGTGGAAGATGTTGCTGTTTAATACCCAAGCAGAACTACCACCAAGGGAGGGATGGGCAGATCTGTTCGTTCTTCAAGTGGACACACCTGATGACTCAGCCATGATAGATTTAATTCAATACATTGGGAACAATTATACAATCTATATATTTTACGATGTATTTTTTTTTACATATTTGCGACTCCACTGTCTCTTTCTGGGTTTTGCAACTGTGGCTGACCTTGTTTACAAACATTTTTTACAGCCACTGGTGGAGAGGTTGGGTGGATAAGGTTGGGCTGGGTTTGAAAGATTTGCGCATGTTTCCGGTTTACTAAGTGCTGTACTGCCACCCTAGTAGACCGCCGCCCTTACCTCTCCAGCAGTGGTGGGGAGGAGCCTGACCAAGCAGTGATATTTAAATTGAAATTCAAGATACATTGCCACCAGAGTCTCTAAAGAGTCTAAAGGTCACAATTTTGAATCAGTTGTCAAACTAATCACTAGTAAGTATCTTGTTGGTAGACAAGGCTTGCATGTGCTAATATTATACTACTAATCAGTCATTTATAGTGTGTATATGTCTTGCATACACTTCACAGTTCTTGTGGTCTGTGGCCCAGAAGAAACAGAACACAGACAGTGAGCGCTGACATCACCAAAATTACCGAATCCAGACATCACATGTTGTGTTGAATTTTCTGATGCCACCAACTACAGTAGACTATCTCATAATGCATATGCTCACAATGCATATTTCTCATAATGCATCACATTTTGAATGGTCCCACTGGGGGGCAGTGAGAAATTGTCCCATAATGCAAATCAGATAATGCATAGACTTGCATGGTCATTATGCATTATGGGATAGTACTTTTGGCTGGTTGGGTCTTCAAGGGTTGTGTTTGGTTCAATATTTTTTAGTGTACTGGCTATGTACATTGTGAAGGAACTCATTCCACCTCATTCCACATACATAGTATCTACAATGGTTGCAGACAAACGAAAACCACAAGACAAGCCACCACCCATGACCCTATCAAAGACAGCCAAAAAAATTGAATGTCAATGACACCCCAGCAACCTCTGCATAACCGGCAGCTCACACAGCCACATGCCAAAATCTCACTCTCAATGACTGGTTGACAGTCTTTGCATACATTGATGCACACCTAGTGAGTTGCAAAGCCCAGCCTCAGGCGTGGGTCAAGCCTGACCGGGCCTCCTTAGGCCAAGCCCAGCTGGGCTTTGAGGGTGGCCTAGTAGGGCTCAGGCCTGGCCTCAGGTATGTGCAGGCACCAGAGCCAGGCCCTTAGGCCATGGATTTCATAGCTATTTTGCATATCTTTACAGTGGTATTGCCAGATACGAACTGCCCACGATTTCATCCGCCGCCTCTGTCCTGGGTACCATAGCCCGAAAGAATGAATGCTACACTACCCTTAGCCCCACATGGCTCGCGCATCAACTCTGATGGTGAGGCAAGTAGCGCCTGCAAGACGACCCAAAAGCGGGTTGCTGTGCCCATCAGCAAAGGTAATCCAGTGTGGATAACACTGCTGAACCTCAAATTGCATTCCCACAGAAGGGCTCATGGTGCCACCAATACTGTATTCTCATGCATCCAAACTCCCACCATTGTCAATGACATGATGAGGATGATGTTGATGCTGACATTCACAGTAAACCAAATAAATGGC